CGAGGTTACGTCTTCGAGATTAAAAACAGATTCTGCCTGTGGATAAAATGCTGATAGAGATAAGCCGTTGCTTCAGGCACAAAAACCGGAAAGAATTTTTTTGTGGTCTAGAAGATCGAGATGTTCTGCACTTTATTATATTTTTACATATTTTCCTTCATTCTTTGCAAAAGTTAATCATTTATTTAATGGTTCTCTATTCATTTATATATTTTGTAATATTTGCCAACACTATCATTATTCTGACTCTATTTGCAGTGATTAAATTTATAATGTGGCTTTTATGCAGAAGAATTGATACACCATCAGTTCAAGCTCTAGCTCAAGATCATCTTAACGATGTGTTTTCAAACAGTGTAGCTTTAATATGTGGTTACCTAGGTAAGTTTTGAATGGACGAGATCTTGAATTGGAAGAAGCATCGTTCGGTAGTAAAGTGATCTTCTAATAACAAACTTCTGATTAACAGCGCATTTGAAATAATATTACATAGTCTTCAGTAAGACCTCAAATACCTTTACACAGCAACAGTCACCTCTTTGCAACCGCTATGAATCTCTCGTACCTACCGCAAAGAAATCGATTCTAACATAACAATCTTTCTTTGAAAATACATGATCTCAAATATCAGCAAGACAAATTGTTCTATAAAACTTTAATTAACTGTTGTATGAAAATATTAAGGCTTTGTAATACAAACACTGATTTCTTCACAAACTAAGACCCATTGCTTTTAGCTTTGGAAGCAACCCTTCCATTGGCAATTTGAAAAATGAATATTTTGAAGACCTAATTATTCCATTTTTCGGTGATTACATTTTTGTAACAGTATGTATAACCAAATAGTGATTTCTTAACTTCAGAACTAACAAAATATTTCAGGCTCTAATGAACTGTATTTGAAAACCAACATGTCCGAGTTTTCATTTGTGGACCCAGCTGGTGCTATACTGATTAGTTTATACATTGTTTATAATTGGTGGAGAACGGGGAAAGGTGAGTCTTTGGTCGTTTATCTGTTTAAGTTCAACCAAGCCAGTTTCATATTGGTGACAGTCAATATATATGGTACATGGTTGCACCTGGAGTAGATAAATAACAATTATTGGGCCGATGAAGGCTAGAATTATTTTCGAGGTCGTAGAGTGGCAACAGGTATAATAATAATCTCTAATGACCTTAACTAGAAAACATAATCTACTCCAAATACATCTTCCCTTGACGCCCATTAATTGATTTTCCTGTTTTCTTTTTTTTTTCAGAACAAATCAAGATGTTAACAGGACATTCTGCACAACCCGAGTTCCTGAGTAAATTAACATGGCTCAGTGTAAATCATCATCCCAAAATACTCAATATTGATACAGTTCGTGCCTTTCACTTCGGAAATAATTTCTTAGTGGAGGTAGACATTGTCCTTCCCGAACAAATGAAATTAAAGGAAGCTCACGATATAGGTGAATCTTTACAGCAAAAAATAGAGACATTACCAGCTGTGGAGAGAGCTTTTGTTCATTTAGATTATGAATTTCAACACAAGCCTGCGTCTGAACATAAAACGGTCTAAAATATCATATGAACATGATTTTGTATTTTCCACGATTGCTGGAAATCGTATCCTATTTATAGTTATGTCGAAGGGGTTAAATAAAATGTTATACTTCTATAATATAAAAATCGTTTTATAGTCCATTGAACAAAGTGTTATTTTGGTACATTTCGATGAACACTGTTATCACGATTATGACTAGATTTTCAATATCACATATATCATAACTCCAACACCTAGATTTTGTATAATTTGGATGGATACTTTATCACGATGATGACTAGATTTTCTATCAGTATTATACAGATCATTAATCGAACACTTAGATTTTGTATAATTTGGATGAACACTGTTATCACGATGATGACCAGATTTTCTATCAATATAATACAGATCATAAATCGAACACTTAGATTTTGTATAATTTGGATGAACACTGTTATCACGATGATGACCAGATTTTTTATCAATATTATACAGGTTCCATATGTAAAGAAATATCAAATCCAAAAGATTTGGCCAAGGATCAGTAGCCGTTGAGGTAATAGTGAACACCCCGGGGCCCAGGGGCTACCTAAAACACACATTGGTACACGATAAACAATGATTACATGATGACAATGCCATCCCGGAGTCAATATAATGAATTTGGTAAAAACACGACAAATCAAACGATAACACACTCATGGAAAACACAAGATGGCACATGGAAAACACAAGATGGCACATGGAAAACACAAGATGGCACATGGAAAACACATAATGACACAAAAGACGATATCATTGGCTCTTGTCAACTCGAAGATTCAATATAATGAATGTTATTTTGGTATATCCATTACATTAGTGTATTTAACCTGGATAATATTGATCAATTTACAGTCCTACTAGTAACTTAGACATTATCTTAGCGTGAGTCTTGAATGTCATGCTGTAAAGGATATTTCCTGCCCCCACGTCATTGATTTTTCCGATTAGCTTATAGCGTGACAGTAATAGATTGACTTCAAAGTCGAGATTAATCGAAACCGTTGCATGGAATTCGAAATAAATGAACAAAATATATTTTCCGCACAAAAAGCTGTACCCCAGGTTGCTTCTCATAGTCGAGGTTAATCAAAACCGTTGCTTGGTATTCGGAATAAATGAACAAAATATCATTTCAGAACGAAGAATGCCCAAGTTTGGTTAGATGTAACACAGCCAATCTTCTATAAATTTATTGTACATATCTGATTATAACACATCAAAAAGTTATATCTAGATACGTTATATAACTTTATTGTACACTTCCAATTATACGACAACAAAAACATATATTGGGAATTTATTATGTTATATAACTATATAATACACTTCCAATAATATAACAACAAAAACTTATATCTAGAATTTATTATGTTATATAACTATATAGTACACTTCCAATAATATAACAACAAAAACTTATATCTAGAATTTATTATGTTATATAACTTTATAGTACACTTCCAATTATATAACAACAAAAACTTATATCTAGAATTTATTATGTTATATAACTATATTGTACACTTCCAATTATATAACAACAAAAACTTATATCTAGAATTTATTATGTTATATAACTATATAGTACACTCCAATAATATAACAACAAAAACTTATATCTAGAATTTATTATGTTATATAACTATATTGTACACTTCCAATTATATAACAACAAAAACTTATATCTAGAATTTATTATGTTATATAACTATATAGTACACTTCCAATTATATAACAACAAAAACTTATATCTAGAATTTATTATGTTATATAACTATATAGTACACTTCTAATTATATAACAACAAAAACTTATATCTAGAATTTATTATGTTATATAACTATATTGTACACTTCCAATTATAATACAACAAAATCTATATCTAGAAATCTAAAGCATCTGAAGTTATTGTACGCATCTCAATCAAAATACAATAAAACATTATATCAGAAAGGTTTGGTTTCTGAAGTTAATGTTTCACACATATCTTATACATACTCAACTATTCACCAGACATTCAGACGTCAACCGAGATTAGAACCCACGACCACAATTTGTTCCACATAACCAAGCAAATAACATCTTATAAAGATCTAACTGATTATGCTGTTTCTTGTCCTCAAAATAGTATCGAAACAGCGTTAACGATAAGACTTGACATCTAAGATGAGGGTGTTTTTGTGCACCACGTTGCGCAGGTAGCGCTCACTTGACCCCTCCCCTAAAGCATAAGACCACAAACCCAAGCCATTTTATGCGACTTTGATTTAATTCGCAAGTAGGTAGGTAGGTAGATGACAAGTTACATCCGATTGTAAATGTATTAGAAGTCAGTATTAAGTCATTATATATTCCACCAATCAAATTCTCTGTTCAATAAAAGCTTTGATTGGTTAAAATAAATCATGACGTAATAGGGCCAAAATTTGATTGAAGGAGGCATTCTTAAGGAGGAATTTACACCGATTATGGTTGGTTAGAGTGTTAAACCACAGAAAATCACAAAACTGCATTACCTAGATCTGCATCTATTGTCTGGGCAAAATAAATCGTTTGATGAATGTTTTTTTCATTTTTTATTAGAATTGGAATAACAGCCTTAAAATAGTACTGTTAGTCTTAGAATGTCTTTGCGTTTATAATAGTAGAACCATAAAGGCACGTTATGTCTTCAAAATTTGTTTTACAGAAGAAAATTTACAGCCAAAATTTGGGACTATTTTTAGGGGAGAAATGTTTCTTTTCAATGCAAACTTGCAAAAGACATTCTAAGACTAGCAGTACTATTTTGAGGCTGATATCCCAATTCTCTTTAAAAAAAAATATGGAAAAAATTTTTAAAAAAATAATTGCTTTGCTCAGACAATAGTAAAATACTTATTTCTTGTGTCCACAAACTAGTACCGGCACATGTGAATGATGGATTATATAGTCACTAACACTGCCTAGTAAGGTTCGTCTAACAGTTCCCAAACCTCTCGTACCAGTCACAACGCAATCAGCCTTCTCATTTTCAGCTGTTTTTACAATAGCATTACCGGCATCACCAGTTAGTCGTAATAATCTACAATTTAACTGCAACAGAAATGAAATACATTTATCACGTTTTCAGGTTTGATTTCTAACTTACTTGATTGATTTTCTCATTACTATTTCATGTAAAACCATTATCAGAATTAAAGTATTACCATTATTACTTAAATAATCAATATAGTCATACTACAATTACCATTACTCAAATCTATTACTATCAAATAATTACATTTTAAATGAGACCAAACTTTCGTGCTGCTTTTATAAGCTTTTATCTTTTATATAGCCACTTCAGTTTGGGTCTAACGACAGTCCTCTTGAAATTAACCTTTTGACCCAACCTGATAAACGCCGCGTCAAAAAATGCCAGCGCTAGAGATGGTAGAAATTTGATTGGTTAAAGCAGACGTCATAGAGTTAGGTCAACAGGAGTGTCGTTTGATCCTAACTAAAGTGGCTATATTACAAATATAAGCTAATACTGGCGGAACGAAAGTTTGCAAAGGAGCCTTTGAAACGATATGGGACATTTCATTCAGGTATCTAATATACCTCAATAGATATATTTATCTGTTTTGTCATATGTCGCGGTTTTGACATTTGCGTGACATAGCTGAAGTCTGGGTGGCACCAAGAGACAGTACAAACCTGGTTCTGTTTCTCGAGATAGTTGATGTCGTAAGTCTGGAATTTTATATTGAAAAAGACCACACATGATAGAAATCGACTACAAGAATTTTGACAAACGAACCATACAAGTGATAGAAATCGACCACAAGAATTTTGAGAAACGAACCGTACAAGTGAAAATTATGAAAATTAGAAGCAATGCTGATCCTTACCCCTGCGCTACTTATTTTTTCTTTGATTTTCTGGATAATAATTTCCACCTCGGCCTCCTCTTGTTTTAATAAAGCATTGATTAAAGATTTATCTGTAGACATTATAGCTGTAATGACATTCAATAATCATAAATATCAGATCAATACTGGACAAACCGGATATAATACAATAAGACCACTCCAGGCTGACGGCCTCTTCCACAGCGATATTTTCTGGATTTACGAGAGTTAATTAAAACGTTCGTTGCCAAAGCATGGTTTAGCGATCCAATAATTCTGAATTAAGAATAAACTCTGCATGCTGTTCTGTTGAGAACCTAGTGCCAAAATTTAACAAACCGGATATAATACAATAAGACCACTCCAGGCTGACGACCTCTTCCAAAGCGATATTCCATGAGATTTTGTGGGACCTCACGCATCACCTCGCATCATGAACAGTAACCGGGTTCATGGTTCATTCGGAATTCTATGATTTACCCTTATCAATTAAACATAGGCCAAAAAACATTTTCTAATAATATTGCTCTGATCATTAAATTTAAGAAAGGAGAGTAAAGGTTTCAATCGATTGTCAGATCCAGAAAGAGAATATTTTATATCATCAAGATTAAAAAAAACCCAGTCTTTAATTGGTTAGAATTGTACAGTCATCGAGTTGGAATGAAATTAATGAATGCAATTTCAAAATAGTTCCACAGTAAATTAAACCCGTTAAAATAAAATTTCGCATCGCTACAGCTTACTCAGTGAAACAACTGGTAATACTTACGAGATTTGACTACATTTTTATAATCAGGACAGTGAGCAACTATTACTTCATTTTCTTGTTTATGTATATGTTCCATGTACCCTGTAAAAATAGAAGTAAAGATTTGAGATATTAAAGTTTTGAGTTGTGTCGCACATTATGAAATATAGTATTATAAAGTTTCGTATTTTGAAACAGCAAAAATGAAGGGAATTATTCAACTTAGAATAATGATAACAGTATTAAACAGAAAATAATAAGGAAAATCTTTATTAAACAGAAAATAATGTTGCACACATTATTATACAGAAAACAGTGACGCCCATTATTATACAGAAAATAGTGACGCCCATTATTATACAGAAAATAGTGACGTCCATTAATATACAGAAAATAGTGACGTCCATTAATATACAGAAAATAGTGACGCCCATTATTATACAGAAAATAGTGACGTCCATTAATATTCAGAAAATGGTGACGTCCATTATTATACAGAAAATAGTGACGTCCATTATTATACAGAAAATAGTGACGTCCATTAATATTCAGAAAATAGTGACGCCCATTATTATACAGAAAATAGTGACGTCCATTAATATACAGAAAACAGTGACGCCCATCATTATACAGAAAATAGTTACGCCCATTATTATACAGAAAATAGTGGCGTCCATTGTTATACAGAAAATAATTACGCCTATTATTATACAGAAAAAATGATGCCCATTACTATACCGAAAATAGTGACGTCCATTATTATACCGAAAATAGTGACGCCCATTATTATACAGAAAATAGTGACGCCCATTATTATACAGAAAAAAATGATGCCCATTATTATACAGAAAATAAATGTCTCATATTTTGACACTGAAAATATGATGCACCTTATGAGACACAAAACAAAAACCAGCATTATTCAACGGAGAATAATGAAGCAAATTATCACAACAAATATTTTATTGGTTTTAAAATGAGTGAAAATTGAACATTCATTTAGCTGTTGATGTATTTTAAATAAAGTGGGTCGCTGAAACAATCCGTCCTATCTGAGGCTATCTCGGTCAAATATTTCACCTAGTTGTTATCAAAAAATAAAACAATATCAATCTAAATACGTGCTGAGGCCAAAGTCTAAAAATTAAGATCAGATCTTAATTTACAAGGAACAGTTCAGTTTTTATTTACTAGTAGCAACAGAACTTTTTTGTATTCATATTATTACCTCTTTTATATGGAGATAAATGTACATGAGCCTTGCTCTTTTTTTCATTTAATCCATATATAGATTTTGTAATCGTTATGTTTATTTCCTGCATTAATAAATATCGTTTATATGAAGTTCTACTTAAGAGTATCAAGACTTTGTTTGCAGAGTTACTAATCTCACTGTAATAATGGGTTAATGCGATAAAACCTTATGACCATTGCTTTCACGATAAGCTGTCTAATGAGTCGTATTAATCGACCCCAACTGTTAAGCATTGGCAATAATATGGCTTAGAACATTATTGACCCCTTGTAACAGCGGTGAAAATTCTTGGCATTTCTTTATAAAGAAGAGCGCCACTCCTTGACCATAATCTGGCATATAACAGTCATTGGCCCTTATAATAACAGTGAAAGTTTATGGCATTTCATTACAGAGAAGGGCGTCTCGCCTTGACTATAATCTGGCTTATAACAGTGAAGGCAGATTATGGTACAGTCATATACCCCAGAGACCCAGAGACGCATAACTATTTAAGCTGATATACGTGACTTAAACTACATGTATTCATGCTGAAAACGTGACTATTGAAACCTACTTAAAAGTCCATAAGATTTTATGTGTTTATTTTTTGTAAATACATGTAGTCACAAGTCACTTTGTCTCGGCTAATTCTGCTGTAGTTCAACTGCCATCACCGGAAAGTATCTCCCATTGTTAAGCCGGGGGCCCAAAATGGCTCAGTACGTCAGCCGGTTACATGTTAACCTGAAGGTCCAGTGTTCAATACCGTCATATGTTTTATTTAATCCGGCTTCCATCTGTCATGCAATAAACCGAGTTAACGAGTACATCCGACTGTGTATGTTCAACATCCTTCCACAGTTGGAAATCCAAATACAAAGCGTAGGCAGATTCTGCTCTCTGATTGCCACTATATAGAACAATCAGGTGTAGAGAATATGACGTCAAACACCATTTCATTTCCATAAATGCTCACCATCATCTCAGTATTTTCCCACTGGGACAATATATTTCTGAGTGAGTTATTGTATCTAATTAGACTGTATGACAATAACGTGAACAATTTATTTATATAATAATAACGAGCATAATTTGTTTACAATGTGAATAACCAATAAGATACGGTTGTATAATTAGCTTTAATATCTATATTTACTTATTGTTAGAAATTATATCAAAACAGTAACCCGTGTAAGTACATACATATAGTATTATTGATCAGTTTGTAGTATCAATTCGTAATGAAGAGCTTGTCATCTACCAACCAACCTCATGTCATTAGACCTTCTTTCTTATCTGAAACCCATCTTAAAATCGTCTACAGACCTTCTCTTTCTTATCTGAAACCCATCTTAAAATCGTCTACAGACCTTCTCTTTCTTATCTGAAACCCATCTTAGTATCGTCTACAGACCATCTCTTTCTTATCTGAAACCCATCTTAAAATCGTCTACAGACCTTCTCTTTCTTATCTGAAACCCATCTTAAAATCTTCTTTAGACCGTCCTTTCTTATCTGAAACCCATCTTAACATCGTCTACAGACCTCCTCTTTATTATCTGAAACCCATCTTAAAATCGTCTACAGGACTTCTCTTTATTATCTGAAACCCATCTTAACATCGTCTACAGACCTTCCCTTTGTTATCCGAAACCCATCTTAAATTTTTTTTTTATCTGAAATCAATCTTAAAATCCTCTAAACGCCTTCTCTGTCTTCTCTGAAACCTATCTTCTTTGCTTGCCTTTAAACTTGTCCATTTTTATCTGACGCCCAAATTGAAATCGCCTCTATACATTCTTGACAATAATGGTTATGGAAAGCTACTAGATTGAATAAACTCTCAAGTGGTTCTGGAACTCTATCTGTAGTATTTTACTTTAATAGTTTCCAAGATAATTAATCTGGCCTGTATATCACAGATAGACCTTTATTTACAATTCCACAGCTGTTTCTATCATACTGGTCAAAGGTCACGTTCAATTTATTACCTCCTTTGAAGAGTTAATTATAAACTACCTGCAATTCTTACATTAGTTGACCCATTACACATGGCGGTCTGGTTTTAATCATGCATTAATGAAACATCAGAGCTCTGTTTCGAAATTTACCAGATCCTGACGAGGCAGTGTACATAGTTAGTTTTTTTATCTTAATAATTTTGAACAAAAATGATGTTTGAAATACATTGAAATTACATTTGAGTCCATTTTGACCACAGAAATCATCATTGTGTCAAATATTGGACACAATATTTCGTATAATATCATCATTAGTTTAGCATTGATAATTTCTCAGTCGAGTGCGAGTTTAATACACTTAGTGTGTACTTGTGGCGAAATCAATTAATAATAACACAGTTATTTTGTATCTCATGTCCATTGTCATAGATTGCATTCTTTTATATAGACCATTGTCATTGTAAATGTCAAATGACCTTTTCATCTACGTTCGAGCGTTTACTGGAAACTCACAAAAATATGTTTGTATAGTATCTACATGTATTTCGAAACATGCAATAAATCACGTTGTACTGTTTGTTTGACCTGGAAAATCGTTAAGAACAATAACATCTAATTCAATTGTCTTTCTTTCTCAATAATACTTCGAGCCTTCGACTTGCTAACCTTGATCTCATAAGCTGGTCTGTCAGTAAACTGGTATTTGCCTGTGAATTTTCAGTTGTCAGATCAACTTAATTCAGCGATTGATCAGACTCTCCCCCATTATGTGGTTATTAGCAGTCATTGAAATTTCAGGTGCTTTTAGATTCCAGTCGCAAGGTTCCCAACTACATGTACATGTACTTTGCTTGAAATACAGACAGCCCACTTGAACGAAAAGATCGTTTCTTCTGAAAGTTCGTGGTGGTGATTTGGATTCATGTAGGCTACCAGTTTCCCTTATACATGGGGAATGATGTACATGTAGGTTTATCTTGAACGTGGTGGGGTGAATCTGGTTCCCAACTACATGTACTTTGCTTGAAATGAAGACAGCCCACTCGAACGAAAAGATCGTCGCTTCCGAAAGTTCTTGGTGTTGATTTAGATTCATGTACCCGTTTCCCTTATCCATGGGGAATGATGTACATGTAGGTTTATCGAGAACGTGAGGGGATAAATCGGGCTCCCGACTACATGTACTGTATGATATTGTTTGAAAATGCAGCCAGAAGTCTGTTCGTGATATAATCAATACTTAACAATTAGAAATGATTGAGTGAATGAGCTCAGTCCGACCTTCAGTAAGTTGAATGGTTTGATTTGTTAGCAGGGGATTAAAGAAAGGCTACCTCTAGAAATGCAGACATTCAAACTTGGTTAATAAGAATATATTATATTCATTTTTGAACCTATCTAGAGTACAATTATACAACAAAAATCTAGATAATCCAATAAATCCATAAAACTAATTAGTAATTAGCCTTAAAACTACACAATTATTGAAAAAGGCATAAGCTCTGTTCAATAATTACGCTGTATTATGAATATATCGGATTATGCAGGTATTCTGTTGTATATTTTTTTTTTACACTGGTGAATATAGAAATATTAAAAAAAAATCTGAAACTCAGATTTTCACGCTGTGTGATCTTCAGACAACTGACCTATTTTCAGCCCGCATTACCACTGTTAAATATATATATTAAGTTTGAGAAGTTAAATTTGATGTGCATTCTAATTGATTAGTACACGATAGTAGGTGATTCCTATATATACGGTCTGACAGCCTCATTGATAGGAACCTGTGGCATCAACAGACAAACGAGGTCAGACATTGCGTTAGATCATAGGAAGCATTAGAAAAAAATGACATTACTGAGATAATTCTGTAACGAAATAAACTGAAATCGATACATTTTGATGGGTTTGAATTCATTTATATAGCTATGTTTGTATGCTTTGTTATGCGACGTGTTACAACTTTATCGGAAATGAAATGAATGGAGTTTTACGTCCTCTTCTGCATCTATATGGACTAATGAAGACGGGCAACGCCATGCATTGTACAATGAAGGAAATTTTGCCAGGACAGATCCATTAGCCTGTTCTTTTTCGATTTCCAAACGTCGAAAAATCGACGTGCAAAGTTCTTTTCAACTTTCCCTCAAGGTACTTGTTCGCTACGGACCATCCGTGCATAGCCTGCGACATGCGGGCCTCAACTTTTATCAGGGTAATGTATCCGGTCAAAAGTTTGAAATTATACTCAGTCAATATAAAATATGTTCCTTTTGAACAATTGTTAAAAAAGTTGAGCGGCGTAAGTACTAAGAACAAACCAGCACTCTAGGTAAAAGTACTAAAAATCAAGTAAAGACGTTTCTGCTCATCAATTCTTTGCAATCAGTCTAATTAAAATTATGTTTTTGATAGCGACAGCCCTGTTGAACGTTCGTCAAATTAACCTTTTATCCTAACTCGATGACGTTTCTTTTAACAAATCAAATTTTCTACCCTCTCCAGCGTGCTGCGGTGTTTATCATGTTATGTCAAAAGGTTAATTTGACGAACGTTCAAGAGGGCCGTCGTTAGACCCTAACTGAAGTGGCTCTATTAAAAGTAAAAGCTAATAAAAACAAGGATCGAAAGTTTGGTCTAATTTTAATGAGAGTGCTTCGTACTGTATAGTTATGAAATATGTTGGCTACAGATAACGAACTATATTTAAACATTACCTAAGTGCATTTAAAATTGGTTTTATATAGCCGACTTAATTGAAACCGACAGAAATTGAAAATGAAACAAAAACACAGCAGTTAACTACTTAACAGTTTTTAGAACCATTAAAATACCATTAAGTATAGATAAGAACGGGACCTTTATAGGGTTTACATGCCATATTAGCAAAATTAAGGGCACTTAAAAAAAATGTCTGCGTAATACAGAGAAAGACCAACACATAAGCATACCAAATCTTGCCTCATGTAGCTTTCCCAAGGATTTGTGGTCGCCTGGACCAGTGGCGGAGCCAGGTTTACGTCCAAGGAGGGCGAAATATCTAAGATTGCCCAAATGTCTGACCTAAAAACTTGCTTTCGGGGCAACGAGAGAGGGTGGTAAGGGCTCCACCACTGGTCCGGACGAACAAACACGCTATAATATGAGTGTATATTGAATACAATATACTAATGCAAGGTTCCAGAAAAGAACACTGAAATTTGCTGAAATCTTGTTAAATTGTGTGTTTGGATTTCAAATTTATAGCATCTATATATAGTTTACAAATTAACGTCAATTATAGTTAGTGGTTGAATTGAGTGCTTCGTGTTTATAGGCAATGTTGGGAAATAATATAATTGAGAAGAACCAGTTGTATTAGATATAGACAGGTTGTAAACATTCTCTTTCAAATCCAAATGTAATTATGTTTACGTTAAAATGCATTAAGAGGATGGGCCATGCACGCAAAAACTTTATATATTCAATGCGATTGCTTTTTACATTCTACGTTCTTTAGTGGGAGGAAGGAGATTTATTTGGAGGATGGGTGGTTCATTTCTATCTTGATTCCAATGACTTCAATGCGTTTCACTTTATGTCCAACGTCTGCACAGCCAAATTCAAATTGGCAAGAGAGATTTAATTCGATCTTGCATCGGACAGAATCTCGAGCAGCTGGATTGTCAATAACAGCTAGCTACTGGTAGTATCTTAGATCGTTGGATTCGTTGCCACCGTGTTCATGTTCTTGCATAGTGAATAATCTTATTGTCATCAACCCAAGCGTCGAAAATTGCCACCATCCAATATCTTGCAGTTGCCAGTAATCAACAAAATTTGCTTTACGAGTCGGTGCTTGAGCTCATGGAGTTCTGAAGCGCTCAATTCAAGATAATAAGATCTTGATAAATATAAGATAATGTTAAATGCCTTGGTTTAATGCTTATATTACGTGTATTGAAAATGAATGAAGCAGTTAAGTCAACCATAAAATATGAATACTGCCATATAACAGTCATGCGACGACGATCAGCAAAAGTGTAATAAATAATGTAACACCATGAGGTCAATTACATCTCGTATAGTAATATTCGATTATATTATGTAGTAGATATTATGTTATCGGCTGCCGTGTCAGCATTAGAAAAAAAATATCGTTTTCCACTAGCTGTCTACAAAATGGCAAGCGTTTTATGGCCAGATTGCCACGTTGGTATATTGACAATTAGATTACTGTGTATTATTTTCCTATAAAAATATTTCTCACGATATTTTCAATACTAATGTAAGAGGGACCGTAATGTAATACCCATTTAATATAGTACAGTATCTTCTTAACTGTTAATTGAAAATATAAATAAATGTGTACTCACAATCAAAGGCAAATAATGACGGCTCGCTACCATCCATTGCTATAACAACTTTAGTTGGTTTCGTAGTGGACATGGTGTACACTGTTAATCCAATAAACTTTCTGACTAAAACTAGTGATCAGAGAGTAGAAGTCACGTGATAATGTCGACTTTATCTATATTCTCTCCGTCTCTTCAATCATTGATTGAATACTTGATACTATCAAAAGGAAAAGTTGGCTATAAATCTAACACGCCGATAACTAATCATATTGTGTACATAATATAATTGTAGAAAAATTAAGAATTAGATTGTAAATGTGACGTTGGGTTGTAGAGTGACCTCCCTTTGGATTCGTCTGGAGTTTTACGTCCTCATTTGTTGTTATCTTGTTAGTGGTTTTTTTTTTAGAGGGGGGGGGGGGGGATTTGAGCCCGATCATCTTTTAAACCACGCCCCATATCAATTTACAGATGGCATCTGGTTCACTTTATCTAAATAATTTGTAAATATAAACCAATCAAAACGACCCATTTCATACCACTGGGTGTGGCCGTACTCATATGTAATATACATTTCCGTGCGTTTGTTCATATTTACAAAACTAAACATATGAAGAAATATGTTGATTGGCCGGTTTGCAAATCCCGTGACATGAAAATATAAATAGTTTCGAGCGTATTAATGACACATTGCCTGAAATCGGCTTCACAAATTTAAAGTAGGACCCTTGGGATGTAACCCCAATCTCCAGTTAGCAATCGACCATCCACGACTTCATCAGTTGATTGATTGTTACCTCGATAGAAAGAGAGCATGGTGAAATGTATACACTAGTGTGAGTAATCGAGATTATATCTTCCTGAGTAGCTTCCCTTGATAAGTTACTTTGATCTTGAGCTTTGACCAAAACCGTATTAGCCATTGCGCAGTTGGTTGACAAAAATCTGGTCAAGGACTCCATTATAGGTGTACTAGTATCACATTCATCTACCGTTACTTCTAAGGTGCATGATAAATTATTTTTAATCATATACTTTTCAAATAGAAATTTTAAAAACAGAACCTAAAAAATCATGTTGTTACTTCAAATATGTCGATTCATAGAGGATGTTGGTTTGTATAGAGGATGCGATCCGGAGGGGATTCACTGTACACAATATATCAGTTTTACCAAAACAAATTTAAAACCAAAAATTAAATGAAATTGTCAATCTGATCTGATCGTGGTGTCGGGTAACAATTTGAATGTTAAGGGTTTGGGTCGACTGACGATTCAAAGAGTCTCGTCGTATCTGTAAATATCGACACTTTTAGTTGTTGCTTGACTGAATTCAACAATTTATCAGCTTCATCAAAACGACAGTTACTTTCAGATTCTACCCACAACCAGGTCGAGCTGACAGGCGTACACCTCAATCCCAACCACTGAACACTACAAACAATTAACCAAACTATCGGCAAATATTATATATGAGTAAAAGGAAAGACAGCAGTAGAGCCCAATAGACTATTTGATTCGTTGGAGGTTGGTTAGATGACTCAGGGTCAAAGGTTGCCAGTAATCGAACCGGACCACCACTGCCATCGTGTAGCTTGATGATGCCTACAAATATTGTCGCACCATTCTCTGGTATTTTTTCGAGGAAGGCAACGTTTTCAAGTCCAGGAATATTGTACTTTCCGAGCATCTGGTGAACGGGAAAGGTTTTGCTTTGTCCATAATCAACAGAAGCTGTATCCACCCCTACGATACTGATATCCCGATGTTTTATCAACCACTCAACAGCATCTTCGTGAAAGGATGGAAAGTGGAAAGTGTCAGGATTGGACGGTTCCTGGGAATTGAAATAATCTTTCTTTTCTGCGTATCTCACAGTCCAACCCGACTTCATCAGAACAATACTACCAGCGGGAATTTGACCATGGTCTGATTCCCATTGGGTGATGTCTTCAATCTGAACTCGATAGTCTGGATTTGATGAAGCTTTCTGAGTTATATTGATGACCACTACTGGACCAATCAGTCTTTCTGGTGGTATCTCTTGTACTCTCCAACTGCCTTTAAAGAAATGAGCAGGTGCGTCGAGATGGGTTCCACCGTGTTCAGCTGTACTGAAGTAGTTACTTTCATACCTACAATGATATTAAAAAAGAAGAGCTATGCTAATCCTAATTTCTCATACATAAATCTTGCTCTTGTTTATTAATTTTTAAACGCCCACATTATAATGTGGTCGTATATTGTAATCGGTCTGTCCGTCCGTCCGTTCGTGCTCACTCTACAGGCTACAATTCTATACAGATTCTTTTGATTCTTATTTTGTGGGTCAATGATTTTTAGATCTTTTTTCGATTTTCGTGATGATCTGATTTTCGTTCGTTTGTACACACTTGACTCGTGCTCACTCTACAGGCTTCAAACAATGATTTGTACCTGCAATCAAAGTGGGCTATCTTTGATTTTCAAACTAGCAGTACACCTTGTGCATAAAATAAATTCTGTTACACTTCCGATTTTGAAAATGTTTTGAGCATTTTAAAATTCTGCATACATCAAGAACACGAGTATGACAAATAGAAATAGTAATAATTTGCGATTACAATTGGTGACATTTTAATCACCCATATTATCTATTATTTACATAAAAAATACATACCAATAATTCTCGGTCTGTTCACGACTGAGAATAGTAAAGTTGAATTTTGGAGAATTGGGCCAATAAATAGTAGAAGTGTTAATGGAGTAAGTTCAGTCCACAATTCTTAATTGTTGGTTACCAATCACGACAGTTATACTGGATACATAGAGCAGCAACATTCTAATGTGAGACATCTGAAAATATATGCAACTACAGTCAGTGGCGGAGCAGAGGGGGCAGAGGGGGCTAAAAATTTAATGCGTTTAAGAAATCAGGACTCACATTTATATTTTTCGATTTCAGTGGGGCTCATCCTTGGGTGATAAACAATTTCTCCTTGTTATGTCAAAATCGGTCAAAAACATACTTTCTAGAGTGCTCACGAAATGTTTTTTTTTTAACAATATTTTATTCATATAAATATGAAAAGGATTGGGGAACAAGCTTTCGCCTATACAACCACCCTCCTAGAAAAACGAAGGACTGGCGGACGGACCGACGAACATTGGAGAAAACAAAATATGCTCCAGATTTCACGTATTCGTATAAAAATGCGTTTCTGAAACCACAGCGGTATAGAACGTCATTTGTTATAGCATCGAACAGATCTACTAGTGAAAGGAGACTCAGGGCCAACACCTGAAAACATCCCAGTCGTAAATGGGAAAATATTTTCTTACCTTGTAAACTAACGGGGCGCTATCTCCACCGTAAAATCGAGAGACTGTACAATGAACTGATCAAACCTTATAATGAATAGTATTCACAGCATTAGTGAGGGGTGGTAAAACCAAGATCAGCAAAATCATACGGTAAGGTCACCAAGCAAGTTTTGACAACACGCTTGAGAAAACCTCAGTGGAGCCCAAAAACGTTGACCCTTGTCCAGAATTAACCGCGTTTGAATGTTAAAATGATGACTCGTCAAGAAAAGATACTCTGTGATATATAGAAAAGATAAATATAGAAATAGTGAGTAAAATTCCTAGTCTGACGTATTTTTTAAATAATTATGCGATTTTCGTGCATTCAAGACTCTAATCAACCCCCCAAAATAGCACATCTGTACCGGTTAAAGTGGGTTTACTGGATTTTAGGACTATGTTTGCTTGAGAAAAGCTCGGATTTGGTTGAATTTGAGGTACACGTGATTTACATCATCATCATCATCATCATCAATGTAATGACTTCATCCAGTATTACATTGATATTGATCTAAAGACATAACTCTTCTTCAAAAAAACAATGGTATACATATACACTGTTGGAAATAGAGTTACAGATATGAGGTTGTAACTTCTATTGCGTTTTTCATTTTGCTGTATAAACAATAAACATATCACAGTTTATTATAAGCGAGTTACCATATTCATGTTAAGGATAGGATACATTATTGATACCAGTAGTATTAAAGATGGTTTCCCTTATCTTCATTTATGAAAATGATAATACTTATATCAATAGAAAGTAGAGGTGTTCGAATGACCAGCGCGGCACTTGGATTGTCTTCAATATTGAAAACCTGTGAACTATTCAAAGGTAATGTTGTTAGGTATATAAGTATTTTTCGTAGGAATTTGACAAATAAATCCTGTCTTCCCATAACAAAAGAAGTCCGCAAGACCGACAGGAGGTGAAGTTACATCATAAACCACACAATGTTGATCATCACGAAAGTTATTGGGATCAGATGGTGTAAACATGGATCTATTGATTGGAACACCATTAAACCATTCCCATACAGCTTCTTCATTCTTATCGGTTGCTCCAAGAAAGGTATATCTATGCAAACCTGAATAGATAGACAATTCCTAATTTAAACGGCTTGACTTTATCTTGATGGGCTGTTCATCAGAGAGGAGCTTTTTCCGTTCGACCGTCCGTTTCTTGTAGACACGATCTTAGTCCAACTTGGTATGCATGTATATATTGATGAGATTTTGGCAAAGTATACATTTGTCTGAATTATTGATAAATGAACAGTTCTTGAGTCCCCTAACTTGACTTAAGCCCGATGCTACAAGGGGCTAGCCCCTTAACCCACCCACCCACACCCCGAAAAAATTGACATCCGACCAATTCCATTACTGCAATTAAACACCAAACATCATTGTCACTCTGAACAATCAAGTCTGGCAACGGGCCTGGTTGACTTTTTTCCAGCTCTTTTTCTCTCTGGCGTCACTCAGTTAAGGCTAGATTGTTGTCAGATTAAAACAGATGTATTTAAATGGGCCTTACCAGCATTGACATATTCTTTCATTACAATCTGGCTGTCTGGTGTATCTAATATAAACAAAAACCCTCCATCACCTTCACACTGGCTCTGAGCCGCATCCCATGTCACTTTGGTGGAATTATATTTAGTGCATATTTTACTGATGGAATGTTCATTGTATCCAAGATGTTTTGGACATTCAGCTGTAATGATAAGATGAGAAATGGTCATTAAAATACACCTGTCTACAATCATATGACTCAAACATTTTAGTCGACTATTCCTGAATCTAATAGTTGCCTCAAAGTATAAACCAATAGAAAGAACTTACGGAACTTAATTTTTCAATTAACCAACAGAAAATTGAATTAAGGACCTATGGAACTTAATTTTTCAATTAACCAATAGAAAATTGAATTAAGAACTTACAGAACTTATATACCTTCTTCAATTAACCAATAGAAAATTGAATTCATAACTTACGGAACTTACCTTCTCCAATTAACCAACAGAAAATTGAATTTAGAACTAACGGAACCTACCTTCTTCAATTAACCAATAGAAAATTGGATTAAGAACTTACGGAACTTACCTTCTCCAATTAACCAACAGAAAATTGAATTTAGAACTTACGGAACCTACCTTCTTCAATTAACCAATAAAAAATTGGATTAAGAACTTACGTAACTTACCTTCTCTAATTAACCAACAGAAAATTGAATTAAGGACCTACGGAACTTAATTTTTCAATTAACCAATAGAAAATTGAATTAAGAACTTACAGAACGTATATACCTTCTTCAATTAACCAACAGAAAATTGAATTCATGACTTACGGAACTTACCTTCTCCAATTAACCAACAGAAAATTGAATTCATGACTTACGGAACTTACCTTCTCCAATTAACCAACAGAAAATTGAAATAAGAACTAACGGAACTTACCTTCTTCAATTAACCAACAGAAAATTGGATTAAGAACTTACGGAACTTAATTTTTCAATTAACCAATAGAAAATTAAATTAAGGACTACCGGAACTTAACTTCTTCAATTAACCAATAGAAAATTGTATTAAGAATTTACAGAACTTACATTCTTCAATAAACAAATAGAAAATTGAATTTAGAACTTACGGAACTTACCTTCAAGTAGCCAATAGTAGATGAGGTCTGAGCTTAAAGTTCCTGCTAGTCCAGCATAAATTCGATTATCATATAACAAACACTTTATGGTACTTGTTTCAATACCGACTGATTTACAAGTTCCATGATTTCGACAAAGTTCCAGACATTCGTAGGCAGAACTTACTGCAAGTTCACTCAGATAATTGTCTATCTGTTTTGTTGTATATTGTATTTTCATGTATAATGAATCCACACATGCGTTGCCTCGAACGTGCCTGGTTTGCATTAGAAGTCTAAAAACGGCAAATCCAAGAATTAGTAATAGTTTATTCATTTCGAATTTCCGTTGCCACCCGTAACAAAAATAATCCACAAAAGTTACAAAAATACGCAGTCTTTTCCTGTATCGAAAGAGCAAGATTTGTGGCTTTTTGAAATTCTTAGATTATCTTGCGAGATATAAATAAATATTTTATATAAGAATACGACATGAAGTGCAGCCTACCGTTTATTAAAAATTTCTCGTAACAATTCCAGATGAACAATATAGATAGTTTTTGACTAAACTTAGTAAATTCTTCATCGGCCAAAAATAAATTGTTGCATTTGTACCCCCACTTAATATTTTCACAAATTTAAAATTCTGATTTTTTTACGCTTTTGCCCCAAAATATGTGCCAGAATACACCAAATCAATTCAATATTTGAAAATTTCATTGTTAGAACCCTCTCAGCCCCTCGTGAGAGGCTGGCGATTATCGACAGAGCTGTCGCATTTTAAATTCAGCTTTGACATTGTCTCCCCATTGAGTCAGTCTGCCCCCTATTTGTATACCTCCAGTCTCGGAAGGCTGGCGTTGTCATTGTGCTCTTATACAAAGAAACGAAAGAAACATATTATTAAGGGATGTTGTTAAGCAATCCCATTATTCCATTTAGCAATTGATTTTGAAATTTTGAAAAAATAAATATTACCACCTCACCAATATATATAAACTAAACGAGGATTCCGTATATTGAAATTTGAGCAATCGACGATAACAATTTCCGCAAGTTTTAAGATTTGGCACTTCGAGAAATTTGTAGGTTTCGCATCTTCAAACCGAAAGTTTCTGGTTTTACCAACTCTGCATGCAAGTCTCAGAAGAGTGAGTTAGTTTAATCGTAGACGAACCTGAAATTGCCTTTTTAATTTTTAAAAGTTGACACGAAGTTCTGTCAGCCAGGAAAGTAAAATTATTAGTTGCCTTTATCCCTTAGCTAAATCCCTGGAGTGTCCAATTATATAGTATAATACAGACACAATGGAATATAAGACAATAAGCGAATTGATTTATAATTCATTATTAAAATCACAAACGAACCAACCATTGAGTTTACGGCGGTCTGATCGTAATAATCTTTGCGATAGCGTCATGCACATAATTATACGATAGAAAAACTTCCCATTGTCTTCTAACAGAATTCTTTACCTAAAGGTGCAGGCACACGTGCTATCTTGGTCGGAGATTTTTGTCGCCGACTAGAGTCTTGTCAGGAATTTCGTCGACTGGCACAGTCAGTGGTTTTCGACCATGTCGAAACTGATTCTGATTCGTGTGCCCTTTAAAGATACTGGCCCCGTATTCTAGAAACGATCTTAGGATGTCCCAAATTCTTATCTTCTAACATTGATTCTAGGACATCCTAGCGCTAATATCGTTTCGAGAATACGGGGCCAGATCTTTTAGGGTCTAAAGACTGGTCTTTTAACCATTCGTCAAAAAACCCTTTTGATCTAACCCTGCTTTAACCAATCAAATTTCTTCCCTCTCCAGTGCTGGCATTTAGTGAGAGTGAGGGAATTTGAAAAGTAATTTTCACAAAGTTTAAGAGGCCAGTCTTGAGACCCTAACTGAAGTGGCTAAATTGAAAATAAAAATTTGGTCTAATTTTATAATGTCCTTCTTAAAATTGTTTTTCTTATTATATCAGTAACACTTATACTCTATTAGTAAAATTAAAATTTAGCTTACATAAATGTTTTATATCAATAATGATATTCAAAATTTTTGGATTTTAAAAAAGTGTCCTAGATTATAACGGAAAATGGTATGGTTACGAACTGTTACATTCCGGATACGTAATTTCTATAGTTATACTTGTTTATTTGTTTACGAAACAAGTTTGTATTTATGGCAAAATTTTCTAATTATTATGTTTGCAAATCTTTTAAATAGCATAATTCATTAGATATGGTAGTATTGATATAGCGAATGTGTAACTAAAAGGCTGTCTAGATTATACTAATTATAGACGTGTTGTTGACAAAACGTAACCAAGGCCAGCAAGAGAAGACATGCTTTTGCTAAACATGTACGCCCGACCTGTTACTTCCGGGTATCAGGTTAGAGTGTGTAGATTTGTTGTCATGATGACATTTGATGTTACGTATGAAGATTTCTGGTGAAAAATGGGATCTTTTAAGTAAATTCATAAACATACTTGTATTAATGGTCTAAAGACAGGAACCTAGGTAGAAACAAAGTAAGTCTTATTGATTTTGCGGAAGAAGTTTAAACTCTCATCTCTCCAATCACTTTCACGTGCAGTCGTGGATTTGTTCTTTACTGACGTAGTGAAATATATGATTTACAATACATATGGCCCCAAGCAACAACAATGCATCTGTAAGTCTTTGTAACTGTAAACTTGGAAGTAGGCTAAGTGCTACTATCCGACCACATATAGTCCGAAACATCTGCCTCTATTGCAGCCTCTGGATATTTTGACAGTTGTCAGAGTCAGAAAAAGTAGGCCATGTTAACTGGGATTATTCCACACTTCTGAGAGATTGCAATGACTTGTGAAATCAAATGCCGTTAGTTGAAATGATCAAGCCATAGACAGTTTAACGCCAGATGATGCATTTTGTCTACAAAACATAATATAACATGTTTAATTTCAGAGACGTTTGTTCAGGAACAAAACAATTATTTGACTTATTTCATGAAATTTTATTTATCAACCAATCTGTAGCCTATCTGCATCGATTATCAAATAAACAAATAAGTTGTTCCTAGACTATACTTATTGTTTTGAATTAATGTTGACGTCAAATTGGTACAATTTGATTAGACAAATAGTAGAACTACAAGATAGTCCAGCTATGATGAAATCCATTCAAGCAAGACAATTCCGTAACTCAAAATGCCGTCCAAAGCATGGCAAAAGCCAGAGTAAAAGTTGTTTGGTAATGGACCCCCTCCCAAGAGTATTCTGTTTGGTGTTTCGAAAAGAGTAAGCAGGGTCTGCTTTGCAGACACCTGCCACATAGGTCAATATCATCAGATACAACAAGATCAATTAATGCCTGACCAAACAAATAATCTATCTTACCCTTTTAACAAAATCTGGACACAAGTAACTCCCAATCAAAGTACTAAAATCACCAGGTTTAATCCTTATTTATTATTGTTAAGGATTATATATATTAAGCAAGATATTTATGGACCCTGACTGGGCAATATTGGTTCATCACAATAGTTATTGTTGATTTGTCACTACTGGTACATGACCATGGGTAGCTTTCATGATGTTTCTTACAGTTTGGTGTCACTGTTGATTGAAAAAGTTTTGTCAAGGTGGTTCTGGAATGGGCAAACTGGGAATTAACTTAAACAGATTGTAAGATATTTTCTAAATTTTTTAAGTGTTTGATGACGTCACTAATTGCAAACGACCTTATGTGATGAAACCATATTTTAGTGACATCATCAAACACCTAGTTTTAGTGGTGCAAATTGATGTTATCAGTGTATCCGAAAATTAGAAGAAACTTTTGAAGAAATTTTTTTTTTTTCCAGTTAGTTTAAAAGATTACCATCATGTTAAATAGAAAGAGTAAAGTATTGGTGGTCGTTCCCCTTTATTGGATAGTTTCCATATCTATTGTGTTTGTCAACAAACATTTATTAAACAACAACAACAAACAAGACTTGTCCATATTTATAGCCTGGTTCCAATGTTTGGTATCAGTTCTGACATTGTTTTTGCTAAAACTTGTCATGCCTGGAAAAGTTCCACCTTTGGAAATTCCAACTTTACTACACAGTGATATGTTATCCTTGTCCTTCAACTTTGTGGCTTCTTTAACTCTGAATAATCTTATGCTCAAACATATCAGTGTGGCTTTTTATCAAATCGGTCGCTCGTTCACGTTAATATTCACCATTATATTGAGTGTGTGTATGTTACATAAACACTTAAAGATAACCACCCTTATTCCATGTGTGTGTATCATATTAGGATTTTTCATCAGTGTGGGAGAGGAAGAAGAATCAGGAACTGTCTCCATCTGGGGAATTATATATGGAATATTGTCCAGTCTTTCAGCAGCGTATTGTGCCATATATTTTCGTAAAGTAGAAGGTATAACCAATGGCAGTGCAGTGAAAATAGCTTATTATAATAATGTGAATAGTTTTATTATATTTTTACCGTTAGTTATTAGTACTAATCAACTATCAAATGTTTTCCATTCCACTCTGATATATGATAAATATTTCTGGATGTGTTTGGGTCTGTCTGGGGTCATGAGCTTGACCATGGGATGGGTCAGTGCTTTGCAAATTCAGTATACATCCCCTGTAACCCATCACATTAGCATCAATGCCAAATCTGTGGCCCAAACTGTCATAGCCATCATATTGTACAAGGAATCAAAGTCTCTGGTTTGGTGGACTGGAAACCTGTTAGTTATGTCAGGAATTTTGTCATACGCTTGGTTGAATTTTCAGGAACGAGAAGAACCTATTCTGTTAAAATCCTCACCAAAACCAGAAAAGAATGGTGTATCTGTGTTGTGATCAATACAAAATGCATCTCATCGCAGAATAATTTTAAGTGGGTATGCAAGCCAATTTAAGGTGTTATTTTTCTTTTTGATGTAAATGGAAAAACCTTTTATATTCAGTGCCAGAGGATTATGTTGTATTTTCAAATCAAGATATTTGTGCATATTCGAGTTTTCTTCAAAACACAAGGAGTTCTATTCAAAACACAAGGAGTTCTATTCAAAACATAGGCTATGGGGTTCTATTCAACATATTGTGAGTTCTATTCAAACATAAGGAGTTCTATTCAAAATATTAGGAGTTCTATTCAAAATATTAGGAATTCTGCTCAAAACATTATGAGTTCTATTCAAAACATTATGAGTTCTATTCAAAACATTATGAGTTCTATTCAAAACATTATGAGTTCTATTCAAAACATTATGAGTTCTATTCAAAACATTATGAGTTCTATTCAAAACATAAGAAGTCAAAGGCATTATGTTTCTCTCATTGCACACTGCATGGCGCTGCCTGTTTTCATTAGCCCATTAGGAGCAGAAAAGTAGGATATAAAGTTCCATGTATTTCATTTTCTATGCTTTGATATGCACGAATCTTTTATCAAATATATCATATTTGTGCTTGATTATATATGTATATCAATTCCTTGTCATTAGTAACTGAAGACACATTCCACACCAAGGACAAGGTTGCAGTGGTGGTCCCCATGGGGGTATGTTTTTTTTTCCTCAATTTAACCCTCAAATCATTTCTAAGAAAATTTGAAATAGTATGATTTTTGCATGTTTTTGCCCCAAATATGTGTCAGAATGCTCCAAATCAATTCTTTTTTGGCTTGTGCCTATGTGCTTTACAGAAATGCTGCATTTTGAATCACCCTGTGAAATCAGTCTGTCCCCTATTTGTACCCCTAGTCTTTAGAAGGCTAGCATCACCACTGCAAGATTGTCGATAAACTGATAGAGGTTATTTTGTTATTGTATATTATTGTATTAAAAGGATTGTAAATTTTGTATGCGTATCGGAGACACTGAGAGCATCTATTTGCACCATTCTCATTATTAATCAGACGCCTGTTTTAGTTCAATTGCAGGAACCACAGATGTCTGATTAAAAGTTGGAATGGTGCAAATTGATGCTAACATTGCCCCCCCTATACACATACAAAATTTAGAAAACCTCTTTACAATCCCTTTAAGTACTTACTGACACACTGTTATTGTATTATTTATCATTAGCCTTTGTTTTATATAGTGTTATAGTTTTATATATATAGATTTATATACATACTGGGTTGCTTTGAAGAAATATAATCGCAATAACTTCTTAGCTAGTTCATTAAAATCAATCTTAGGTATTCATAACCCGGTTTGGAACATCTAATGTTCAATTTACATAATGCTTTCACATTCTCTTATTCATATATTGTGGGGGACCGCTTGAAACCTCGTGTAAAGATATATGAAGCGAAATTACTTTTTGAGAAAAAACTATTTGTACTCAAGTTTTGTTCAAATTTTTATTATTTTTTACGGCTATTTGTGTTTTTCATTCTTTGAAAATTTAAACCTCGTTTAATAGTACAGTATACAAGGTTTTTCATTTTCATTCGCAGATTAATGAACATTGAACCATGTATAATAATATATTTTACGAGGTTTTAAATTTGACTGTTTATATACGTGTTATTTAATTAGTGGTTTTTGGATTATTTACAATCAAGAATATGAGGTTTTGATCAAAAGATCTGCGCTTTTACGAGCTTTCGAACAGTACTAAAAAGTCAAAATGACCAAATATGGCATATACAAGGTTGTAAGTGGTCACCTACGATATAGTATGTCATTGGTGCTTTATGTTTTAAAGATTTTTACTAACTACTTGAAAGAGATAATAGAGTAAAGTTATTTAGCAAAATTTTATTTTGGTTTTATATTGATTTAATATTGATGCTGTCTAAAATAATAATATGAACTGCATTTAATTAGTAATGTTTTGGTTCTTCTCCAGATTTGAAATTTAACTGTGCTCTACTATATTAATCTAGTAAACAAAGAGTAAACTTCATTTGGGTATACAGTTTTAAGTTTTTGTATTATGTTATGTTGTATATTATTGACCTATTCTATACAAGACCCCGTGATCATTATAACTTCATCTTAAGTAACTCCAAGAGTTAATTTTGCCAATTTACTCAAAAAACAAGTTTTCCCACCCCACTTCACCAACCAAATCTGGCTCAACCCTCTCCTCAGATGTGATAGTAAATCAGTATTTTTAGGGCTCAATCAGTGGCATTTCTGAGGAGACCAGAAAAAATATTGGCCCGGCTGTGGCCCATCTTCCCCCTTATTTATTTTTATTCATTTTACATAGTGAACAAATGGTTTGTGGCCCCCCTGGAAAATTTTGTAGGCCCTGTTTGTCCCCTCATCTCATGTTTCCTAGACACTGGGCTGAAAAGGTCACATTTTACAAGAGTTGCTCTGATCTATTTTTTGATTGCTAATTATGAGAATTTTCACTATGAATACAGCCAAAATAATTACAAAACTGAACCATAAATGAATCCATCAAGACATTTCTGGATATTCTTCAATGTCCCAGTGTCTCACTAGGTACCATTATACAGTTGAGGGGTTGGCTTTTCTCTAATTCCTACAACTCTGTAAGTTAAGCCTATCTCTGGAATGAATTGTGGTAGGTATATAAGGGGAGGCACAAGGACATAACAAGATATCTGATAGTGTCTTGATGAATTCATGAATGGTTCCATATGGTTTCCATTCCAACAGTTATGCCAAATTTGGTTTTTGCCATGGTAAATATTCTCTAGTTATTTGCTTCCTAAATTGAAAATCTGGCATAAGGTTAGTAGACAATCAATTCACTAATCTACCATATAATTGGAAAAAACTCAGATCCAGTGGAAGTCTGCAGATTTTATTTCATTGTAGATAAACTTGTGTCAGATTTTCATTTAGTGCACAGTATTTTTGAAATTGTTGAAAAATAAGAATATTTAATAACCGTTTTTTAACACCAAGTGTTTAAAAAGTTACTTAAACCTATATTACACAATGTATTAAAATGTTATATTATTGTTTTCAATTAAAGAAAATTCATTTTCATGTATTATCAAGTTTTATATTTGGTAAGAATTTGATTGGCTATGTCCAACATGGTGGTGGTGGGTTTCAATCTTGGTCAGTGTGTGAAATCTGGAAATCTTGACTGTGTATCCTCTCCTCATTATTCCAGTTGACTCAAAAAAAATGGGTGAACCTAATTTGTTTTATCAGTAAAAAATGCTTATTTCTTTTCATTTTTATGGGATAATTCATTCAAAAGTAGATCTGACAATGTCTTGTTCAGTATCATGTTCAGATGTAGTCTAAACTTATAAAGGTGAATCTGGTTGCACAGCCACATGCAGTTAGTTACCAAATATTTTATTTTAAAGGGTCAGGTGTGCCATTATGAGAAGTTGATTTTAGTCCTGAATATATGAAAATAGTCTTTAGAAGTACTATAAATGTACGAACATCGCATAATTCCTTAAAAAAACTAAGAATTTTACTCACTATTTCTATAAATATCACAGACTATCTTAAATTGATGAGTCGTCATTTTAACATTCAAACTCAGATAATTCTATCCACACATGGATATGAAGGCTCATGGATATGAAGGCTCAAATTTCGATGGTGAGCTATGAAAGCAATGAAAGCACTGGCCTAGGTCACAGAGCAATAGATAAGTCTATTGATTATGTGAAAATTAGTTAGTCATTAGTATGATTTTAGTTGAAAGTACACACACACAAAAATACACTGCATGTTATATAATAAACTGTATATAGCCATGGCACCAGTCCTGAAATAAGTATTCCCTGAAATCTAACTCAGAAATAGATTAATTTATTGATAGAACATGACACATTTATATTAAGAAATCTATGCTCCTAGGATGAATGGACATTGTTCAATGGTTCAAGTCTACCGTGAAAGAGGAAATTGCTAAGATTTTGATTTCTTTTGTAAGCTACAACCTAACGTTTTGTGTATACATGGGGAAATTTGTTCTGAAGTTCCGAGTAATGGCGTTTGACTATTATGGATCATAAAATGGGTTACCTGTCCCTTCAAATGAAAATTTTGTTCACATGCTAAATTTGTCTCTGGGCATAGAACTAATCAATTTGATGAATTCAGGATTAAATAATGATATAACTACTTTAAGAAAGGAATAATTATATTCATAAAATTTGGCAAGTTATAAATAATATATATAAGTAACAATTGATTTACATACTAAAACAATATATGATACAATATTGATACAAACATGATAACAATTCAACTAAATTTGCTTCTATAGGCTTAGGCAATTTAGAATTCCCAAGAAAGTGTACAGACAGTAGGTTGAACATATTTAAATCAACAAATTTCTGACAAATTCAACAAAAGCTGCATTAAAAAGATATTATCTCTTAGAATGGAGATAAAAGTTAAAGTCTCAAACTTGGTCAACAAGTGTTTATATTAATCAGATGGACTTACCAAGTGTCATAACTAAAGAATAGAATCTCTATATAAGACAATATATCCATTAAACTAAGTAATTATTGAAATGTGCTTAAAATTGCTTAGTTTAATGAATTATTACTTAGTTTCATAGATTTATTGGATTATAGAGGGATTCTGTTGTACAGTTATGACACCAAGTAACTCCACTGATAAACAAAGATTCATTTTTAACCAAGTTTAAAATCTCAATCCTAAGAGGTAGTACCCCAGTGAGTATCTAATTTAAATTGGCTGCACAATAATTCTTTTACCAAGATTGAAATTCGAGGTACAACAAACAATCCTACTTCATAAACAATTGAAGTACTTCTCTGATCATGCTAGTTGTATACTTGATTCCTTATTAAGAGAGTTCACTTGTTTCTTATGCTGAAATATATAGGATAATTACATAATATTGAGAAAGATATGACAAAAAATAATTGCATGTCGATGAAATATAAATTATATATATAAAAAATAAATAATGATCTACATTATACAATATCACAGCACAATAGAAGATACATATATAAATATAGATATCAAAAGATACACAAACAGGATCAAAAGATACACGACAAAACAAGATCCAAAAATACACGACAAAACGAGATCCAAAAATACACGACAAAACAAGATCCAAAGATGCACAACAACAGGATTTAAAGATACATGCCAACTTAACAACACAACTTAAAGATACATGTCAAGTCAACGACACGATTTAAAGATACATGTCAAGTCAACGACACGATTTAAAGATACATGTCAAGTCAACGACACGATTTAAAGATACATGTCAGGTCAACAACACGATTTAAAGATACACAACAAAACAGGATTAAAATATACACAACAAAACAGGATTAAAAAGAAATCTAGACCTAACAATCCTGAAAGCACTTCCACACAATGCATGATGAAAACACAGAAGTCATGTGTTTTGATGGTCCTTATAAAGATACTACCTCCACACTTTTATAAACCACAACGAACTGGTGAAATTTATTCGATGTGGAAATAATCATTATTTAACCCTGAGCAGCGCATTATCTGACATCATTTAGCAATGGCAGCCTGTAATAAATTACCTTGTGGAACGTCAGCTACTTTTGAAGGATTAATGAGATACTTATTGCTTTACTAGCTGATAGATTTCAATGCTAGCTATTCATCCAAATTTTTAGCATTGTAGCTCTTCAAATTTATTTTGTTAGTAACTTATTCAAAAGGGTAAAAATATTTCGAAATTAGTGAAAAATTTTTTTAATTCCTTTTTACTCACTGAAATGGAACTATTTAGTTAGATAAGCATGTATTGTGTGAGCTCAGCTTTAACATTGTCTTATGTGATACACATGAAAAATGTCTGAAACACATAAACAATGTCTGAAACACATAAACAATGTCTGAAACACATAAACAATGTCTGAAACACATAGAACATAAATGTCTGAACAGTCAGTCCATAGAATAACTAACAAATAGTCACAGTAATATACACTACAGGTTAGGTGAATTTAACTATTTTTTCTTCTTTTTCCCACCTTTTTTCCCTTTCTTTTTCTTGGGAGCATCAGGCCATCCGAAGCCTCGCTTGACAAGAGCATCTGGGGCATCATGTGCAATGTAATATAGATTTTCCATAGCAGGAACACTACAAATGTCAATTTCTGATTTCACAGACTTAACAGATGCTGATTTTTTGGCTGATTTTTTCCCACTTTTCTTTCCTGACTTTTTCCCTGACTTTTTCCCTGATTTTTTGGCTGATTTCTTCCCTGACTTTTTCTTGCCAACCTGAAATCAGAAGAGTCATAAAAGCCTATCATAGAATATAATTTCATTATTCAAAGTCAAGGGCATTAATCTATAAACTTGTAATTGCCATATGCCAATTCCTTTCATTATTCTGCTTCCAATAGGGTCTATTGGTAATTTTGTTTTTGAAAAAGGGTGGCTGACTTTCAGAGCACCTGGTACCACTCTGTGACTATGATTAGTCACTGTAGACCACACAGCTAATTAATGTTTCTTTATCATAAAATTGCTCTTACCATTTTGAAAGTTTCTACTGTAGTATTTTAGACACCTCACATACTGGCTAGTTTCACTAGTACTGGTATATTAAAACTGACCAATCAATATCTCATATCACAATAGATATAGTTTCATTATTATACACCTAGAGCAATAAAAGGAAATATATAGTTTATAGCTTATATTGAGTTACAAAACAAAGTCATAAAGGAAATATCCACAATTCCTAGTCTGAAACATCTGCCCTTATTAACCTATTCCAGCCTCTGATAGATATTTGGTCAATTATTAGTCAGAAAAACCAGGAACTGACTTTATGGATGGGAATTTGCACACTTCCGAAGGCAAAGATGCAAATTAGTGACCCTTGAACTCTATTGTCCTGTGCCACGGCTTTGCCTAAATCTTTCATGGGCATGGGATGAAATAAAAATAGATATATCCAATAATAATCTTAAATATGCCGTAAGATTATTTTGATGATTTTGACGACAACGGTAGGCTTAGGCCCTACTGCTAACAATTTTATAAATGTTATATTTTTGTTAAAAACCCTTAAAAATGGGAAGCATTATTGGCTACCTATATTCTTTAGGCCAAGATCTTTTATGTCTTTGAGTTGCCTAGATCTTTTATGTCTTTGATGGTTTTGCCTTGGTAACTTTTTTTGTCAAACTATTGATTGACAGTTTTTTCGTTTGATATTCGATGTTTTTAAATTGATCAACTGAGCAGTTATTAATCTAATCCGTCACGATATCGTTCAAATTGCATAAAACATTAATGCCTAGAAAACACATAACATAAAATTATAACTCACGGGTACATCAATTATTTATGACAGCAATTAATCAATCCTTGCGTGTTTGTTATCTATCTTCTCGACATATTGCCCCGAATGGCGTCGTAACTACCTTGACAACATATCACGTGATAGTTATTTACTTCTGATATGAACATTGTGAAAAATTATGAAAAAGGCGAAATTTTATTACATTAAGACTTAAAATAGTGTGAAATTTCGGGAAAGGCCTTAAAACAGACAAATATTAGAATGTCATCAAAATTTTAATAAAATTCTTGAAATGTCTTGGAACGGTTTTCGTCCAGACATTTTTTGTAGTTAAAAATGACAATAAATCTAGAGTCTAGTAAAACAAGTCTACAAGGCACATGATAACTTCCGGTTTCATGGCGTTGGGGAAAATTTCAAGGAATAAGTATGTATTAATGTCTCAAAATAACCATTGAAGGTGCGAAAATGTTGTCAAATTATTGTATTTAAGAAGAACAGTATATCGAGGTATTTTTGGCTCAATGGCAATTCAATTGCAATGAGTAATTGGCCATTTTCTTTATCGAAAACAAAGAGACACTGCGGATTGGTGAAGTATGTTAACAAAAATAGGCGTGGCTTCTACAGTCACGTGTAATGAATGTTTACATTTGATACACGTGGGTATGTTGTTGTCAGATTTGAAATGGAAAAATGCCTATGTGTGCTTACTATCATGAGATTTGCTTATTTCACATTTTGATAAAGCTCACATCCCTTCATGAATAGGGTGTTCCATGGTGTCACGCGATCTTGTCTAACTATATTATATAACTTGTCAAAATAGATAGGCTACCTTTGCACCTGTAAGAACTCTTGCCCAAATCCCACAAATATAGATCAATTCATGTTGTATATTCATCATTTAAAGCGGAATTGAATCAGCTTTTTGACCATCGACCATATTCTTGCTGGCTAGAAATTGCAAGTAAACAAAACTGAAAATTCCCCTTTTGTAAGTCATTTTTCAAATTGACGTTCATGATTCAAAACACTCTCATCAAATTATGTGCAAGGTGAGATTATGAAACCACAGTGGTCGGACAGTAATAGTTTAAATTTTTTTGTCTTTTGTAGATCGATTAGGACTCCAAAACTCCACCGGTTGGAAAGATATTTTGATAATCAAATATGGAGGAGATACCCATGCCAAACCTACATCATGACAATCTACCGCAAGAAACAACATACCTCAATCCTCAGCAACAACATCATCAGCCATCAACCGTACTTCCCTATCATGTCAGAAACTGTTTGTATTTGACAGAAAGACTTCAGCAAATGAAAAAGGACAATTTACTGTCGGATCTAGTGTTTGAAATCCATGATCAAAGAATTAATGCACATCGTTGTGTTGTTGCTGCTTGGAGTCCTTATTTGTACAACCATTTAAACATAAATTTAGCATGCATGGAAATAGTCCGAGTGCATTATGACAATTTTGAAATATTTGCAGACATGGTTTCTTTCATGTATACTGGAAAAATTGATCTAAGAGACACCAACTTGATTCAACTCCTTCATTTGGCCACAAGTTTTCAGATAGATACCTTACGCGAGGTTTGTGAAGGTACCTTAAGGTGCAACTTACATGAAGGAAATATAGTCAGTACTTTCTATGTGGCACGGAAATTCAAGCTGGAAAGTTTGGAAGAGTATGCAATGAGTTATCTTCAGATGCACCTACCCGAGGCTGTGAAACAGGCCGATTTTTTGAACCTCAGTGCAGTCAGATTTAATACTTTCCTTAGTACTGGTTGGATGGTGGAACTCAAACCAGAAGTAAAACTCTTCTTAATTATTAGTTGGTTAGGCTATGATGTCAAGGAACGCGAGCAGTTTTTAGTACCATTGCTACAGCACATAGACTGGTCCACTGTGGCAGGAGATTTTTTATTGGAAATCAGCCAAACAGAGAACTTCTTTACCACAAATGAATCCAGTTTATTTCTGCTTCTCCAAACTTTACATAGTTCAGAAATTGACTTGGGATCATACACTGGTATTTTCCCTTCCCTTCGACAAAAATATTCCTACTTATTAAACAAGGTAGTGGAAAACAGTGTCCTCCAAGCTAAAGAAGAACAATACTATCCAGTGTCCATAAGTGTTACCATTGCTTTAGTGCAAGCCAATGATCATCTCACATCTCCAAATACTAGTATTCAAATATCAGAGACATCAACTGTCCAAACACAGCCAGAATCTGTAAATCCATCTGAACAATCTGACAATAATAAAGTAGTAATCAGAAAGTTGCGATCAAATAAAAAGGATGGGAAACAGCATGATTTGACAGCTTCATCATCAGCATCTTCTGGAGCTTTTGATGAAGAACCTGTTCAAGAGGAAGCAACAGATCTAACTGTAGTTCAAAACAATGACAACACTGCACCAGTAGCTGAATCTCAGTCTAAAGATGTTGACACTGAAGAAGAGGATCAGTATGAAGAATATGAGGATGATGATGTCCATGATCCAGACTTTGTGGCTGAAGACACCCAATCTGCATCAAACAAATCTGACTTAAAAGAAACCAAACCTAGAAACAAGCCATCCCCGCCCAAACCAGTATCTTGTCAAAAGAAAAGAAAGAAAACTTATAAGTGCACTGAATGTGAGTACTCCACAGTGAGTGAGGTTCGCTATGAGGATCACAGAAAGAAGAGTCACAGCTCTGATAAAATCTTCTCTTGTCATCTTTGTGACTTCACCTGCTCCTGGAGCAAGAAGTTCAATCAGCATATGTTGGTGCACTACTATGGACCTCCTTATCAATGTGAACATGAAGGATGCAACTATTCCTCAGACACCATTAAGAGTGTCTTAGTACATCGGGTACGCCATACAGACGAACGACCATACCCTTGTGACCAGTGTGACATGAGATTTCGTACCAGAAGTAATTTATGTGCCCACAGAAAATGCCATCAAGGTAATAATTTCATTTTTTAATACGGGAACTTGTCCTCATAATCCTATCCAAGACCACCCATCAGTAAATAATCTACGAAAAATCTGTGCTAGGAGGACTAACTACAAATAAGGTCCTTGTAAACCAAATTTGTTAATTTATAGACTAGTTCTTTTAGTAATCAGTAATTGGTTAATTAAGTCTCCAAGAAATAGAGTTTAAAATTTTAAAATTGTTGTCCATTTCTATTTTCAGGTGAAAAGCCGTGGAAATGCCCTGTTTGTGAAATGAGTTTTGCTACAAAGAGTACACTCAGTCAACATTCAGTTCGTCATAGTGATGATAGACCTTATCTCTGTGATAAATGTGGCTTTGGAACCAAATTCCAGTCTCATCTCATAGCTCATAAACGCATACATACTGGTAGGTTCTTTATCTGTTTGATAGCTTCTTTGAACATATACTGTAGTTTCACATGCTCTTTAAAAGATGATCACATGTCAAAGGTCACTTGATAGCCAGCTCAGTTATATATATTCTACTAGATTATTTTATGGACAAATGGAACCTACTGTTCATAGGGTTAAGATTATGGAAGACTGAACAGTCTAATATTAATCCTTAATTCTTAGTCGTTAAGGCTTGAAATTGGTCTTATCTTTGAAATTGACTGGTGTGTCTTAGATAGGTACATGTACATAATTTTATAGAATTCCGCAAAGCCTACATTATTCATTTAATTTCTCTTATGTAATACTTTTCACTGTGTGAAAATAATTCAGCTGACAAAATCCTTTGCACTGTGGTAAGCTTACTTATCTTTGGTCTTCCAGGAGATGTGTTCAGATGTCAGTTTCCCCAGTGTTCCTATTTTGCTCCGAAACAAAGTCAACTGAAAAGCCACATGAGAACCCATTTGGGAATTCGTAAATTTACCTGCGAGGAATGCGACAAGAGTTTCGTGGAAAAGAGTCACCTTGTCAGACACCAAAAGATCCATTTAGAAGAAAAGCCTTACAGTTGTTCTGAATGTGGGTATTCTTCAACCAGAAAGGACAAATTGAAAGAACACATCCAGAAACGGCATGAAAAGCCTGAGGAACCTAAGGTTGAAAAGAAGCGCAAGAAAAAGGGAAAGAAAGGTGTTAAAATGGAACCCAGAGTGGAACAGGATGAGGAAGATGCTGGAACAGATGAAACTGTACTTGCTGAAGAAAGTATACCGGTACCTGTTGTTGAACCAGCCGAAGAGCAACAACATCAGGAACAACCGCAGGATCTCCAACTGTACCCACAAATGGTACAAAATGCACAATATTTGACCCCAATGGAACCAGTTTTGATGGATCAAAATCCTCAAAGCATGGTAGTTCATACTCAAAATGGGGCAAGTCTAATCAGTGATGGGCAATTGTTATCTTCCACAATAGGTCATCCACAGTATCAGACTGTGGGACCAGGATTAGATCCACAACAAGTCACTGTAGTTATGGATGCAAGAGTTCATGCACAACTGAATCCTCGCAGTCTGGTGGTAGATCCACAAACTTGCATGAATCCTGGAATGCCATCAACACTGCAAGCCATTGGACAAGCAAATCCTGCAGATGGTAGCATTGTTTATACCGTTCCCACAACAGCACAGACAGTTGTCATGGCAGCACCACCACAAGAGTATTCTAGTATTGGATCTTATTATAGCTTCGTTATGAATAATGAGGGACAATAATATTGTCTTGTCAAGATATCACGATACATTGATATTGTATCACAAGATACTGATTTTGTGATGATATATTGGACAGAGATTGCATCATGTAATACCGGTACGTACTTTTATTATTATTATGTTCATATTAAACGCACTTTTTGTCGTTTCTTGTCAAACTACATACAACTTCCATTGTGTGGCTTAATCAACTCAAATATCAAATATGATACTACTTTCTATTTCTCATGCTTTTTGCTAAAGTATTTAACTGGTGTAGTAAATTTTTAAAATTAAATGTGCAATATTTCTTCTTCTTTGCATGAATTGTGTATAATTACTTTTAATGTGATATGTGATTGAATCATGTAGAAAATACAAAAAATTATAGCATATTTTTATACACCCACATGAAATGGGGGGCGTATGTTGTCGTCGCCCATGTCTGTCCGTTGGTACGTCCACAATTGCTTGTAAACACACTTGACTGATGATGACGAAACTTGGTGTAAGTGTTATTAATCACCCAAAGATGAACAGTGTTGAAAATCAGCAAAATCAAAACTTATTTAGTTTGAGTTATTGCCCTTGTTCTTGAAATGCTCTTTCAGCTGCAATTATTGACAGATTTTGATGAAATTTGGTGTTTGTAATTACCCAAGGATGAACCCTATTGAAAATCAGAAGAATCCAAAATTATTTACTATGAGTTATTGTTCGAAAACTTGTTCAATATCTAGCTTATCAGCACTCTAGAAGGCGACAGATTTTGCCAAAATTTGGTGGAATTGATTATTATCACCCATGCATGAACCCTATTGAAAATCAAAAAATCAAAAAATATTTGATAGGAGTTATTGAACTTGTTCTTGTATTCGCCTTTAATTTATAGCTCATAAACACTAAAAGGCACCATTCTTGCCAAATTTTGACTAAACTTGGTATTATTATTCAGTATTGCCCCAAAAGTTCAAAAGAAGTATATGACTGAAGGTTGAATATTTCATACTGGTGATTGTTTGAACTAAGCTAATCAGTAATTCAGAATTATCCGCGTTTAGATGTAAAAATGACTCATCTATTTTTGAGACACTGCCATACATAGAAAAGACATCTATAAAAATAGGAAAAGAAATTCTTAGTTTGAGATATTCTTTGGTGCTTTTAAATCCATCTCATTAACTCAAGTAGAGGTACAGTGTCAATGGGAAATACTGTTTTCTAAGTAGGTACAGTGTCAATGGGAAATACTGTTTTCTAAGTAGGTACAGTGTCAATGGGAAATACTGTACAGTGGAGAGGAGATGTACAGTGTAATAAGGATGTACAGTGTCACTGTGAATATACACTTTGATACAAAATTTATTTTACACATAATTTACTACATACATTAGTAAACAATTATTCTACAATTAAAAGCATGTTTCAGATACATCACAAACCCCATATAGCATTTACAGATACAATTGCTAAATTTGTCATCAAGCGTATGTATTTAAATGGATAAATTGTGAAACTTGGCCAGAATTAGTGCCCCACTATCTGCATTTATCCCATATCAATGTGGTTTACATTATTAGAATGCATTCGTAATTCTTTCTTTAATGATGGTTTCTATGTGAAAATAAACTCTCAATTAGTCAAGACCGCCACAGATTAAAGAGTCAATTTTATCACAATCCAGATCATGTTTTCCATTATTAAAGTAACCATCTAATGTAACAGTATTTGATTCCAGTCAACTTGATGTGAAAAGACTTCCATTTCTAACCAACGTTCATAATTATATTTAAATTCCTCAGTCAAATCAAATTTTAGTCCTAGGATACTCTGTAGACAGTTATCAACTGGTTTGAACTCTGGATCTGTACCATTGGAGCCATACCGACGGCTGTTAAATCTATCTACACAGGCTCTTAATGCACATTCTTCAGCTTGAAAATCCCAGGGTCTGGCATCCATATCTATAAAATATATTCAGAGTACATTGTATTTTTTATATTCTCTTCAAGTTGTACAGTTAACGTTTTATTTAGGCTTCTTCACTCACTGAGTGAAAGCCATCAGATGAATACATCCATACTTTTAAATGCAAAGTTTAAAGAAATAATTTTTTAAATAGTTTTACTCTAAAAAGAAGTGCCAAATGGATGCATCAATGATAAAAAAAAAAAATTTTTTCACAAGAAACTCTCCAATTAATATTTACAGCCAGCCATTTTGTAATTCATTGCTGATGGTTGATAGTGCTATGTTACAGTATCAGTGTTACCAGTGGGTAAGAATTGGTGCGCATTATATTCGCAAATATACAGTATCTGTATATAGTTATTTTCTTACCATTGCCATAAGCCCAATCATCACCAAGACGATGTCGTACTTTCTGGTATATGGCTGACATTGTCTTCATATTACTCTTTCTCCATTGTCTACCGAGATATTTGGTCTGCATTTTTAACAGCTTCAGAATATACAGCTGCATCATTGAGTGTTTGACTTTTAAAGCTCTTTTTAATATTGGTGCTGATTTAAATACTACTAACATCTGAAAAATAATTTATGGTCAACAGCTAATCAACATAGTAAAAAACAAAATATTAGAAAAAACTCGCACCATATTGACTCTACAAAACCCTTAGCAAATCCATTCGCAGACAGACAATGAGGCAAATTTACTGCACACATTTTGAACATCACAATGGATTTTTACTTTATTTTAACTTAATTAGTTTCATTTTGTAACTTTTCTTTTAGACTATGTTCTAAATATCTCAAAATATACTCTGATAATTGCTCTACATAGTCACTTTAAATTTCTCTTACCATAGTTCTTGAATGTTTCCATTTGGTCAATTTATTTAATATTCTTAATAAATTAATACAGGAAAAGAGATTTCGCCAACAAAACGTTTGATTATCACCATTTTCCTAAAATATAACATTCATAAGAAATTATGAATACTGGTTTTAGTTTGATGTCAAATATAAACATGGCATTCTCCAAAAAAAAACCCACGATGTTTCAAATCAAATTTACTTATTCTTATTGGTATTTATTTCTCTCAAGTTATGATGTGGTGTTTGTAAAAATCATTTTACTCCTTCTTATCATTTACTAGATTAACTAGGTTGTACACTAAATGATAGAAAAACTGTAGGACAGGATTTGACTTTAAGATGCCATATCAGCATGCCAAAAACACTCTATGAAATTCTGGTACTGACCATAGTTTCTGCTGTTAAATCTGGCTGATCACCTGTTACACAATTAGGAAAATCTAACACTGGTATACTGTAAATACAATATTTAATATATTATTGTAATAAATCTTTATTGGGACCCTCAGTGCTCGTATACACAAACATTATACAATACAATTACACAAAAATACAATTCATACTATAAAATTAATCTAATCAATTCGCTTATTTTTTTCATGATCTCTACTGTAATCTAAATAGATTTATACCAAGGTCGCTTTCTGGTAACGTTCATTTCAACCAATCACTACTATATAACTCCTCATTGTGCCATACTTTGAACGAGATTTTTGATTGAGGAATCGTCTTTTTTAATGTCATTAATAACATATCTTAAGAACTATGGCTCCCTCATTATGGAACGATAACCGGTGAATGATGTTTCACTATTTCAAGCTAACTTTATGTGCTGTCCATGGGGAGAAACTACTTACCTATTTTTAGCACTAACATAAGATAGAATATTTTGATTGAAGAATTTGAGCACCAGTGGTATACAATTAGCAAATACTAGATGTTGACTCATAAATTCAAACTATAACAAAAAACAGAAAACACATGCAGAAAATAGAATGTAATAAAAACTGTAACTTCTATTTCGCTCACTCAAAAAAATAACAACAAAGGGGTTGGGGGAATATGTGGGTGCGTGTGGACAAGTGAAACTAAATGGCTTCATGGGTTGTTCTCCAACCCAACTGCCTTGATGGGTTTTAGATAGAGCATCCGAAACTTTCAATCATGTCATTTGCTAGGTTATGTCAAACAAATGATGGTTGTGGGTTCTAATCTCTGTCAGCACACGAAAGTTTGGTGACCAACCACCATGAACAGTCATCTTTTCTCATTATTCCACTCAACCAAGCTGTAAATGGATACATATAATTCGAGAAAGGTCAATGCCAAGAGGTTATGTGAAACAATGATGGTCGTGGGTTTTAAATGGAGTCAGCATGTGTAAGACTGGTGACCTGATGTAGTCATCCAGCTGTAAATAGTATAGCTAATCCGAGAAAGACCAGCTGGTAGAATGAATCATTATGAACCTAAGTTGTTATCCTTGTAAAATATAGTTTGTTGTTTCTTTTTCCCTACAGCATAATGCCTCAGTAAAATACATGTCTTGAAGTATTTTATCATCTCTGATCCTGACTATTTCGTTAGACTTACCTGATAAATATGGTTAAGTTTAAAATGTTTTAATAATAGTAATAAAAGACCAGAGATAGCTTTGACTATTATTTCTTTATGTCTATTTACATCTATTCCTAATTTCATTGATTGCAATACTGTTGTACTGAAAACAAACAAAAAATCATTGACATTTTCTATATTCCTGTGTTGGTCTCTGAAGAAACATTTTATCCTACTGAGCTCTTCTAATCTTGTATGAAAATAGGGGCATTTCAAAACCAATGCTTTTTGTCATAGTGATGTCATGATATGGTCAGGTTTTACTGGAATTAAAGAGACCACAGACTTTCAAAAGAAAATCATGATGTTGCATATAAATTAAATGCTTCAAGGGATATGTGTATCGTTATGCTGATTTGCATCATTCTAATTCTCAGTTAGACTAGTTCTTGCAATTTGCTAAATCTAAGAGTTTTATGGCAGAACTTTCACATAAGTCCTTGAATATTATAAGCAGATTTTACAATAATGGCATACTATAATATTGAAAACCTACAACGAAATGCTATTTGGTCGACAGGATGCCGGATACAACAGTCTTTGATAGAATGCTAAACTGCTCTGGGGAGATTTCTTTTATACCAAAATCATAAATGTCATACTTACGGCATTTCTTCAGGAAGTACATCAGCTAGTATATTTATAGATTCGGTTTTAGCTTTGGAAGTAGGAGCAGCTGCTAATAATAGTTTTAATAGAGCAATCTGCAAACAATACATGATTAAATACAGGGTGATCATAGCACATTACATTACAAAACATAACATATCCACTCATACGAAATATCATGAAGGTCCAGTGTTCCACCCCTCCCTTGTCATTGATGCAGGTCAAAGGGGATGACATGGAAAAAGCATTTAGTCATTCAGCTTAGACAATAAACAGAGGCTCTCTTTAGTTTGAATTCTCATATTCCTTTCATTACATTATGGTGCCTGTCTTCATTATCTCAGAAAACCTTCATTTTCAATTTCATGTCATTGAAAAATATGATTCTTACCATATATTGTGGTAAATTAGGTAACATTACTTGATACAGACATTCTGCTGGTGTATTAGCAACTTCTTTTTCAGGCTGAAAATAAATAGAATTATCTAACTTACTATCTTTACATACTGACTCTAGAAATAAACTTTTGAGAACAGACTGTAGTTCAAGCAGTTAGAGTGCTGGAATATTGACATCATTTCCTTGTTTACCTTGAACCCCTGAGAAAAATGGTTTGTACCCTCACTTTATTTCTATCTTAAGGTTTCTTTGGGAAGTACTCTCTTAACCTCCATGTTAGGCTTGAATTCTACCTTGACAGTTGTCTACCAGTATCTATTGAGTCAGTCTGTCCCCTATTTGTACCCCCAGTCTCAGGGGGTAAGTAATAAAAACTTACTCTGGATAATGGATTTTTAGCAATTTCTTCCTCTCGTTTTATTTGTAATTCTGATAAAGATATATACAGATGCTGAAAAGCAATATAATTGAAAATGAATAGCAATAAATATATATATAAATGAATAATTTAAAGATGGGTTCCCCTTTTTTCATTTATGAAAATGAAAATACTAATACTTATATGAATAGAAAGTAGATGTGGTCTAATGACTTGGAAAAATACCAGTTTGTCTCACATGTCCATAATTAATTCATAATTAGCTACATTAGAAGAGAATTACTAGCAGAGTTCCAATGAGTGATCGATCAAGAAATGTTAAAAAGTCCTTTTTGTTTATCCAGACAGTACATACATGGACATTTATGATTGGTTAAAATTCTTAATTATATGCAATAAAAACATAATGATATGATTAAGAATACATAATAATTCATTAGAAACACCAATTAATCAAATAGTTTGCATAATTTTATCCTAAAAATAAGGAAACCTATCTTTAATACCAAGGAATTTAATAGCAAAATCTAAATAATTTGTTTGAAATTTCAAGAAGATCTGAAAAATACCTGTTTTAAGATTTTGACGCCTTCGTGTATTGGTTGTGGTAAACCAGCCAATGAATCATGATCATTCTTCACTTGAAAACCTACAAATTTGTTTCGTGTACACTCTAGAAACATCTCCAAATCCTTTTGTCTGAAATAATAGGTGTAGAGATTACTTCATAACCAGCAGTGGTGTTTCTAGGTAACATTACGTCAGAGGGCCGAGCAGGGGCCACTGGCAAAATGGTACAAAATTTGAAGGGGAGGGGAGGGGGAGGCAAAGCAGAGCCAGTGTCTTTTTTGTCTCACCTTAGCAACCATGTGAGTAAATATCCACAAAACCAGCCAAAAAATTTTACGAAAGCTTGAAAATGGGGACATTCATGTGGTTGCATTATGAAGGTGATTGCTCTCTTATATCATGTATAAATAACTCACCTGACTTTTGGTTTCCATGGTAATGACTTTTGAACAAAAGAAGGTGTGGAAGGTCTAGGAGGAGTGGGAGGTAACTCTTCATCACTTTCTGATTTTAAAGCATCCACGTCTCGCATGAGGTCATCATCTCTTTCGGCACCATTACCATTTTCAAACGGGTCATCCAAACTACTCTGTTTGACTAAACTCTGTTAGTGTTCCGTTGTAAATATAGGAAGGCGTAGAGAAGAAGGCAAGAGAGCGAAAGAGAAAAAAGTGTTATAGAGCCGATAAAAAGCTTAAAATTTGGTAAAAAAAAAAAGGGCATTCCAAAGAGAAAGAAAAAATTATGTTAAAAGATATTAATGAAAATCTTGTTATTCAAAATATAAACACTAGCTGCCAACTTGAATATGAGGATGAGCTGAAAAGTTCATAGACTGTCTCAGATGGAATTATGGCACAGTAATGAAACTTGGAATACTTCCTGATACTAACAGCATTGTTACTTTTCAGATCAGCTCAAGCTGATTGACTGATTTAAAACTTGGAAAAGTAGAACCAGAGACATCTTTGCCTTTTCAGTTCACCCTCGTAAATAGTAACTGAAACTTTACAAGCCAGGTTTATATTGTACACTACTTATACTACCTACTAGTGAAATAGATTTTAGCTTGATATATTAGTGAATTGATGTATCGAAATATGACAATCAAGATACGCGCATTGTATTGCAAGGACATGTATCAATACGGGACGATACATTTCATTCCATAAAAAAGTTAGGATTTGTATAATTTGGTTAATGGAATGACAAATTTTTGTTCACTGACTTGACTGAAATTGTTGGTAACTAAATGCAAGACATTGGACATTAACCACTCATCAACTACGTTACCAAATATCACAGTTAAAAATTTTATACATTAATATATATAGAAACTTTGAAGATAAAATTCGAATTTTTATCCCATTAACCCATATCGCGATATGTATCGTATCGTGACCCTTGTATCTAGTTACCTTACGTATTGTGGCATGATTGACGATACCCAGCACTATGCTTGGCTTTGTCATTTATAGAATAAAATTAGAACTAATAACTAGTATGTGTTAGTGTATTTTAGCCAATACGTATTAGTACAAATCTAAATAAAATGCTTGTTGGTATGCCTATTACATGCTTCAACTATTTCATATGCACTTAGTAAATGTTAGTGAGTTTTGAACCTGATATTAGATAATTCACTAGCTCAATTTGGGCATATAATTTGCAAGAATAAGTGGGCAGGCTTTTTTGTTTTTCATCTTGAGATAAATCAATCAAAGAATTAAAGGGATTGTAAAGATGTTTTCTAAATTTTGTATGTGTATCGGGGACACTGATAACTTCAATTTGCACCATTCCAATTTTCATTCTGATGTCTGTGTTTCTTGCAATTCCGCTAAAACTAACGCGTTTTATGACGCCACTCGAGGGGAACTACTGGAAGCTACTATTAATATATTTGTAGTTCCCCTCTAGTGACGAGTTAATTTTAGTGGAATTGCAAGAACCACAGAATGAAAATTGGAATGGTGAAAATTGATGCTATCAGTGTTTTCCTGCTACACATAAAATATATAGAAAACCTCTTTACAATCCTTTAATGTAGATAATTTAACAAACGAGGGGAGATACATGATCTCAATGTCATGTCACTCAAACAACAAGTAAAGAAAATACAACGAATCCATGCTTTCATTCAAATGTGAACTGAGAAGTGATAGGCATGCTAAGAAACAACAGAAATTTGACAGGAGGGGGAGGGGAATAATCAGAGGGGAGGGGAATAATGAGAGATAAAAGTGTGGGTAAGGCAATGAGAGACAACAATCTACGTATTTTCTTCAGTATCTAAAATCTGATTTATCTGAATTGTAATACCAGTTTCAAAATAGTACTAATACCCGTTAGTCTTAAAAAACTTAAAGGGACCATCTTGGGGGGTTGATTTTAGTCTTGAGTATATGTAATAGTTTCCAGAAGTACTAGAAATGTAAGAAAATCACTTAATTCCTTTAAAAATACTTCAAACTTGGAATTTTACCCACTAATTCTATATATGTCTTTTCTATATATAACAGAGTATCTTAAATTGACGAGTTGTCATTTTAACATTCAAACTCAGATAATTCTGGACACATTTCGATGGTAAGGTGTGAACACTATAACTGATTAGCTCAGCTAAAAAATTCCTGTTTCTGAGACTACCTGTCTCTTTGAAAATAATATAGTTTTGTGAGCTTCCTCTCAAAAAGTGTTATGAAAATGTCTTAGATTATACAATAAAATTGCCAACTTAAAAATGAATTTTAAAATGATATATGCCTGTCTAGTCATTAGTATTAGTACTAGTATTATATATTTCAAACATTGGTATTCTAAGTCACAGAAAAATGACAGATGAAATTTATTTAGTGAAAGTACGCAGGCAAACTTTACAGGGATACATTGATGTCTGGAGTAGACATCTTTACAATGTCAAGTTAACATTACGAGGTTCATCTTATACCTCAACTCTAATATCCACTTTCTTTTTACCACGGAAGTTTGTAAATGCAACCATTTGGTTGTCTTGTACAGCAAATACAGCCAATCAGAGTCTACGACAGCTGAAGTCTATAAACAGTTAGTCATTAGGTAAAAGTCTTTCTATCAAGGGCTCTGATTGGCTGTATTCAATGGCCTACAATCTAATCAAATTGCTGAAAACCATGATACAAGAAAGTTGGCTATTGAAGTCAAGGTATGAGAAGTTTGTAATAGTTTGACATTGTGAAGATGGGTGTGGATTAGAGTTAGAAATCAGATGAAAATTGTAGACTGAAACTAGTGAGATATACCTCACATTACAAATAATACAATAATATTATTTTCAACTTGAACCATTTTTCATATGACATTTTGAATAAGAATTCTTGCATTGCTTTCCAAACATTGGAAAAATTGGAAATAATGCAAAAAGATGGGGAACAAAGTAGCAAGTAACACAAGATACAATACACAAGCGGGTATCCTTTTGCCAAACCAAGGGTACAATCAGTCTTCATAATTTAGTTTATTGGCTAACTAATCCAAATAAGTGACTTGTTGCTGCAAATGTTAGTCACAGAAAACTCTTCATACCGTTGATATAGCATTGTAGCTGGAGAGTACATGTATATATTCTTGTATCATCATCCATGCATCCAGGCCTCTGATGAATATTTCAGTTATTTAAAGAAGGTCAGACATCACCGAAATAATTTATGTATAAGCGTCTCTTCAACAATACATATTTCTACTTCACTGTAGCAAGCTTGTATGAAGGAGTGAGGTAATAAATATTCATGATGTGACATGATTTTCAATATGGCCAAAATTCAAACTCTCTTACAATCTATACTACAGCGTATTTCCAAATAATATATGAATTAAATGAAAACCTAGAAATGAAGGCCTAGATGCATGTACAAGAAAGTTTAACTGACATTAAAAGACAAGTCAATACTCACTCTTTTTCCAGCTCGTGTACCTCGCCGTGGAGCTTGTTGTTCAATCAGATCTGCAGCAGACGCCGGTGGTGATGAGGCTCTCATATTCTTACACACCTCATACATGTCTTCTGGCAAGGGAGGTAAATCATGTTCACCTCTTACTCGATTCTTCTCATCTTGAAGATTACGTAAACCACCCAATGACAACTGTAGACAAATCAAAAATAAGATCATCTAATTTACCATTTCTCCTCTATTTTGTTCAGAATCATGTATTATGTATATGAAATGAACTATTAACAGTATTAAAAGTCTTTTATTGTCTTTAGGTTCACTTCATCAACTAAAATAAATTTGATTTCACAGAGGGAACTTTCGACTACTACTATTGCTTCAATTTGGGCCATGCGAGAAATTAGCTAAGCCCTTTTATTCTGATTTTTCATCTCTTGAGGATCTTGATCTAAATAACCCCTCTGCCCATTAACACTGACAGGGGAGAAACCTGATCGAAAAATTCCAAGATAGTATCTCTGAGATCGAACCCATAGCCCATAAGTTATCCAAATTAATCTTAACACTGTGTGTTACTCCTTAAAATATCTCTTACCAAAGCAACTTTCCATAACAACAGGAGAACTTTCTTCATAGGAAAATGTGGTGCACTACCACTACAGAATCTGGTTACCATGGCAAATAATGTGATTGCTAATGGATCCTCACCGATAATAGGTTGATCTGAAAATTAAAACAGACAATATTTCAATTTGTGGAGCTGATAAATTTAACTTTGGGAATATGTGCCTTTTTATTTGGTATATCTATATACAACTATGGTGGATGTTTTTAACTTACTTAAATCTGCTATGAAATTTTCTCTAAGAATTTTTTCTTCTTCAGTTTCTGTGGGTTCGATCACTCTCATTCTTTCTACCATAGTATATAATATATTCAAAATTAATCTGAAAAATTCATCAAATATAACACTAACCATCATACATCGTTTTGTTTCTTTTCTCTGGGTTACCTTGTTCTTTTTTTGTAGATGGATTGATAAGTCAAACATTATGACTGCTGAAGGGGACTATTTGAAAAAATCTGGTGCTTGTGATACGATTTCTGTTTTGGATAAAGTAAATTTTAGCATATGATGATTTTAAACCAAAAATTGCAGCAAATATGAAATATTTTTGCTACCAAAACTTTGCACTGGTTAGTAAATGGAAATCTCTGAAACGAACGAACTCTGCATTCTGTGAGAAAACCGTTTGTGACAGGACATAATGAAAAAGGCTTACCTTAATTCCTTACTGTCTGATATTGAAACTGCTGGTTTTCTCAGAGCAGCAGATGATGCTGTTTGATTCCTGCAAAAAAGAAATGAATAATTAGCTTACCCTATACAGAAGAAATTCTAGTATTCATCAGGGCAAAATATGTTAACAAAACTTCAGTTTTATAGAATTAGGATAGAGTTTAATGTATCACTTTCAAGAAATAAAAATTTGATGCATAGTTCTTCAACAATTAAATTAAAAACATACAGTGGGAGTTTAGAATGGTGTCATTCCAAGATAGAGGTTATCAATAACTTTCTCTCATATAGTTCTTCCCAAGAGCATTCCATCATTCATATTAACTGCATGTGAAATGCTTAACATCCCTATCATTGTTTAATTGTAAGGTAACTATATACAAGATCTTAATTCTGAATAGTGATATGGATGGAAGAAATTGAGCTTTCACACCTGGCAATCAATAAGTCACTAGACCATATCCCATGAAGATGAAAACTAATCTGAATTGTCAAAAAAAGACAAATACTTACTCTATTTCCATGGCTAACAGTTCAACAAATGATATAAACAATTCTTGATCATAAAGTAAGAGAACATTTTTTCTGGACCATTCATTTTGATTATCTTCATTATCACATTCTCCAAAGACACCTTTAAATACAAATAAAATACATGGTAGGGTGGATATCAGTCTAATCAAAATTATTCCGTTTTTTGTCAGCTTTTATTTTCAATTTGGCCACTTCAGTTAAGATCTTAAGACAGCCCTCTAGAATATTTGTCTGTTTGATGACACTACCAGCCAATCAAATTTCTGCCCTTTCCAACACTTGGTTTTTGCATTATTGACATCATTAAATGCTTAGTTTTACTGGAATTACAAGACCTACAGAGGTCTAACTTAAGAAAACGTCTTTACAATCCCTTTTTCATTAAAAAACATGGATTGAAGTCTACAGACCTTGTACAAGATATAATATAGCTTGAATAGCAGACTTCCTTCTATTTCTATCTGTAATCTCTAGTTCATTCTGTAAATATACTATAAACTTTGTCCTGTCTTCCTCACTAACAGTAGTCCATTTCTCAAATCCTACAGAAGAACAATACATTACATTAAGATTTGGACAACAGACTGTTTCTTACTTTTATACTTTTCTGCATTTGATTGAGATAATAAAGAAGGGCAACACTATGAAGTGTACAATGAGTAAAATTTTGCCAAGTAATTGCATTAGACTAATCTTTTTCAATTTCCAAGTGTCAAGCGATCACTAACATGCTTAATATATGAACATCCATTTTTAATTACACCTCAAAGGCTAGATGCTTTTTTTCAAATCTACAAAATTGGGGTCTATGAAAATAAATGATTTCAAGTTACCTTGTTTGTGAAACAACTCTTCAAAACAACATTGATTTTGAGAATATTCATCTTCTTCAGTGTAACTATATAATTCTACAAATAAAAAAAAATAGGTCAATAAGCCATACGTAGGTCAAAATCTGGATTATTTCACCTAGCAGTGTCTAACACATCATTCAAGGGGACAATATAAGCTTGTATATTCTTGGACAGCACTAGTCTCTAAAGACCATCTAAAACAATGAGTAAAAAGTCAACTTTACTTTGAAATTTACTTTATGACTTTACCTGATATCTCTACATTTAACTTATCAGCATCATCATAAACAAATTCTATATCAGGGACATCAGACATTGTCTACAAAATAACACATATTTTAATACACGGCCATCCCTACCTAACGTCACTAAATCACATGCCAGTATTTTACACTAGATTGTTGTTTTAATTTTCCAATGTTTTACTGTGCATACTCAAATGGACGTACGGGCTAAATAGCGAAAATTAAATTCTACAGGTTCATGGCTAAATTACCACCACTTTAATAATGAAATAATGTATCAGTAGGCTATGTAATACAATAGAAAAGTCATACACAAAAAAAAATAGGGTAATTAGATATACCAAGAGATTTGCAAAGAAAATGGGGCAAAACAAAATTAATGAGAAATTTCAACGATCATATGTCATATTTAAGGATTGATCTGTGTTGCATTTAGTCAATAATATTATGTTGATATTGTCAGAATGTATTATTGTAAACAAATGGCTAGCACTGACCATCTACATATTAAAAATCCATAATTTTAAGAACCAATGATGCAGCTATAATCTCAATGACCGTCTACATCTATTTAATTGATAATTACCTCAGAGTCACGTCTCTGTCTTCTCAAGAGCTCTCTTAATTTTGGAACACCTCTTTTTCCTGCAGAGTTAGCGTCCATTTTGTTTTCAAGAGCAGATAACTCTATGCAAAAAATCTGTGCTTTCAGACCACCACTAATTCCACTATACAATTTGTCGGAGGATTTTATGCACAGGCTGCCCAATTTAGGATAGACGCAGGCCTATCATATTATGATATATATTAGAGTAAGTCTATCATGAGACAAACAATCTTCAGATAAGATCATTCCCAATTAGAATATATCAGAATTTTGCATGACGTAAGCCCCCGTCTTTAACTTATAGTTATAGGCCTAGGCCTATTTCAAGTTTTTCCAATTTTGTTTTAAGGTAAATATAAAGGTTTCGGCCCCAATTGAGATGGCACTGGCAGTTTTTGTAGTTTCTAGAGCTTGCGTTTTTAGGTAAAAGAAAAAAAAAACTAAGGCAAGTGCAAGCTTGTTGAGGTTTATAGACAGGTGCCTTGGAGCTTGGGTGATAAGAGAGCTGACCTATAGCTTCCCACTTTTAAAAGTAAAGCTTAATATGCAAAATCAATTTTTAATTTTAAATATTTTTTTGATATAAAATACACTCTTTATGTGAATTCACCGCACTAAGACCCACTACAGTGGAGGCACCAAACACCCGTGGCTGTGGGTACAAATTTGGGTATCATCTGGTGCATTCGGACAAATATTTTGGAACAAAAACGTAAAAATCATAATTCTTAATTTGTTGAAAATAAAGTGGGGATGCAAACCATTTTTCTAGTGCCCCTCCACCCCCGACCTCCCTTAATCTTCACTGCCGCCACAACTGAGGCCGTGGTAGGAAATGAAATGAATGGAGTTTTACGTCCTATTTTATGCACCATGTGAGATAATGAGCCAAGCAACACAATGCAGAGTGCAATGAGGGAAATTGGAACAGCGGCATTAGTCTGTTCTTTTTCGATTTCATACTGTTTCATACTTTAACGTGCACAGGGGGCCTCGGTTTATTGTCCCATGCGAACGACTATGTGAGCCCCCCTTACCAGTATCACTGACATGGGGAAACCGGGTAGGAAGTGTAAGTCTATATAAGAAGTATATATATTATGATGGAAACATTTATTATAAAATTAAGCAGTATTTGAAAATAAGAACAGATAATGACCTTCTAACACGTAAATAATTGGCCTACTATAATGTATTATATAAAAAAAATTCAACAAATTATGATATAAGATATCAATGTTAACAATAAAAACTAATTTGGCACGTTACTTTTAAAACATATTATTATTATTAGTATACAACAATAGATGTTAAAAATTGTCCAAAAGGCTTCTCAGGTAGCATAACCTCGAGGGCACACCTTGAGGGCAACTGTTGGCCATTTTTATAGCATACTGCCCTGCTTGGGCCTATGCAAAATGCTCATCAGTCAATATATAATTAATTGTTATTTCGATATAGGAAGATTCAGGTTGATTGTTCGTTATCAAAAGAGACTAGAATATTATGTTCATGATAAAAGGAATAAACGTCGTAGACTAGTATTAGGCTTGATAAAACAAAATTCACCAATGTAGGACTATAGACAAAGGTGAGATGAGACAATGTGGTTTCAAACAGTGTCGACCCCGTCACCTGATGTTTCCTAGAAACGCATTTGGTTTAAAATTCTATGTTTCGTTCATCGCATCCCGAATACGGGTTCCCCAAAAAGAACAGTAAGTCGAATGGGGGTGTGGTTTGGACACGATGTGTTTCAACATGATGATTTTTTTTTTTTAGAAAATGGATAATGCCTTTTCTTGATTTTTATGAACCATGCAGAAATATGCAGCCGTAGCGTCTTCGGTAGAAGATTCCATTTAGCCACCGCATCCACCACATCCACCACCACATCCTCCTCCGCATCCACCACAACCTCCACAACCACCACACCCACCACATCCTCCACACCCGCCACATCCACCACAACCACCCGCATCTCCATCAACAGCTGCTGAACATTCACCACCCATATCACCAAGTCCTTCAGCATCTCCGACTTCCATTCCACCGGCACATCCACTGCATGCGTTGGAACCATGGTATCGCCGCATATAAAAATTCGAAGGAGTCTTTTCCAAATGACCCATCGCCATGATCATAGCTAACTCATCTGAAGGGATGAAATTCACGGTCTTGTTCCCAACTATCTTGTGATCGGGTTTGGTTGGTTTACCAGGTTCCCAACCAATAGGTCGTGGTATGCAAAGAACGTGAAGTAGAGCTATCGAGAAGGTCAAAGCTAAGTTCTCAGCCACTTCATTTGCATCGGGCGATATTCCGATGGCCCCACATCTAAGGTTTACCGAAATATCACCGAATGCAAAATTGTATACTTTTTGCAAGTACGGCAGGACTAGTTCCGCTACTTTGCCCGTTGATAATTTTCTAAAGGTTATTTTTAAATATCCCGGTGATCCTTTTCGACCTTTAACGGCACTTCTTGTTGAAGTACCTGAAAGATACAAAAATATTATGAAGAGACCGTCATTTTAATCATCCAATGCAACTCTGCGATTGAATTTGTTAACTCGGCAACCAATTCAGAGAGCCCACATAACTGATATTGTTATTCTAGAATAACTGAAAATACATACCTGCTATGCCGGCTCTGCCCTTTCTAAATCCAGTCCATACACCAATCACTATACCCCAGTCTCCTTTATGGTTCTTAATCAATACAGCACGTTCCCCCTTTTTAGGATCCAATGTAATGGACTTATTAGGGTCTCGAACCTAGAAAAACATACAATGTCCATGACAAAAACGTTACCCCCAACTTTGATTTTTGATTTTGAGTTTCACCATCCAGTTGATTGTTCTTTATTCTCAGAAATCCAGAATTATCCTCTTTTGAATGTTAAAATGACGATTTTTGTCATTTCTTTCAACTCTTTTGAAAGAAATATGCCCTTATTTACATTTTACCTAAATCAACTCCTGAAAATAGCGCATCTGCCCATTTAATTGAGTATTGGTCCAATTTCACTATTGTATAGAGGTAGAATATAGTAATTGAAACCGCACATTACTAAAGCAAAATTTACCAATAATAAAGTAACCACACTGTTTGTTTAAGCTTGGCAGCATCCAAGGAACATTAAGCATTCTTTTAACAGAGGCAATGTATACCTGTGAGGGTAATGGAAGCTGATCAGAGCCAATCAGGTGAGCCACAGCTGCCATTCCGTCTTGGTAGAATATATGGACTACTGACATCAATATAGCTGGACAATGTATCACTCGACATGTAAATATTAGTCTTCCCGTGTGATTTAATAATCTAAAAATAGATATCTGAATTGTAATCTTCCCCTGTCATATAGCCTAATAATCTAAAAATAGATATTTAAATTTTAATCTTCCCCTGTAATATAATTATCTAAAAAAAGATATTCAAATTTTAATCTTCCCGTGTGATTAAATGGCCTAAAATAGATATTTCAATATCAATCTTTCCATTTGATTTGATAACCTGAAATAGATATTTAGATATCAATCTTTCCATTTGATTTGATAACCTGAAATAGATATTTAGATATTAATCTTTCCATTTGATTTGATAAGCTGAAATAGATATTTAGATATCAATCTTTCCATCTGATTTGATAACCTGAAATAGATATTTCAATATCAATCTTTCCATTTGATTTGATAACCTGAAATAGATATTTAGATATTAATCTTTCCATGTGATTTGATAACCTGAAATAGATATTTAGATATTAATCTTTCCATTTGATTTGATAACCTGAAATAGATATTTCAATATCAATCTTTTACCTATTAACAAATGCAGCATTTGGAATATATATTTCATACTTACACATGACTAGCTACGCTGCATTTGTTTTCGTCCATGTTATTGGCTGGTTTAGGTAAAGGTATTGGCCCCCAAAGTCTTTCTGAATTTAGAGGCATATTACATTGATCGTAACGCCCATTTTGTAAAAACAACAAGCACTTTCCCATTGTAGGTGGTTGGATGAAGCCATGTAGATGAACCTTGAGCGCACCGTGGGTATTAGTGTTCACAGTGAGTTCCTCCGAGAATTTCAGCCCCCGAGTTCCAGTCCCTTCCAACACTGGTAAGAAATCATAAAATGTTGAAGCGATATCATCATATTGTCCGAAACACGATATACAAGTACCATCATGCTGCGAAATGGATACTTTTAATTGATTGAATTGTTTAGTGTCGAATTCGAATTTGATGTGATTCTTTTCGTGGTCATTCCATTCCCTTTGAAGTCCTCTGATTGTGGTCAATTTTGGTCCTTTGGTCAAATTACAAGCGAAATATATTTTAACTTTTGTTTTATCAATGTTTCCATTCAATCCATCGACTTTTACTTTATGGATGTCAATCCAAGCGGATTTGGTCGAAAACCCGTAAGTGTCTCCAGGCGAAACCATGGCTAGCTTGTTCAATGGAAGATCGCCACGATACATGGCACCAAAATTAGCAAAGTTTTCGTTGTATTGGCTCTTCCACTTCGTTCTGGTGAAAGCATCAGCTTTGCTAAGTCTGGAACCAGGATGACGCTCATTAACTGAATCGTCGTGTTGGAAAATCTTTCCAAGGAGTTTGGTTGTTTCGTCTCGGTAGATAAATGGGTGGAGCTGGTGAGTGTGCCAGATCAGATCAATGTCGTAACACGGTACCAAGAACGCTTCAGGGTTGACTTTCTTTAAGTACAGATACTTTTTGTAACGCATTAAACTGTTTTCCAAATATTTAGTGTCCTTGAAATGTGGAAGACTGACTTGGTAATAGAAATGTTTTTGTCTAGACACAGCTGCGACCAAATCGTAAGAAAGTGCATGAGATTCATACATGAAATCAGGCGATACGCCTTCTCCATTCAGAGGTATGTCGAATGGTTCGTCAGGATACTTTTTGTTCCACAGACTTTTTGAAATCTCCAAAGCCTTTAATTTTTTCCTGCCGTCCAATAGTTGATGGTTAATAGATTGACCGACGGCGTTCTCGCAATCTCTGTGGTACATCACTGGAGCAAGCAAGTGACAGTGCCAGATCCATTCTATATCTATGGGCGCTGCTAAGATTTGCTGGTGGTTTTCGGCAACCAGTGGAAGCCACAATTGTTCGTATCTCTGAATGGCTCGGTACACCAAAGGACCTTCCAGCAATACCGTTCTCTTATTAATCTCTTCTAGTAAATGGATATGATCAATTGATAAATTGACTAAATCTAAACTAAATCTGATGGCCTTGGGTGACGTGATTTCGCCTCTGAAAAATAAATAGTATTAAAATGTATATGAAGAGTTTTCGGTCGGGTGCCTCTTTTCTGCCCTGTGGATTCTCCCATAGAAACGCCAGTGAGGTTCTCGTATTTTTTGTTTTAGTATTCATTTTTATTCGTGCCTTCTCGAAGTGAGAATAGGAAAAGGCCACTACAGGCTTCCGTACTGTTCTCGCTTTTTGTTTATCATAGATATATAAAAAATAATACTAGGTCATCGGTGTGTAAACAATACATGGATAACAGTCCCATTATTCAACTTATCGACATATTTACTTTGGCTAGATTTGAGCTCAGACTAGCCCACAGTTAGATTGTTTACATACATCGGTCTACATCTTACACACGTAGGCCTACAAACAGAATCTAAGAAATCTTAAAAGCGAAACACGACTTATATGTTTTCAACTTACTTGATTTTCGATTTGATATGCTCAATTATACCTGCCATTAGAGCAATATCAGATATCACCCAAGTTTTTCGATATAAACAATATTACCATTTTCCATCATGGCGTATAATGTATACGATATAGCAGATCGATGCAATGTCTTACTATTCCAGTTGCCATGGGAACATGAGTTAGACTGTACAATACACGAAGGGAGAGTATAAATATAAATAGCTTACTATCTAAGATCCTATCTCAAGTAACGATTTAGTTAAAGTACAAATTCATATTTTTGAGACTAGAATTCGTCTGTGCTTGAATATGAAATCTTCCGAAACTCCTAGAATGAGTTGATGCTAGTAACAACATAGCTAATCACTCTATTTGGTATATACATATGCAATGCGTTCAAGATATACCATAACCCATGGCATGAAATCTTTTAAGTTTTTTGTTTAACTATTTGACTCGTCAAGTCGATCAAGACGTACATCATTACATTACATTACTTATGCTTTTATAGTACGATTATAACAGGATTTCCAAAAGGTCTCGGTCTGAAGTTTTCAGTTTGTCAGGGTTCCACTTTCCTCATAGCAACGAGTCTGACCCAAGGTTTCACAAAAGACTACACAGTATCGACACCTTACCCACTAACTTCATCACTGTATGGAATTCATAATGACAATTTTATAATAATCAGATTTATGTTATTAAATTGTTTTTCAAATGTGGTCAGTCAAAAGCTGCAATATCTTTCAAAGGCGTAAGAGTTGGTCCAACCCAGCCCAGGCCCACCCCACAAGTTACTACAGACATACTTTAAGACAGCTGTAGGGGAAAATATAGCAAATGGATGATAGGTATCTTTGCGGGCAACGTTTCTCTGACCAACACCTCCCAATTTCTGGATGCAACACCCATGGTAACGTGAGGTAAAATATAACATTGGTAATTCAATTTATGAATTTATGATTAGGGGGGAACTAATAAGAATTGTGGACATAACTTGACCAAAGATCGTTGATGCTACATTGGTAGGGATATCTGTAGCAGTTTCAAACTCAATGCCTCTAGAATATGTGTACTTTTGGTTTGCTGTAAGGACTATTTGAACATCTTGGTATGTCCCATCATTTTTCCTGCTAAAATTGACTTCCAACAAATCGAATGTAGCTCTCTGATCTCCGGAAATCTTCAGCTTCAACATGTTCTTCTTATGCGTGGGTTTCAAAACCCCTTCTAATTTACCCGATTTGAAACTAAGGGCATTGTTTTTCCACATAACGTCAATATATCCGAATAACCGATGACCATATCTGCCCACAAACTGCTCTGGTGTACTCACTGGTTCATCAACAATGTCTGTCACTTCTGAACGGGTATATTCCACCATCCAGGGCATTGGAAAGGTACAAGATGTCGTTTCATTTAACCACGGTTGATTTCCGTGCAATTGGTCGAAAATGTACGAAAATATCACTTCGAAGATTCTAGTTGATACTAAACCTGGTCCTTGGCCATTAGCGCTAGCATAGATACCAATTTCAACTTCCGGAAAAATCCACAACATTGATGCATACCCCGACAGTTTACCGGAATGCCAAATTTTCTTATAACCTACAAACAAGAACAGATAGTCGTGTATTCGGATAAAATTACACAGACCCTATACGAGGATTACATTATGGACAATATTCTGTTAGATTTTAATTAGTAGAACTCACAGGGTATCCATTGAGATTTAGAAATCGAAATCGAAATAAAAATACTTATGCTGCTGTACCATCGTGCCAAACTTTACCCCACACTTCATGGAGTTACATGACACCATAAGCTCACACCGGAGCAGAAAAGTAGGACGTAAAACTCCATTTCATGTCGTTCATTTCTTCCTACCTTGATGATTTGATATGAACCAACCAAATCCATAACCGGAGTCTATATCAGATATTGGGAAAGTAGCTTTTGTCCATTCTGCCATGCCTATGGTGGTGTATGGTTTAAAGAGCATTTCCAGATTCTTCCAAGCAGCAACCGTCTTACCACCAGTTGCGTTCCCTTTATTCAATATAAATCGTATGTATTTAACCATATCATCTGATGATGAAGCTATGGCCCCTGCTGGTTGATTTGGATTTCCCCTGAAAAGGACATATCTTTGATGTTTTCTATCTAATTGGAGGGGCGTAAAGCGCACTACTGTCCCATGAATGATCCGTTCCATATTACTGCCACTCATTGGACTGGTCTTCTTGGATTAGTTCTACAATGGAAGGTCAGCTTGGCCACTGTTTTTGATGGAAGGTCAGGACTGCGACTCACGAAAAGGAATCGCAGTATCACTAAAACAGTTTGCCTTAAATTCTTTCATAACTTACGGGTAAAAACTGGGTCTGGTAAGTATTCGCTCTTTTCCCACAAATTCGTAGGATTTAGCCAAATCTGGATCGTTTTCTGTTGCAGTTTCGCCCAATATCTCTGTTTCAGACATATCCAACGGCATCAGGATTTTTGAACGAATTTCCTCTGACCAAGTATTGCCCGACAAAACTTCAATGACATGGCCAGCTAATCCATACATGATATTATTATACATAAAACTGTCTCTAAATGGTCTGGTTCCCTTTAAGTATTTCAAACGCCTAAAAAAAGAATCGGTATTAATTTAATGTAACAGCATGTTCCAATTTAAACTGAATATTTTTATAAATATTATACCATAATCTTAAAGCAGAGACTGCAATCGCAAGGTTTGGTTATAACATTTTGTGATCAAAAGAGTTGCATGCAAACCGAAAAAAACAAAAAACAAACAAGAATTGCAACCTTCAACCTAACCTAAAAAATATACAATAATTTTAACACCATACACGTTGTTGTTGATTGTGTAGCATGATTTATAACAACCCCTGACGAGTTAAACATTTAATTGAACAGTATTTGGAGAGAAATTTCGTCAGATCATGGCGAGTGTAGTAGCTCACAGGAAATCCCAAAAAATAAAACATATAGATTAGACTATCGTTTCTTAAAATATCTCATTTTTGTTGAGCGATAATGAGAAGCAGTGATCCAATTTTAAGCAGATTGCCACCTCCACAACCTACTTACTTGATCAGGTCGGTCCGAGTAAATATTACCAGGATAACCTGCAAATACACTAATATCGCCGGATGGTAAACCTGTTCTATGTGATAGAATATCTTTTATTGTCGTTTCTTTAGTTCTTATTTCACTATCCATTTCAAAACCATCGCCTAATATTTCAGTTAGTTTGGTATTCCATGTGTACCTTAAATAGGAACAGAACAGATAGCTACCATCAGCAATAAAAAATAGAAATCCTTTAAGGGAATAGCTGTTCTTTTATGTAATTGAGACAATACCATGGGTCAGAAATTCATTGTGCAAAGATAAAATGTAGATCACTGTGGTATATTTTCATTTGCGTCATAAGTTTTATGCCATAGGCCGTAGAAGCATACAAGTCCACAAAACCTACAACCTCTTCAACTGCTGCCAGGTCCCAGAAACCATTTCAAATATCAAATATAGCGGATATAGTCGTAGCTTACTTTTTGTCACTTTTTTCCAGAAGTATTGACATTACAGCTGCTGTAAATGACTTGGTGATGGAGGCTATACCAAAGAGCGTTGACGATGTAACTGGCCTTTTGCTCTGTACATCAGCAAAGCCAAATCCTTTCGTCCAAGATTGATCACCTTTCACAACACCCAATGTCAATCCTGGCACACCGCGACATGCAACGGCATTGGTGACGTATTCTTCAATCAACAATCGTTGTTGTACATTAAAAACTTGACAACAAATTAAGTGGACGAGAAAGAGAAAACACAGAAAACTCCGTTGGTCAGCCATGATGTCTTTTAATATAAAGTAAATATTGCCCCACTAGGAGTGACGATCTAAGATGTCGTTATCTCATAGCATTTTTTAGTGTAAATACTAGGGGTATAACCATTTAACACGCGATCTCGCCTTCCCCCCAACCTCACCGCTAAAAGTGTATTATACATTGACCGGAGTTTTGACCAATAAAAGCCCATAGTGACCGACCCTTACGTCGTAGGATCATTTTAGAGCGCCAAATTATATGAACGTGTAGTCATTGGACTCTTGCCGACTTTTTCATAGCGACCGGGATGCCTGTAGCGCCCTCTGGTAACAAGAAATGATGACCAAGTTGATCTAGGCTAGGGTGAAGTTAGATTTCATCTGTCAGTGATGGAGGTCAGAGGATATGACGGGTTGTTCGGATGACACACCCGAGACGCTGTGTGCTACAGGCTGTGCACTTTGGAATTCGAAAAATAGTAGGTACAATGCTGGTACGATTCTCGTCCTTGCAGACTACATAACATGTTGAAAATAAGATATATAGCAAAATCAACGTAAATATGAAAATTAACATGTTTTGTGTCACTTTCAAAAGAATTCACGATCAAAATTTATAGATGAAAATTTTCATTGAAAGTTTACTTAAGTTTCAAAGGTTGAACGTAAAAAAAAAAAGAATGAGCACAAGAATCGATGGTAAGATTATTTATTATGCAGGACCTAGATGCCTAATTAGAAGTAAATACTGGTATCACTGTATAATTCAGTATAATAACAGACCCTTAGCCCCGGATTGGTAGATAATATGACATATTAATGATATTTAAAATATGGTTTATCTGTGGAGATTTAAAATAACAACTTATCAGAGACCAAGGACCTAAACCTACTGTAAATCATTCTTTTAGGGGATTGTAATGAGGTTTCCTAAAACAAATATGTGTATCCGGGACACTTATGGCTTCATTTTGCATCATTCCAATTTTCAATCAGATGTCTGTTGTTCTTACAATTCCACTACAACTAGGCGTTTTATGACTTTACTAATCGCGAAAGGCCTAATATGATATGAACTGCATGTGGGAGCTTGAGTCATGTTGGCTACTGGTGGAGCAGAAGCATCATACAGATTGACAGTAAACTTTACCATATAGCTCATAATTACACCACCGACCATTCTACAATATAAACACTGCGTATACGCCCTACTAATTTCCTCGACGAGCATAGTGACATTACCGAAGTAATTGATGGCATGGTTTCACAGGGATTCTTTGTATCAGTTGGTCCTTAACAAACCTCTAGGAAGTGATCTTTCTCAGATGATCCGAGCAAATTCACACCTAGGCAGGCTGAGGAAAGATTACTTATTCACAGTCACCAGACTTTTGCTCACCGACCGATGTTAGAACCCAGGACAACCATTTGTACGACGTTACCAAGCAAATTACTTAAAACTGACAGTGCAAATGTCCGTTTCCAAAACTTTGTCTATATAGTAATTTTCATAGCGGGTTTGTATCATCCAACCATATATCATCATAGAGCAAGCATATAACACTATGACAGTTTAATGTCATTTATTAGCATATGACGTCTTTACAAAACATGATACTATTACAGACTGATTACAAATAAGAAAACAAAATAAAATTACAGATACAAATAAGGTGCTTGGTGGTAAAATAATAACATATTTCCATTCATTTACACTGCATCAATGTCAAACTGCATTACAAGTCCCAGATACACCGCTAAAATTTGTCCCCTTCTAATTTCATTAAAACTGTGTTCGTGTTCTACCCCATGGGTTTGTATGATCGAATGCTTCTAGACCAAAATTTGTGCATTATTAGTTCGCATATACTTAAATCTTAGGGCATGAGCGAAAAGTTAAAGTTCAAAAAATGAATTTCAAGTTTATTTTTTGCGTATCTATTGCATTCGGTCGCAGTTGCAGTAGTTTGGTACCCGGAGGTTTCCATTTCGGTTGGTAACGTTCGCTTGTTGGTAGTCATAATTTCCATTTCGCAGAATGTTGCTTTAAGTACCACAGTGTTGGCAACATTTCGTTTGAATAGGTGAGCACAGATCCACTGACGATTCCAAACTTTCTCTCAAATTCAAAATCGCAAGATGGACCCGAGGACTCCTTATTTTTTTGGAAATTGCAACTTCGTAGATCGTCGAACAATTCGGCTCTTGATTTATAGTTAGAATCTTTTAAAAAGCTACTCTGTGCATGAATTAACCTGTACCATGCTACCAAGAGTGCAATAATGGTGTCCAGCAATATTTGTCCCATTCAAATCAGCAACATTTGCAAGATGAACTAATTCTCAATTTTGACCTAAAACGCCAGATGAAGACAATCGGGTTAGCCGCACTGTTGAGAATAAAAATAGTTCCAGTTGTACGAGAGTAAATATTAGGATAGATATTGAATCTGTTTTCCCAATCAAAGAACAATATTTTGATCATTAATACCACCATTGGAGAATAACAAATAATATATAGACCACAGATAATAGACAGAGTGACCACCATTCGTTTTTGTTTCAGTTGCCTCTGATATACCTCTGACATTCCTGGGGATTCGAATAACCGAGACATATGACGGATATGAGATCGGATACGCACCACAATATAGATGTACATCACAGGTAAAGAAATGATACAAATACAAGTGTTAACCAACGTAAGGATATAAGAATACTGATGGTTGTTGATTTCCACGGAGCAAGGTTCAGTCTGCCGGAATCCTATCAACACCACAAACCCCAACAGGAAACATACCACGAAGATTGCGACCACTGATACAATCATTTTTCTGGTGGTAACCCAAGAAGAGTAAGACAATGGGAATCGTAAGCTTAGGACTTGATCAATGGCTTGATGAACACTCAACATTCCAGTTACTAACGATAGGCTTAAGAACGCATGGGTGTTAATCATACAGAAGATATTTAATCCCTCCAATTGAAAATATTCGGTGACTGCAATCAGAAAATATATCAGACTCAATGTAATATCCGATACACAGTGTCCAACAAAACCAACTTTTATTCTTGGTTCCACTTCCGTGTTTCTGAAAATGAAAAACAGTCCAATTCCATTCAGTATAGCCACTACAATGGGCACACATATTCCCACAAGACCCTTTGGGGGAGAGGTTTCCTCCAATGTCATGATGAGTCAAAACGTTATCCGGAACAAGTGATCCGAGTCAACCAATTTACTCCGTATTCAAATTTAAATGTGATGATCTGAAGAAAATAGTGTCCATAAATAATTATTCCTTCAATCAGTCAATTTGCATCATCAACTTTAACTTTAAACACATAAAGGAAATAAAAACCCGGTCTATCGTTCTTAATGGATTACGTAATGAACGATAAGCAAGAATTTCGGAAAAGAAAAAAATCCGCTAAAAATAAATGACTTGAAGATACTGTCAAATGTAATTTATTGAGAAACGCAAATATGTTATTCGCCAAGACCCCAAGATTTATTCTAGCTAATTGGAAGCATCGAATTAAGCCTCGAGGCGTGGTAAGGATCTTATTTTGCAAAACAATCTCAGAGATTTTATAAACTGAAATTAATTTTTTCTCAAATTACAAATCACACTGATAAATATTATTATTTCTAGATGAAGATTATTATAATTAACTTATTATATTTTGTATATCAAAAGATATCCTTTCAGGTGGGCTTAAAGCTCATTATAAAAAAAATATCTTATTTTTCAAAGTAAAATTAGACGTCCACATCTTTCATATTATGCGACAGTTCTCCATGTTTATGGCAAGGTTTACGACAACTAATCTGAAAATAAGATATTTAAATATGATTTAGAAGCCGTAAAGGTAATTTGGACGAAACATTTCTTTAGTAAAATTGTGGATAAAGACGTTACCATAAGTAATTATAATTCCAATTCACGACCGAAACCGTATTAGAAAATTCCTTACCTAACATATAATTATGCAACGCACTTCAGCTCAATCAGGAAAACAAAAAACGTTTATTACTGTTACATTGTTCGATACTTTGTTTACGGAAAATCTGAAGCAGGGAAACGAAAACGTTTTTTTTCTCCGTTACATCGTTGAGCACTTTGTTCAGGGAAAAATCAAAGCGAACCAATTCTAACAGTTTAATGACGAGGAATACTCGTGATCGGTGTGCATCATTTGTGAATAGAAATGATCATCATTTGCTCTGATCTGAGTTCATACTAATTACTAACCATAGCTAGTTACCTGGAATTTAAGAGAAAAAAATCATCTGAATAATTTCAATTTGGAGAAATGAAAAATCCTGTGTAGTTTAAGGGAGGTAATTGCTAAGAAAAAAATAAAACGAAGTCCACATCAAGGGAAGTAACTCTGACACCAAATAATCGGAAAAATAAAATCTTTTTTTTTAACATCAACGAAATATCACAAATCACAATGTTAGTTTGAAGTGGATGTATTGGCCATAGTTTTGGGTGATGGTTGTAAGGGAAGGCGTAATATTTTGTCAAGCAAACATGTATGATATAATTAGGGGTCAATGATATTTGATAAGAAATGAAGTAATGCTCACGAAGAACTGTTGAACGCTATTTTTTTTTATTTTGAAGAAGAAGAACAATGTTACTTGGGAATCGAAAACACTATTTTTTGCAATTAAAATGAATATTTCCCTTCTTACCTTTTCTGGTAATATCTTAGTCACTGAAACGGGAATTGTAAAGCTAAGCTAAATATTTAGTGCTCACAGTTTTCCATCGAAAGCTTACATATGCGTATCCTTAATAATTGTGTACAAATGAAATGAAATGAATGGAGTTTTACGTCCTACTTTACTGCACCATGTGGGCTAATGAAGACGGGCAACGCCATGTAGGGTGCGATGAGGGAATTTTGCCAGGATAGCGACATAAGCCTGCTCTTCTTCGATGTCCAACTGTCGAGGGGTCTTTAACGTGCACAGCCTGGCACACGGGGCGTCGGTTTATTGTCCCATCAGAACGACTAGACGCTTTTTCCATGTCAGCCCCTCTTACCTGCATCACTGACAGGGGGAATCCGGGTTGAAAATTCCGAAGATATTATCTCGACCTATGCCGGGATTGAACCCTGGACCTTCAAGTTAGCGAGCAAGCGTCTAACTCACTAAGCCACCGCGGCTCCCCATAATTGTGTACATGGACACCAAAATAACCCTTTTCGATTTCCGACTGAAACTCTTTTTATTGGCCCATATGAACAACTGGATGCCTTACCCACCAAACTCCATCAATGAAAGAAGTTTTTATCTAAATCTATGCAATACAAAAATAAACATCTATTGCTGCAGTGGAATTGTGATTAGAATTACATTGACAGCCATTTCTTAATATGGAAATTTGTAATTCTAATGAATATATTTATGTAACAGAGTATACTTATACTGTCTCTTTATTTTACATTGCTGTAACAACATCCTGTCGATGACTTTGATGTATTGCATTAGATCTATTGTTAGAGCAACTGAGTTCTGTTTAGAATAAAAGTACATGATTTAACTTATCCTGGTAAGTTACAGACAGGGCTGTGGTGTTGTTCTTTGGGCCTGGTGTCCTGTCGGAAGGTGGCAACTCGGAATAAGTAAGGTGAAATGAAGTCAGATTGATCTGGTTAAGTGACAAGAGTAAGGACGGGAAAGGAAAGTGCTGATGTTTACTTTGTTAAATCTTTCTGTTGTCTTCATAATGTGATGTATTATAAATAAATTGTATTACACCCATAATCTATACGTCTGTTACTGTTTCGTTTACAAATATGACATTTTTGGTTCTGGGAACGTGAAGGGCGACTCCTTACTATAGTTAGTTATGTTCATCAATCACTGGAGTCTCTATGTAGATTGGAGATATTACCGTGACAGATGGAGGTAAAGGTAAATAATAAAGGACGATTGAAAATCTACAAAACATATAGACATAAGCTGATAACAGAAAATATATCAAAAAGATAAAATAGATATGTTACTCTATAATGTTTTGGTTTAAAGAGGAACTCAATGACTAAGTTGATCAAAGTCTGAGCTTTTCGATGATTACAAGAATTACCTGTCCCATCTTTAATTTTAAAAAGTTGTGTTAGGTAATTGTTGAAAGGTGGCAAGTTGATCTTCGCTTACTGCAGAAGCCGATATCGTAGACGAGGTAATTGTCGAAAGGTGCCAAGTTGATCTTTGCTCACAGCAGAAGCCGATATCGTAGACCGGGTAGTTGTTGAAAGGTGCCAAGTTGATCTTTGCTCACAGCAGAATCCGATATCGTAGACCAGGTAGTTGTTGGTAGATGACAAGTTAACGTTCGGAAGCTGATATAGACCAGGTAGTTGTTGGTAGATGACAAGTTAACGTTCGATTCCAAGAGAAGCTGATATCGTAGACCAGGTAGTTGTTGGTAGATGACAAGTTAACGTTCGATTCCAAGAGAAGCTGACATCGTAGACCAGGTAGTTGTTGCTAGATGACAAGTTAACGTTCGGAAGCTGATATAGACCAGGTAGTTGTTGGTAGATGACAAGTTAACGTTCGATTCCAAGAGAAGCTGATATCGTTGACCAGGTAGTTGTTGGTAGATGACAAGTTAACGTTCGATTCCAAGAGAAGCTGATATCGTAGACCAGGTAGTTGTTGGTAGATGACAATAGATTCCAAGAGAAGCTGATATCGTAGACTACACCTAGTTAACGTTCGATTCCAGCAGAAACTGATACCGTAGTCTAGGTAGTAGTTGTTGTTACTAACCAAGCCGAAGTCGATATTGTAGACTAAGTTGATAGTCAAAATATTAAGAAAAAAAGCGAGATCTGAACTCAATTTGTTCAAGTTTTCTTCTGTTAGTACCGGTATTGATTAATTCCATCTGAAATTTATTAAAAAAAATGATAATAACAATGCAATTTTCATACTGTTGCGAATGTCCATATTCGAAGTCGGCATAAATATTGTGTGTGTTAAAATATGAAAAATCGATTTTCATTATGAGAATGACCCAAGATCTGATTTGATTAGATTCGTTGAGCCCCTTTAAAAGGTCACGATTATTTTCTTTTTTTGACGGTGTGAAGGTTATTTGATACTGATTACAATTATGTCAAATTCAATATGACAATATTCACTAATATTTAACTATGGAAAAATATAAGGACGATAAGGATTTTGACGATGCTGAAAAAGGTAAGAGGCCCACACGATTTCGGTAGCACTTTTCTCCTAGGCTGTTGTGTACTGGGGGAGAATGCTTCACTTTGTCTCTTTTGCAATTATGTATTTTAAATACACCCCTCCCCTTTGCTTCATTTTAACATGTATTGTGCATCAGCACAATCTTCGTTGTATACTGCAGCTGACATGGAAAAGGGGATTCTCATCATAAGCACTTTGACCACGTTTTATTTCGTGTTAGATATAAAGTCCTCAGCTCCTGCTGCCCTCATCTGAGCGGCTGGATAAGGGTCAGCTGAGCCAATGATTAAAATAAGCGCATAGCTTGTTCATCGTCTGACAATTGGCATACATATGCCATTGCTAAATATGCTAATCTAAAGCATTTGGTACAACAATTCAACCTGGTTGATTTTACCCATGTGCTCCAATTTACAGTACCATGTTGTACTTCGAAGAGATGGTTGCTAGCGTTCGTTGGGTTTGCTGGATTTTTCTGTATGTACGCCTTGCGGGTAAATATCAGTGTAGCAATTGTGTGTATGGTCAAGCCAGATAATACGACAAATACAAATCAAACTCTGTACACGGACCCAACATGTGAAGACCTCACTCACGATAACACCACGCATGACGTAAGTACATTATGACACATGTGATACACACTTGAAATATGAGTGCATTTTAGTAGATTTGTTCTTCAGAAAACAACAGATGAACATGTGGCGCTAACTTGGCCCCCAAACAATAATTATTTTGTTGTACCCTTCCAATTATTCTGCTGAATATATCAGGGCTCTTTGTTATGGATTTTTTTTTGTTCTGTAGAAACGTATAATGCATAACACATAGGTAAAACAACACAATAGTCGATCTTACTGTAAGTTTTTTTTCTTGGGGAAACAACGAGAGAACTCTTCTCACGCGGCGCTAACTTGTCCCCCAAGGACCACGAACAATTTTGATGTATCTTGCTAATTATTCTGCTGTTTTAATGATATGATTTTGTGTAGAATGCTCTGTAGAAACGTCTAATGCATAACGCATAGGTAAAACAGCACATACAAAACACACATCTAAGCAAAATAAAAATGGAAAAAAAAAAGCCTAATCAAAATACTGAATACATATACACAAGTGAATTGTAAATTATTATTCCACGATTTGCAGTCAGCAGAATTTGAGTGGGATAAGACAGAACAGTCTGGTATTTTAGCCTCCTATTTTTATGGATATATCGTAACACAGATACCGGGAGGATGGTTAGCTGGTCGATATGGTGGGAAGAAAGTCATAGGATTTGGACTTGCTCTAAGTGCAATGCTCAATGCATTAACTCCGGTCGCAGCTCGTTATGATTTGAGGATAGTCACAACCATTCGTGTTTTACTGGGAATATTTTCGGTGAGAGGTCTTTAATGCATTTATAAGGGTTTCCTTTACCTCTCTTGTAAAATTTGTGTATATTGACTCTATTGACGGTTTGTCGAGGCTTCTGAGTCCGATTTGTTGTTTGTCAACAGTTAAGTATAGTTACTAGTAAAATTGTCCTCTAAACTTGGTTTAAGTGTTTGCTATCCCCCAAGGATGGATCCTATTAAAAATATTTAGTATGAGTTATTGCCCTTGTTCATGAAAACCCGTTAAATATTTAGCTCGTAAACACTCTAGAAGGGACAATTCTTGGTGGATTTTGACGAAACTGGGTATGAGTGTGTATAATCACCCAAGGATTATCTCTCTTTAAAATCAGAAAAATATTAAAAACTGTTAATACTCTAGACGGCATAATTCTCGAAAGATTTTGACGTAACTTGGTGAAATTGTTTATCACCCATGGAAGCCTATTGAAAAGATTTGACCAAACTTGGTAATATTGTTCAGTATTACCCCAAAAAGAAGTGAATGACTGAAGGTTGAATATTTCGTATTGCGAATGTTACTGTACTGCCAAATATATTTATTTAAAATCAAGGCTACTAGGCATATATAACGTTGCCTGGCAAGCTATCTTTCATTGTGATGATTGTAAAGTAGAGCAAAAGAGAATTAAATTTTCCTGCCTATTACTTTACATCCAGTAGCACCATTTCCATTTGTATGTCATTAAAAAAGATTGACGTTCTCAGATAAGAGTGCCACAAATAAATTAAATTAAAGTATACGCCACTAATGTTTTCTAGGGAGTGATGTTTCCAGCTATGCACTCGATGTGGGGTCAGTGGTCACCACCTTCTGAGAGAAGCCGACTGACCTCGTTCACATATTCTGGTACAGTCCCTTTTTTTCTTTTCACATTACATAGGTTGCGTTCGATTGGAGAGCTCAGAACAGGTTCCAATTATTGTGCTTCCATCGAAGCGGAAAATGTCACTTTCAAAAATCTGTCATTTTGAACACGTTGACACACGTTCTGAACTCTGTTCCAAATTGTTTTATTGAACGTTCTGTTGATTCCATATACTCCCAACAGACCTCACCACTTGAGTGACCCCATAATGATCACCACCAGATTGACGTTTCCTTAAAAAAAAATCCTTGATGAAAATCACCTCCATTCGCATGAAAAAATTAATCTAAGTAAAATCAAACATATTTTTTGACATTGGATATTTTTGTTCGAGAAAATATACCAAACAATCACTTAGAGCCCACACAAGTTGAAATGTTACACAGTGCTCTTCTGTTTTTAGGAACCTTTATTGGTAACATTATCACCTTTGCTGTTTCTGGACTTCTTTGTGCTTATGGATTTGATAATGGTTGGGGTTCTATATTCTACCTAACTAGTAAGTGATGAATTCCCTTTACTGTTGGCGTTCATTCTTACCTATAATTCGAAGTAATCCATGGTTTATATGGTGCCACTTTTTATAATGAAATTATGATTGATATACTTCCTCATGTGAATTAGCTGCTACCAATGTTTAGCTAATATGATTTCGAGTTTAGTTCTGCGGTTCAGATCCTTAGTGCTTTATGTTCATGGTTATGATCTTTCAAGTCTAGGAAAGTATTCATCAGAACAGACTGCATGCCATTCTGGTTGATGTTATTCTGGATTCTGGACATTTCCATCACAATCAGTACAGTACTTCAGTAATCTATAATTGAGTATAGACTGTAACCGAATCGGCTAGAATGATGACATCATCACAACGTCATTTGCTTGAAAACTCTCTCGGGAACGGAAGTTGTTATCCATGCAAAATACGGTTGCATCAACACAAACGACTATTCATCTCGATACAAATGATAACAAACTATGCAATTCTATCTTGCTTGTCAGGTATTGTGACTATAGTATGGTTATTTTTCTGGTTTTTCCTGGTTTCCGATACACCGTCAGAACATCCCAGTATATCCAACATTGAAAAGAAATACATTATTGAAGGTGTTGGTAAATCACAATCAAGGGTAAGTTGTTAGTGTGTCTTAAGGGAATGCTTACTCTTCTAGATACCTGATCTTCGTTAAAATTTCATTAGCTGCTACCAATGTGTTGTTGGGATTGCGGGTTGTTTTGCTGTTCGGAGCGTTAGTTCTTGTCATACTTGACTAGAGAGGCAAATGAACCTCATCATATACCATAAGGTCGTCATCGTTGTTTGAATTAAGACCTTATAATTTCAAAACGCTTAAAATAAAGAAAACTGTATGATGCATGCAATGTATGATCATTTCGATATCTGTTTAAGATTTCAGTATCAAAGTGGTTGACGTAATCATGTATCTTATTCTGAAAATGTTATGTGCCTTAATTAATTAGGATGTGTTATACTTGACTAGGGAATATAAATTTTGTTGACTTCAGTAAGGCGTTTGAACACATTAATCACACATTACTAAAAGATATATTTGTATCGATTTCATATCAATTCATGTGATTTCATAAAATGTTATTAGATTCAAAAGTTATAGGAAGTCGTATTACTGGGAAGGAAATGAGAGTCAAGGTGATCTACGACGTCATTCATCTCGGATATTCTTTTATAGGTTTTATCAACGCCATGGTTGGCTATTGCAAAATCCAGAGCTATGCATGCATGTTTGGTGGCACATTTCTGTAATAATTGGATACATTACACATTACTGACTGGCCTACCATCTTTTATGAAAGAAGCATTAAAATTTGATATCAAACAGGTTGGTTATGTTTGAATTAAATCTGAAAAATATATGGTCAAAGGGGTATCATGCAATAGTACTATTGTTCATAATTTCCTCAAAAAAGTGTTAGTTCGATGTTCATTACCTGATCTTTTTAAACATACAATGTTAATTTCAGTTTTTTTTTAAAGTCTTCCGGGTCTTATTAGTACGAAAAGAAGTGGGTTTTTTTGACAGTAAAGTTTTTTGTCTCCATTTTTATGGACCTTGGGCCGGAAGAAGGGTAATATTTCCAAAACTAATATCTAAACTAAGGCATATATTTTGAGTTCTGTTTTTTTCTGATATACCTAGATAATCAATTTGAATATTCCCTGTAAATTTCAGGTTTGATAATTGCTTATTTTGGGAGATAAAAATTTATTTCACTTTGCGCAACTTGTGCTGTAGGCCCCCTAACTGAAAAATTATAGTTTTTAAGTTATTTTCAGTAGGGTGTATTTTCATTATAGAACGGTGTGTTATCAGCAGTGCCATACATGGCAATGACCATCTCAGTAATCGTATCTGGCCAAACAGCCGACTTTCTGAGAAGGAAATATTTATCAACCAAAACAACGAGGAAACTGTTTCAGATTTCTGGTAGTATATCATATCACATCAGTAAAATATCATAACAAATCATATATAATATATTAATACATTATTGATTTTGTTGGTAATTATTCAATCGACCAAAGTAGCATACAAATTGTTTCAGATTTCGTGTATCATATCACATTATACATTATACCATATATTTTCCACAGTGGCTGCGCCAGAAAGGGGTATAATAGGGAAAGATTTGCATTCCTAGAAAATGGTTTGCGCCCGAATTTATTTTGAACAATTTAAAAAACATGTTTTTCCAACCAAATATGTGTCAGAATGTACACCAATCAATTCAATTTTTTGATAATTTTCTAGAGAGAACCCTCTCAGACGGTCCATTAGATGCTTGCGACAAGACACATCCACAAAGTGCCGCATTTTCAATTCGGCCTCGACAGTTGCCCTGATTTGTACCCCAGTCTCAGGGGACTGGCACCACAACTAATTTCACTTTGCAGTATATTATTGTTACTATAATATTAAACGGGCAAATTTAGATAAAACCTCGAGTCTTTCATAGTAACCTATAAATAATCTCGACAGAAGAGTAGGACGTAAAACTCAATTCATTTCAGGTTTTATTATGTATATCAATGTAGTAGAGAATCCAATTTACTGAGAAACTTATTGGCAATTACCTTTTTATAATGGACGTATGTATCTAATACAATAATAAATTATCATAGCAATTGTAATGAGCTATTTTTTTTTTGTTTCAACAGCGTTTATTGGGGCAGGAGGTTGTTTGGTTGGTGCAGGTTTTGTAACATGTGAAAACAGAATGGTCGGAGTAGCGTTGTTGACATTAGCTGTAACGTTTGAAGGGATGTGTTTTGCTGGATACATGGTCAATCAGGTTGACTTTGCTCCGAGGTATAGTAAAAATATTCATTGCTTGCTAAATTTGGTCATTTGTAACCTTGCTTGACGCATGACTACGTTTATTTTAAGACGACGGTACAACTCTTGTTTTCTGGATTGGTTCCCCGTGAGTGTGATTTCAGACGGGTGACAGGAAATATTGTTTCGATGGAACAATTAACCGAAACCATCGTGTGTTGCAGTCTGACTGTAGCTGGAAATAGAAAAAGAGTTAATGCCGCTGTACTGAAAAAATATCCTTGTCAATGCAATCTACGTGGCTTTGTCCATGTCCATTTGCAAACAAAATTTCGTGTCTAATTTCGTATGTTTATGTCGATAGCGGTCCTTGAACAAACCTTAAACTGACAAGCCACAATAGTTCAAATTCGGTAATTTGTGACTTTACAGATACGCGGGAGTATTATTTGGTATTAATAATTGTATAGCTACCATACCTGGTATGATAGCACCAATAGTAGTAGGGGCATTGACTCCAAATGTAAGTAACGGTTCGTTTTTTTTGTAATTTTTCGAATGGAACTGAAGATTAACTGAACAAACCAAATTTACATAAGAATCTAGAAACTTTTTCTTGGTATGTTCAAATAAGATGGAACAATTTAAAATTTGTTCAAATTAAGGTTTTCGTGATTTAATATATAAATATTTGGCTGAAAAATTTCATCTACAACAGCATTCTGCCTTCTTATTCCTTTCACCACCATTTTGAATTCCGTCAACAACTACTTTTTACAGCAAGTGGAACCTAGCGACATCTAGTTTTATTGAACTTTCAGCTGATTTCATGAATCCCGAAGGAGCATAGTTCACCAATGGAGAATAAAATGTCTAGATTTTTCTTTGTTTTAACAGAAATCTCAAGAAGAGTGGCGGATTGTCTTTTATGTTTGTGGTGGATTTTGTCTACTTGGTGCTGTAGTTTTTGGATTTTTCGCTAGAACAGATCTAGAACCCTGGGCTGTCGAGAAAATTGTGATCAAAGTAGACGATAATGCAACTAAAGAGGTTCTGGAATATGACAATCAAGTTTTCGAGAAGGAGGACGTAGAATTACCTGATGGTTTTGTGGATGTAAAACTGTAACCATCAATAGATCTTTCAAAGGAAATCGATGATTTCAAAAGAAAAAAAAATAATTAGGGCAAGAAATGAACCATACGAAACAGGGCGTCGTTTTTATATCAAAAAAAATATGTGATTCTGGTAACTAAGTCAGGCCGTTAAAATCATTGAATATGAAGGAAAGTGCTACCTTTTGTTACCCATTTTCGCGATACTTATCGTATGGTGGCATGACGAGCAATGGCAACCCAACAAAAATGAATACTCCTTGAGGTAGTGAAGTTAAATCAAATTTTAAAAGACTTTTGAAATATGAATTTATTCGTCTTCTCAATCTAAGACACGTTACATTCAACATGGTCTTCGTGGAGGCAATGTTTAGCAGTGGTACTCCAAGCAGTACCAGTAGGGCATCTGGATATTATTGGGAATCCCCACATACACTGAACAAATCTGCTACAATCGTTCGGGTAATCGTACTTGTCAGAGGAGAAGAAAGGGCATATCTTAACGCACGATTTCTTGTTGTCGTCCCATTTTTGATTTGCAGGGCATTTGGTCAGTGTAGCTAAACCTTTGTGACATTTGAAATATTTGGTAAAATCCTCTTCATATTGGAACATGAAACCATCAACATCACACAACCCTATAATAAAAATGAATGCCACAACTGAAGTGCTCACCGCAAATATCGGAATTACAAGATGCTTGGATAATTTACCGACTTGGAAAATCAGGACGAAAATGTAACCACTTGGACGTTTTCAATTCTGAACTTCTATAGTTTATGTAATTTCAAAATTTTTGGACTCTGCCATCCTCTTACCTGGACATTCTTTCTCAAAGCATTTTCCGACTCTCTTTTCTAAATCATTGCCAAAACACTCCATACCACCATGTTGTGGTTTAGGATCATTACACAGCCGAGTTCTTTTTTCAGGCAGTTGACCTGCTCCACATGTGGCTGAACATAATCCATTAGCTTCCCAATCAGTCCAAATTGACCAACCTCCGTCAACTGAAACACGTCAGCATTATTTTGTGCAACAAAACTTAGCCAATTATTGTTACTTGTAACAATATACAAGACTTGCAGATATTTGTCTCAAATCAAACCGATACTCTGTAAAAAGCTATCAATATTTCATAATGGTAGTTGTTTTAAATAATACAAGAGTGGTTGCTGTAGAAGTTAGAAATGAGGACAATGGGGTGTATTTGACTGCCTACATTATTGAGTAGAAAACAATAACTGAAAAAACGATAGTTCATTTGTAAAGAAACATATAACAACCGTGGTTTGTGTTCAAGAGTGCACATAAGCATTGAACAAAACCCAAATTGAATTATGTCATATGAGTTGTGTATTCCTTTGTTTAACTCACCAGCACAATGTCGATTAAAACATTCAACAGTCCTGTTCTCCGACGAGTCCCCATAACACATCTCTCCACCAAACTTCGGTGTTGGGTTGTTACAGTCTCTTAGTCTTATTTCTCTTATTTCCCCTTCACCACAAGCTTTCGAACACTTTCCTACTTTTCTCCATTCTTGCCATTCACCCCAACCACCGTCCACTGAAAATGATGTTGAATTGGTTGAGGTTCTCAAAGATCATGATTCAACTACATGCCCATGGTAGATTTCTAAGAGTGGTATTTTTGAAAATGTAAGTTCAAACTTAATGAATTTGTTGGGTTAAAATCCGACTCTAGGAAGCACAAGAATATCATGAAGAAAGGATTCGATTCTTCGTTGATGTTGGTTCTTGTAAACCCTCACCCAGCTTATGACACTACTTCGAAAAAACTCAAGAGTTTCGATAATGACGTCATAACCTGCTTAAGTCTTTCAAGAAAAATACCAGGCGTCAGACAGGGAATCGAAATGATACTTATCTATACATATACATGCGTAATCAATGGTTCCATTCAAAGCTCCCAGGAAAAATAATATAGAAACGTACCTGGGCAAGGTTGTGGATTACAAAATTCTACTTTCCTCTGCAATGATTTTCCTTGACACTTTGCACCTCCGTATCTTGGTTTAGGACTATTACAGATTCTAGCTTTAGTGTAAATTATTTCACCAGTTTCACATGTCTTGCTGCATTTTCCTTGAACCTCCCAGTCCGACCAACCACTCCAACCTCCATTTACTAGAAATATATAGAAGAAAAGGTTGACGGTAGTAAGGTTCCTGTCAATAAAGCACGTCCGAAGGATTTGTATGTAAAAGTTCGTGTAGTCGTTCGGATGAAAAAAGAAGCCGAGACCTTTTGTGCTACATGCAACACGCTTTAAACGAATGCGTTATTGACAAATGGTCCGTCATTGTTCACAATATCATCAGCAAAGACAACAACGACCGAAATCTCCATTTCAGTCTCCGTGGTCGTCATTAAAACCGCTTTCACTTGACATGTTAAGTCATTGAGCGTGGCGCGACATTCAAAGGAGATCTTTAAAATCTGTTCTTGATTTTGACACTTAAAAAGCATTTTCAATGAGATGGAGTATTATCACTACGACTAACGGAGCCACATAAATGAATTTGGATGATATCCGACTAACCTGGACACGGATCAAAGGAACAGGTGACTTCTTCTGTGTCAACAGAATCTCCAATACAATCTTCACCACCATACTGTGGTTCGGGGTTATTACATTCTCTGGATCTTGATTTAGTTTGTACTCCTTCACCACACGATGCTGTACAATCACCTGAAGACCATTTGCTGTATTCGCCCCAGCCGCCATTTACTAAAAATGATTTATGACAGGGTTTGAAATGGAATAGACATTTATGTCATCGTGCTATGTAGCATTTCGAGCCAGATCGAAGAATGTGGTAGTGCAAGGGATCTAAGCTTTTTCTTGTGTTATTGGATATACTAGAACGCTATGACGAGAAGACTATTTGGAAATAATTTCTGAAGAGCAACTGTAACAATTGTACGGATGCCAACTTCGCTGAAGTAACAATCCATGCCTAGAATAAGCATACGCACTTGGACATGGTCGTAGATTACATTCAATCTGTTTTGATTCCATCTGATCACCAATACATTGCTCTCCACCATACGCTGGTGACGGACTGCTACAAGTTCTTCTTCTCTGTTGTAGTAATTGACCATCACCACATGATACAGAACACTGACCAACTGATCCCCAGGAACTATAGTCACTCCAACCTCCATTTACTACAAATTCGTCGAAAAATAATAATAATATTATAACAATACAAATACAGTATATATCATCTTGCATCTTCTTTTAGTCTTTATAAAGCATTATTATCGATATGATAACAACAATGAGACAGATATAGACTTTCATGCTCGTGCTTATGGAATAGGAATTCGTTCAGGATAAAAAGCAAGACTATAGAAAATCACCTGGACAATGTGGCATTTCACAGGGTACATTTCTTCTTTCCTCCGCCATGTCAGGACAGGGTTCTCCACCATATGCTGGCCGAGGGTTTGTACATTGACGATGTCGTATTTGCTGCAGGATTCCTGAAGCACATGTTACTGAACAGTCGCTGTTATTCATCCATGAACCGAACGCCGACCAGCCACCATTTACTGAAACAAATATCCCATATTTTTCCGCTCCTGATTTGACCAATATTGTCATTCAGCCTAGCGATAAGATGTCTTTTAACAGAGACATCAAGCAAACGTTCGATGATATTGATAGACATGATGATGTATGCCTTTCTGTCATTAATGATTTTGTCAATTATTCATCTAAAGAGATCAAAATAAGAGATTACGGTCACATACCCGGACATGGCGATTTAGTACATTCAACATTGCGTTCTTCTGTAGATGATCCAGAACACTGTCGTCCACCATAATTTGGTCTGGGATTGGTACATGATCTGGATTTTGTCTGTTTTTGAATACCATCCCCACAAGTAACAGAGCAGCTACCAGAATTTCTCCAGGAACTAAATCCACTCCAACCTCCGTTAACTAAACTCAAACAGTAAAATGTACTGTATACTAATATCGTCGGACCATATTATATTATAAGATACTCTCTTAAGAATGAATAGTTAACACCTAGCAAATCTAGACTAAGAAATAAACCGAAAAATTGCTTTTAGTTTTACCTGGACATGCTACTTTTGTACACATTACATATCGCTGCTCTGTATCCCGCCCAGAACATCTTGCACCACCATAAGCAGGACTAGGATTTGTACATGACCTTGTTTTAATCTGTTTCTGTTGACCACTGCCACAAGTCACCGAACAGCCTCCAGAGTTTCTCCATGTGCTGTAACCAGACCATCCCCCATTAACTGAAATAATTACATAATGTATTAAAAGAGAATGTGGACATCGTTGAGGAAAGATGTTATGGGCCATCCAAAAATGTGTTAAAAATTTACTCGTAAAATTACTTGTGGAAAAATGTTCAGTTGAGAATTGTAAAATGTGATGTCTGTATAAACAAGCACTATTTGTGTAATTTGAGAACTCGTGGAATATATAGAGAAAGGTTTGCTTTGCGGTTCTGACAAATACCATGTGACGAACCTGGACAAGGAGATCTAGAACACCCTACATTTCGTTGTTCTCTACTAGGTCCAGAACAATGTGATCCGCCATAAGCCGGTCTGGGACGGGTACAACTTCTTGTTCTTGTTTGTTTCTGCACTCCGTTACCACAACTAACTGAACATCCACCAGAGTTGACCCACGAGCCGTACGCCGTCCATCCTCCATTTACTTAAAATAAAATTAATGATTAGGCTTATCACTGATATAAAAGTTTTCTCACAGATAATGATGTCCATGCCGGTAGACCTGAAGCATCAAAACTTGGTCTGGTGGAAATGTTCAAATGTGAAATATTCACGTAAGTTAGTGCTATGGAAAGCTTTGACTTTTTCGAATACCTGCATACAGTCTATCTAGAAGTTTTCTGTGAAGACTTCGAATATTTATTTACAATTATTAATAACCAATATGAGATGGTTCATTTGATCAGATCTGATTTGAGTATGTACCTGCACAATGATGCGTGTTACAGGGAATATTTCGGTATTGGACACTACAAGATGATGGTCGACCAGAACTGCACGAAGATACGGACATCATCTGTTTCTGAGAACCAGTACCACATGGTTTACTGCAATATCCACTATTGACCCATCTGTAACCTATAATAAGAGATCAATCACACTACTTTTTATGTCCCCGATTGGATAATGAATTGGACTTCGCCATACATTATGACATAAGGGAAGTTGTGTCAAGACAGTGGCGTGAACATACACTTTCCCGATTGGTTCATTGCCGTCCAACCTGAGCTATTAGTCGCTTTCTTCTTGTTTCTCCATCCGACCGGCGACAATGACGGAATGAATGGGTGGGTGAATGTTCTTCGGTTTCCTGCCGATTTAGATAAGAGTTCTTGGACGTATGTGGACGATTTAAAACATTATCATGAGCACTCCACTATATATCTGGTTAGTTTGAACACAATATCGGTCTGGCTCATGTAGCATAATTACTTTTTTCGTCCTCGGAACAAAATAGACTGATTTTATTTTTGGATTGAATGGGTGCACAAATGGCCTTGTCCGACTATGGCGTGTCACTCATAATGATATTGACTGGAGTGCATCAGGTACTAGGGGAATTATTGTCATCAGACGCAACTCTTCTTGCGTTTTGCTTGGTATCTTATTGATTGTTTGGAATATAAAAATTCACAAGCTATTGAGATGGTTTTCAACCCCATGACAGTTACGTTAATCTATTCACACCCCTTTATAATAACAAACAGTAATTATTTCACTTTTAGATGCCTGTCCGTGAAATTTTCTTAAAACTACCGATGCTAACATTCTTATACATCAAACAAATTTCGATTGTTGGAAGTGATGAGCTGCTCTCGTTGGAGTCCACGTTATTCACATTTACAAAGGATCATTTATTGCATTTTGCATATTAGAATATTGTTTGCGCTTGTTTGCTGTTAATTGCTCTTTTTAAAGTAGATAATTTAAAATACTCACTGCAGGAACATCTGACATTTGTTGTCCTAAAAATATATGTATAGATGTTCAACTTACCAAAATTTATTTCAGTACATGTATTGATCCGATGAGAGTGGAGGTCATCATGCTTCCTTTTTACTGTTAAAAGGGCAATTTAAATCCTACTTAGTTCTTCTCATATTAGCGTACATAATTTTAATTAAATAGATAGTGGATGAACTCAATGCTCGTGTCTGACAAATTAAGATTTGTTAGTTTTACTGGATGGTTGACGCGGTTATTTTCATTTCATTTTAATTCTTTTCAATCAGTCACATTGTATAGAGAACAGAATTATGAATATATTTCCTTTCATCTTCTTGCACAGCGGGAAATGATGATTGCTTAAGTTTTAACTGCATATTATTGATTTTCAACGTTACGTTTCATGATACAGCAAAATCATAAGATCAAATGTCCATACCTGTAACGTGTACATCTGCTCCATAGTCCACAGCGTGTAGTGTACCGTGTGCGTGTGGAACATGTACCCGAGCATCTAAAATGGTAAAACATAAAAGCTAAATGGGAATCTCGGTGGTTCATAGAATTGGACGCAAGCCCGTTGCCTTCTGATTTTTCAGTCCAGACTCCTCTTTGCGTTGAAGCAGGTCGAAAGGGCTGATTTTATTTATGCGTCTAGTCGTTCAGATAGGGACAGTGCTGGAGGTCATATGTTTCATGTCCTGTAACATTGAGAAATCTCAAAAACGTATTCAGAAATCACAGTCTTCTCCCACTTTCCATATTGATGGGTGACTCCTTGTTTCCATTAGCATCATCATTGGCAGAGAAATTACGAACGTAAAATTCAATATCACTAACACTAAACTTAATTTAATTCGACCAATGAATCGATAAGCCGGTAATGTATGAAAATCAAGATAAATAGCCATATATTATGTTAACGAATTTTTCTCTGTAATTTCTGCAGCTGCATATTTATTCCAGAAGCAATTAAGGTTTTATTTATCATAATTATTTTTATTATATTACGTCAAAAACAATAAAAAAATTTCAATACATAAATGTCATATAATAAGAACCTACGTTTCTGTATTTACGTTAACAATACCACAAACCAAAAGCACGATGACACTAATCCAAATCCGATCCATCGTTGAAGAATCGTACACCAAAGAGTGTTGTCGACTTTCAACTGATGATAAATCATAGTGCATGGTGATTATAAATCTTTATTTAAATCATTTGCATTTATTTAGTATTTCATTTCCAAGATTAAATTTGATATATCAACACAAATACTTGGTAGAATTAAGATCTTATATATATAATATTAGGATTATATAGCATTTTGACAAACAAGAAAGTGGGGCTCAAATCATCTGGTGACTCTAACCACAGGGAAGAACGATTTTGAGACCGACTGATTTCATCGACAAGAGGGAAATATTATATATGATAAAGTAGGTTAGTCATTTGTTATGAGATTCCCTAAATATGAGAGCTTCCCACCAAAGTTCGCCATTCTCTAAATATGAGAGTTTCCATGCAAAGAGGGTCATTCTCCAAGTATGAGAGTTTACCACCAATGTCGGCTATTCTCTAAATATGAGAGTTTCCATGCAAAGAAGGTCATTCTCTAAGTATGAGAGTTTACCACCAATGTCAGCTATTCCCTAAATATGAGAGTTTCCATCTATCAGTCTCTAAATATAAAAAAAAACAGGTCATTCTCTAAATATGAGAGCTTCCCACTAAAGTCTGTCATTCTGAAAATATTAGGCCCATGACAAAGGGCAGTTCCTCTCAGAAATCTGGTGGACACATCACCCTTTTTAATACATTAGTGAAGATTTCTTTTGCAGATCAGATATACAAACCAGAAAATATAACAAAGATCATTCATGAAAATAAAACTAACATGTACCTTTCCTTAAATGAGACTGAACTGATTTACATCTAGTCCTTCCGATTTTACGGCTGAGGAACGAAAAAAGAACACGGCAGTTTCAATTTTATCAATAGTGCATACGCTCAGTTTCAGTAATTAGTCAAATTCGTTCTGATGTCGTTATTTGTTAAAGCACTTTGTACTGATTGTAGTTTGTTTTTCAGATATGACAATTCTCAGAGAAAAGTACCTTGATAATTGTTTACTCATCGAGTTTTCTAATCAGTAAGAAAAATATAATTTGAAAAGTATTGTATACATTTAACTTTTAAAAATATTGAATTCAACCTTTTAGTATAATATACATTTAGCTGTATATAAATATTATTGATTTCTTAAAAAGTTCACAAAAAGGCGGTAAAAAATCAGAGAGGTCTTCTACATATTAATGCCTGAATAATGTGATTAACCGAGTTCCCTTAATAAACAAATGGATCTTATCGGCGATAGAGCAAGTCGTACTGTAATCGGTAAAATAATATTGATAATATAATAACTAAACCTTAACACCTAACAACACAATATTTGTTTTCTTAATATTACAGACAAGTGGTCCATTCTTACAATGTAAGTTTGGTGATGGCAGTTTGAAATAACACATCGCCATCTCTAAGGTGTTGTGCTTTGTATCGCTTCCTATTACGGGAAACAACATCCGGTTAATTTTTTAAACTCAGCGAATTTCCACTTCAGTAAGTGTAACGGAAACAGACGTTCGATTTCATATCCTTGACCCATGCGTACTACAACATGAAACAACTTGAAAACAATTGAAATAAAAAGTGCCGAATTGTAAATAAAACCAGTGAGAGAGGCGTTAAAAAGAACAACAGGTTAAATACAATCGATAATGTTTAGAAAAATTTAAACAAAAGCACGTATTATCATCTTTAGATTTTTAAAATTTTCAGCACCGAATATCAAAAGTCAATTATGCATATTACAAAGGACAAATCACGTGCAAAATGGTTAAATGTGACCCTCATCCAACTTAATTCAGCATGTCTTAAATTATCGCATGTTACATTTTAAAAAAATTAGAAAACATGCCTCCCTATGAACCAGATAGGATGGGTGTTACATTATTTAATAGTGATTTGGACTAATATTATCGCCTGTACTTGTGGTCTGAATCAACATAAACTCTTGAGTGATTCCCCTTACTTACGAGTGCCATTTTATCCCGTGCTTTTGCACGCCCTTGGCAGTCCACCTTTTGTATTTATACTTATTGTATCTAAGTTGCTGTCCTGATTAAACATAGACTTCCTTATGACTTGTCAACCATACAATTATAAGAATGAGCAATGTAAAATAATCTCCCGAAGTACAAAATTTGCATTGCAGTACGCATAGATTGCATAGGCTACAGTACTTCTCAACCTCAGTGAGATCATTCCTCCCAAGAAGAGTTTTTCTAAATCTATTCCTCTCCAATATAAATTAGTCATTGTATTCAACATGTAACCATGAATGGATTTAAAATCCTACTTCACATATCGAGATAGTTCAATGTGACACTTGGGTAGAATGTTCGTTTACGATTTTCTATAAGTCCTAGATGAATAACGCCAATTTCAGTCACAGATCACTTTGTGAGTACATCATTAACTGTGTTGAACTCACATTCCATCATATACATTGTAGGAACTGGCAGCAGTAGATTCCCCCATAGCAATAATTCATTGCCATTGTCTTCCAATTCCTCCCTAGGGGAATGAATTTATAGCAAGTAAAAGTAATCTTACTAAAATTTATATTTTATTTATACGAATTCGATTAGGACTATGAGCACTGTGTTGACATCATAATTCCAAATAGCTTAAAATATTCGTTTAATCCGATTTACTAAGAAGACAATAGTATAGAAGATTATTCATTAAATTTTGATATACGATTAAAAACAGTGACTAGCTAATTAGTTTTCGAAGAAAAGAATATTTTAACCATTAAACATAAGAACAAAATTATCAAAGTAATGTATACGAAATTGACAAAATTGCAAATCTGAATAATGCCCTTCTGTCTTGGAACATTTTATTTAAATCCTTGAATTTGATTTGAAATATAAGCTTCTTAGACTTTGTGTTCATAAAAATCATAAAGTTTTGTACGTTTACATTTAATATTGAGGTGGGCATTATGCGAAATTTTCATTGTCAAAAAGTTCGTAGTTATTCCTGAAAATATATGTTATTTACATATATGTATCTACTTGATCAAACTGAATTTGTTTTAAAAGTGTCAATATTATTAGTTGAAACCTTTAGAATATGAAGGAGACATATGTCTCTACAATAAGGCGTTTATTTTACTCAAATCCGCACATTAGTTTTTTAACAGCTTCCAAAACGCATAGTGAAAGTTTACGTAAACTTTCATCATAGTTCTGGCGGTTTTTTTTTCAGGGTTACACTCCAGATTTTGATAGCCTATATAGTTTTCATAAATATGAGCAAAAAACATTTTCGATCTACGAAAATACACAGATCTCCCTCCTATAAAGTAAACAGAAAATGTTACAAATTTTGACTGAACTGAAAATTTACCTCGGTAATAAATTTGAAAATAATACTTGCCTATGTTTATCAGCGCGAAGTCTTAAGACTAAGAAGACTATTTTAAAGAAATTTGTTGTTACATTTCGTTTTATCACCCAAAAATACGAAGACAGCAATTATCTCTATATTTTATTCAAATACACTAATCGAGCCTCCCCGACCGTCTGTCTTTAACTGTACCTTCTCAAATTTCAACTGTTGAGGTCAATCGCGGGCAAATCAAAAATGTTTCTAATCAGTAATTAATGATGTAAATAAACAAGCCAGACTTTTTCTCGACGGGATTCATGATGCCCTGAGCCTTTTTCTATCAACTAACTTCATTAAAAAAAAACTGTTAAGACAGTAACAGACAGCTCTACTATAAAGGGAAGGTTTGGCAAATTCGTACCTCAGAAAAGAGAATTTGGGCCTTCAAATGCATGTGTGTCCAGAAAAATCTGCGTTGAAAAGTTAAAATGACGACTCGTCTTTCTTGAGATTGAAGGTAATTTTGAAGAAATACTGCGATTTACATGACCCAAATCAACCTCCGAAAATGGCGACTTTAAGTCACATATACATACACGAAACATTTTTTATCGACAATGTCTCAATTAGAACTTATTAAACAACCATCGATTCCATGGAAACTTAGGTTGACTTCGACGCAGTATATAGTATGACATATCCGATAGCGGAACATCACTTATTACAGTTGTTACAGGGATGCCCACATCTGTGATGGTTTGTGTATATGTGGTGTTGTTGTTAGTTGTCAGCATAGCTGGTGATTTGTGGTCGAGGAATGACACTAGTCACGAACATCAATTCTTTCTGAATGTTTCCAGCGTATCTAAATGTCAGTGTAGTTTAATATGTCACCAATTCCATTCGTGTTCTCAATTTGGGTTCATGGCTGAATTTTGCTACTGTCTTGGAAGTAGTTCTCACTCTGTAAACATGATTCATTTGGACTATTATTATGAACGAGACATACCTTACAGTCCGCAAGCGAACCAGGAGTTGATTGCTGGTATGTTACTTAATTATTAATTTTATTTGAGGATATAAATCGCTCGACTGAAGCGTCCGCAAAGTTTTTGAATTAAGCCAGAAATGGTGGTCGAAGTTCTTTTTAACTTGTCATGCCAAAGTCTGCTGCTGATTGAAAATTGAAGTCGATTCAGTTGCAAATGGGTACAGATAACCCAAATAAAGATCATAGGGAGATAGCAGATAGGGCACGTTGCACCATGTTCTTCCGTCTACGAGGTTGTGAAACCCGAACTTGACTTATAATTATTTTTTATAATGACCTCACCAGCTTTTATTTGATCAACTGCATAAGGCATTTTAAAACGTATCATATAAACAATTTCATAATGAGACAAAAACGGAGATGCTTTGATGGCTTTCAGAATGGATAAAAAATGGCATTTGCATTTCATATGGCATCGATGCCAGTAGAAGCATAAACTCATGCATGATATATTCTTATTATAGCTTTGGTAAATAAAAACTACATAATTTATAATGGAACAGATTTTGGTATAAAAAAGAAAAACACACCGTTAAAATGGGATGACGCCGAGGCTGATTGTGTTAAGGACAAAGGACATCTTTATAGGATTAACTCTCTGTTTAAAAGAGAAATCCTGGAACGTTATCTATCAGGTAATGTTTCTTTTTACAATCATTTATATAAGCCCGTTGCTGCTAGATGATTTCCCAAGAAATGGTTGTATGAATGGTTAGTATTTATTGCTTTTAGGGCAAAAAGTATTATCAGGTGGCCTTGGTCGCAATTTGCACTCCAAATTTTACCTCTTTAACTTTCACAAATTTAACATATTATTTGTATACGTTTTTGACCCAAAATATTTGTCAAAATGCACTAAATCAATTCAATTTTTCACAAAAGGCTTGCCAATATGATGTCTTCACAGAGTCGCTTTATTTCAAATTCAGCCTCGACATTTCTCCACTTCATCCAAAGTCATCATCGTAATTAATACTGAGTTCAATAAAGCTATAAATTTTGTGTTTATAAAAACAGCTTTAAAATAAAATACATTTTCATTTTTTCCGATATTACTTAAATAAATAGGGTTTACACAATAGATGTTAAATTTCTTTACTGCTGAACTTTTCTACAATATTATTACCAAATAAAAGCATGTTCGATATAGCTTCTAATAATGTTTACTGAATAATTATCTATCAAACTTGGCAAACAGAACATTAATATTCTTAGATAAAAATGGGTTTTTAATAATTTAATCTATTGATGCGTATTTTTGGACTTTTGAACCGAAATGAGTCTTTATTTCTTTAGTCTTTTTTGGAAAATATTTCAGTTATCAATGTTGACTTACATGATAACTATCAATTAGTTAGAAAAAGAGGATGCGGAAATTCACCACACCTGAACATATGTCATGACAATCAAAATACTCCAAAACAAAGACGATATTATCTACATAGAAACATTTACATATTCATCAGGCATTTTGTTTGTAGGCATTTTGTTTGTAGATTATACAAAAAACGACACGCCTTTATGCTAGGTTTGCATCGGCCATGTAAACTCAAGGAAGCTAAAGGAGGAAACATGAAAAGTTATGATTGCTGTACATTTTGTTTTAATTGGTCAAGGATTTGACCCGGCTCAAACAGGGGACTGTTTTTTGTCCCTTATTTCCTTTTTGTATATTTACATCTTGTAATTTCTGGGAGATACATCACGTCTATTTGCATCCATAATATTCCCCACCAAGCGTCTGAGGTTCTTGTAATGTCAGAACAAAACATGATCAGATTTTGACGTCAGTGTCCCCAAAGGCTTCTAGGTTTGGAATGTATGGGCTCCATTTAAGTCTGATGTTTCGATACACATACAAAGACCAGAAAATCTCCTTTGAATCCTTTTTTACGTGTATATCTGAACAGAAACTTAAAGTTATACATGACATCAAATTCCTATACAACAGCCCGTTTCAACCCTTTTCCATAGTCACAACGTTTATTTGATAGTTATAAAACTTACGAATTATCTGATTCAAAAATTATATTTTTCAGATATAACTTTTAGCTCCGGAGAAGATTTCCATGTTGGCTTAAAGAAAATTAATGGCACTTGGATGTGGTTTGATGGTGGAACGGATGTATTTTATTTGCGGCCAGAAGGCCAAAATGAAAATTGTTCAAGATATTTTGACAAAAACATAACTAGCACAATGTGTGCTAATACCAACGAATATCTTTGTGAAGTCTCAATCTCTGTATAAAGGATTTTCTGAATAAAAAGTAAAGAAGCTTATAGGGACAGATTCGCCATTTCTGAGTCTTTATATATTAATAGTCTTCAGAAGTACTAGAAATGTCCGAAAATCGCATAATTCCGTCAAAAATATCTCAAACTAGGGATTTTACATTCTATTTCTATGTCTTTTCTATACAATGACAGTCTCAATAATTCAAATGCAGATAATTATGGATACACATGGACTTAAGGCTCAAATTTCGACGATGATCTGTGAACACTATTACTGATTAGCGCAGCTATGGAATTTCCGTTTCTTAGACTTCCAAGGTACGAAAGGGTAAAAAAAAGGCGAACCTGTCTCATGAATATGTAAAAGCTGTATATAGAAATGCGTGGCACCTCTGGAAGTGGCCTTGATTTCTAAATATGGTTAAAAAAAAGTTCATGAAACTAGAATTGTGGTTAAAGTCCTTCTCCCAGTGTACAGCTATAAATGTAGTTTTTGTTATTTTATTATGTCAATTTAGTCTCCATTGATGTTAGTGGAAAGAGGAATTTTAGTTTATGAAATTTTCTTTCGCAGATTTAATTATGTCGATCCATCCTAGCATTACGACTAAGGTAAGAAACGTCAAAATAAATTGATGCATTGAGGCACTACAGACGATATCTGCAGTAGTACGATATTTATCACGATTATTATCTTCTTGGTGTCCAGTTAGATAACCAAACGGCTTGGTATTCTGGGTTTCCTCTTACCAATTTGCATGGATTAATTTTTAAGAATCTAACAGAAATTAGACCAAGAGAATTTCTGACTATCGTGAACTCATTTACAGATTTTATTGTTTTCATTTTATAAGTTTTATTGTTATTAACAACAATATTCTACTTAATTCGTATTGATTAACAATCTGTGTAAAAAGGTATAAAATGATTCAGATCAGGACCACTACATCAAATCCAACTACCAACCATTGCGACTACCAACAACTACCTAGTTTGCGATATTAGCATTCACATTTAAGAGAATTGATACCCGCCACTGTGGTTTGCATTGACCCAGCAGTCATACGCCTCCATCCCCATGGCTGCCATTTTGTCAATCACGTGATCTCAAGTTGGCATCACATGACCAGTCTGATGTCGGCAAAGAGTTGGTGAAATGTAAACTTTGTTTTCCTCTGTTTACACTGGTCAACAATGTGACGATATTCAAATAAGTTTATAACAAGTTTTGGTTGTTAGCAAAATCAGTTTGTGTTTATATGAAACAACACATGAACGTTTGGCTTATTTAATTATCAGTGATGAGGAACTGTGAACCTAACTTGAAAGGTACACAGCGGCTATTGTGGGAGTAAATCATACCTAGGTCTTAGAAATGTGAAACGTGACTAATGTTGTTCCGCTAATCTAATCAGAAACAATCTTCACTGCTTACCGTACAAATTTGAGCACTCAAATCCAAATGTATCCATAATTGTCTATGTATCGAGTCGACGATTTGAAAACTTTTCATCCTGCCCCACTTCATCAACGCACAGCTGCGACGGAAGATGTCTTGGTGTCAGAGACTATATCATCAAGACGTTAGACTTTCGGATATCCTAAATTTCAGAGAGAAGATGAGCTTGTGAACGATAATAATAAAATCTTAAATTTTTGTTTGAGGTCTATTTGAAGGAACTAAGCGATTCTCGTACAGTTTTAGTAGTTCTGAATACTATTTACATATATTAAAATAACCGCCAAATATGCCCCTTTCAGTGGGAGTATGTGCCACTTTACCAAAATGCAGTTAAAATATCTTATTATTGTAAAAATGCAAATACATTGTCTTAAGTTATATAACTGAACATCATTGCGAAACACTTTTGAAAATCAGACTTTTTACAAAATGTTATAACATAAGTCATAGGTGAAAGAAAACATGGATGATTTCATGATGTTAACAATAAAACTAATAATTGATATTGTGAATCCGGCACAAACTACCTATTTAGTATAGCAAGATGTTACCAGTTGTTGTGAACACCGAACGAATAATTAAAATTGACGCTTCAATCTGCTATATCCTGGTATACGTGCGAAATCATTATCTTATAACTGTGGGATAATACAAATTCAGTATTCAAAACGTCAAATACTGCGTACGTCTCAAAATGAAATTGGTTGTAGTTTTGTTGGTCTGTCTGAGCGTATTTTGTAGCATGAATACAGGTAATGGTTTTATTTTTTTCTTGCATTCGATTTAAAGACAGCCAAAGGATTAGAATGATAACAACTTAGGAGTCGTTTTACAGACTAGCTGGCCAAACCTTTTGGTATTGATCTTTCCCGGATTATTCATGTCCATTTTCTGGTCTACTCGAATTAGGAAAGATGACTTAGTCAGGGTTAACAGATTTTCATACGTTGAACTAGATTAAAACTCACGACCAACACGACGTTCGACGTATCAAAGCAAATTACGTGATGTAAAGTTTGCAACACTTTAACTGACTGCTATCTCTACCTATGCCAGGATTGAACACTGGGTTAAGCGAGCAAGTGTCTAACTCACTGAGCCTCAACGGCTCCCTGAAAGAGCAGTCAGTGAAACTATCGACGACGAATGAGTGAATTTGTTTCCATGAAATAGGCAATTTTTGACAATGTAAAACGAATCAGTTTTTCGTGTGATTTCTGCATTTACGATATTCCGATATTAACATAAAAAAAACTTTGCGCAGTAACTCATCGAATCTGGTAATCCCATTCCCAAATATATTGTTTTAGTAGTCTAGTGATTAACATTTATTACTCACTAGCTTGGATGAGAGATGATTTTTCAAAACATTTTGCAAGTTAAAGGGGATTTTCGTGAAAAAGTCGTGATGAGGTGATTGTAATATAAGAACATCTATTGTAGAAACTGAAGCTTTTCCGATGTGTCCTATGATGTTTTGTTTTGTCAATGCCTGTCAAACAGTCTACTGCCCAGGAGAGTGCAAGTAAGATAGTTTCTGTATCACATCCTCGATGGTGTTGCGGTGGAAACAATCTAATTCGTGATTTTTTGTTTTTAAATATCTATTTGCTATATAAGTTTTCGACGAAAACAAAATGGATAGCGAAACTCCAAGACGCAACAATATTACTCTACATAGGATTTTTGGGTTTCGGGTTCTACCGGACATGATTTGATTGGTTAAACATAACGTCAATAGAACAGGGTCAGGGTAGAACACTTGTCAGATTATAGTGGAGACGAAAAATATCATAACAAAATCGAAACGAAATTGTAATATAATATTTATTGAGATTGCAGTGGAAATGAATTTCCAATCTATTGCAGGTGATTTGGGAATATCAATACTGGTCCACGACGTTTTTCTGCTTCAATTGCATATTGTCATTTTTATACGCCCACATCTCTTTATGTGGACATATATTGTCGGCACCCCTGTCCGTCCGTCAACATTTGCTTGTAAATGCTCTAAAACTAGATTTTTTGATGGAATCAAATGGAATTCGGTATGTGTATACATATGCATAAAACGAAGATCAAGTTCGAATTTGAGCTCATTTCGACTGTTAGAAGCAGAGTTATTGCCCTTGCCCCAAAATCTTGAATATTTACCATCCGCATGCCGTGGTGGGCGGTGGTGGTCCACTATCTTTAACAGGTACGGTGGTCATCATTTGTCAATATACTCTATTTTTTAGGTCGAGTTGTAATGGATGTATTGCCACGTGCGTCTAGTTACCAAATGATTTGAAACTGAATTTTGAATCATTGGTGTACTTTATTATTTCACTATATCACTAATGTTTCTGTAAATAAATTTCGAATTTTTTTCGAATTGTACCTTTTTAAAGTGCAAGAACCCTTACCACTAACGAATCGTAGGCTGTAAGATTGTCTGCGAGGCTATTCGGTGTCGTAACTCCCCCTCTACTTCCCCCGGGGTAAAAAATAGTATGCCCACACCTACAGTACATGTATTATGAGTTTTGAATAAGATGTATAAACGACTCAAAGTTTATTTCTATCCTAAAATGGGATTTTGGGTACCCTGTAGAGCTTGGACTTGTAGAACGTACAAAACAGTAAGTAACTGAAAAAGAAGTAAATTATGAATTAAAATATTAAAATACATTGAATTAAAAAAAATATACCCAATATAGTGCAGAGAGCTGAACTACAACGTTTTGAAGCGTTTTGTTGTTTTCCACATGAAAATATAATATTTTTTCTGAAAACAGTGTTATCAAATCATACAACTTAAGGTGGTACGGCGAAAAGATGCGATTCGTATGTCTGGAACGCATAGCCGATAACTTATAACAAAACTAGTCAAAAATGGATCTTTACCTCAGTATAGTAATTGGTAAATTCTTCTTTTGATATTCTTCCATCATCTGTTGAACATTGAAAAGGCGTTTTCTGTATTTTTTTTTATCAGATATTAGGGTGGTAAAAACTTAGCTAAACTTTCAGTACTGATACCATTCAATCAATTTGTACGGCTAATAAACGACGGCTCATGTTATGCTGCTCAACTACCAAACTATCCAATGAATGGATGCAGATTACCATGTACACGGATTACCAATAGCTATCTAGTCTGCGATATCAGCTTCTGTTGTGAACTATCAGGTTCTGAATTGCTTGCAAAATTTGGTTGAAAATCAACCGACCACAACTTGTATGGCACAAATAAGGTGTTATTTCGATCACTGAATGGGAGGGATAATGGGTCACATTAATGCTTCTTCAAAATCGTTGAATCCATAGCCTGAATGTCGGTCCCTAGCACGAAAATATATAACCCATAAAATTAGCAATACTTAATTGTTTGGCTTACACTATATGCAAACCATTAAAAATCGGCAGGACTGGGAACTTACGATTAATGTGATCCATGCGTTTATAAACACCATCTAAGTCTTTGGTGTCAAAAAATCCGTCTTGATTTTCATCATACTCTTGGAATAGCGATTTGGCTAATATAGCTAAAGTCGGTTCTGTCATATCGAACTCATACTCAAACTCATCCCTGGTAACTTCATTGTCACCTTTAAAAAAAACGGTAAATACATTAAATGTATGTAATCGCCGAAGTATTCGCTTTACCAGGATCCAAAATATTTAACGTGCATAAAAGTGAATGGGGCCAATATTTGCATCATTCCTATTAACTCTCAACGATACCAGCAGTTTCAATAATGTTTAAAAAATGACCTATATTATGAGGTCACTTCTACGAATACTATTTTGAATTAAGAACTGAAATTGGCTACTTTAATCAATTATTACCGTTTCTATCATAGTCTGCTAATAAAGTCTCCAAATCAGAACGGTCGTATTCCCCATTTTTATTAAAATCCATACTAAACCACATTTCGTGTGTGGTTTTTGCAATATGCTTTCGGAATGCTTCTACATCCGGATCAACTGTCCCTTGGCTAAAGCAAAACAATAACAGAAACATTCATCGATCATTTGTTTCAAAATTTCTGTTATAATCATTACTCCACAAATTTCAATTTGCAACAGTGTATTCGTTCTTACATGTTTTTCAATGATTATCTGAATATCAGAACAAGAAGTTGTCCCCTTTCGAATTCAAAATATGAAAGTGTTGAACAGATTTGGTTTTATTGGAATAACAATTGGAAATACAATTTTCGAGTTTGCAAATTTTGTACAACATTGTATTCCGATATCTGGTCCTGAAAATCGCAAGACTCTTTGGTTCATATGTCGTATCTGGTCATGTATTGTTTTTACATTGCCAGACCACAGACGTCGTATGGGAAATCTGATTGATGCAAATGAATAAATAAACCAAGTACAGACGAAACCCGAAATCCAAAACAACATTTTGGCGAAATGTTGGTAGCAGCTGATGAACTTTTCACTTAAGGAAGCTATAAACTGTACCCCGCAAAATGAAATCAAATGAATGGAGTTTTACGTCTTATACCCTGCCAGAAAACCACTTTACAATCTCCCTAACCTACCTTGTAGTCGCTGCTATACACAACGCGAGAAAAAGACAGGCGGCTACAAACATTTTGTCAATTATTTTCAATCTGAAATGAATGTGTGACAGTGTTACATATCTTTTCTGTTTTCGTATAAAATAGTCTTTTCTACAGACCATCAAGATTTACTTGTGTATTGTTCGTTGTATTTTTGTGATTTATACACATTCTATAATCCCCAATCATTTTAATTGAATGGAATAGAAAAAAATAAAAAAATATTCCAAACAATTGATTGCTTGCCGGAAAGTAGCGAAAAATCATTACGTATATAAAAATTTCACTTTTAATATCGATTTTTTATTTCAATGCAATACTCGAAAATAGAAAACCAAACGTACCTTTCAATTGCAAAAGTCGTCTGTTAAACACCCTATCTTATCTTGTTTTCTCACGCCTCGCCTTGTTTCTAAATCATGATCACCAAACGATAAGACAGATAAGGCAAATGCCACGCTTAGGTCAGGTCAGGTAGTTATCAAGAATTAGTGCAGTCGATGCGCTGACAACATGTTTAAAAGAATTTGGAGAATTGCGTCTTATGGTACATTAGTCATCAAAATATCAGTGTTTCTGGTTTTCTTCGAGAATGGAAATATCAAGAGATGACAAAAAATCCATGATGATGCGTTCCTTTGATTCTACCTTTTGACACTTTTTCATTACATATACAAGAGTGACTTTGAGTACTAAAATTCCTGATGCAAAATGAAATGATAACATAATTTTACGTCCTACTTTTCTGCAGCTAGTTGGGCTAATGAAGACGGGTAACACTATGCAGTGTGCTATGATGGCTATAGCCTTCTGTAGCACACGGAGATTCGCAGTGTCCACAACCAAGCATTGTGACAGCAATGTTAAAATTAATAACCCCACTGTATTCACTATTTGTCTATTTCATTCATTCAGTCAAAAAAGCTATTCAGAGTGGGAAATCTGAACATAATACTTTATATCGCACAATATTGTGTCCTTGAACAAACAAAGGGATGTAACTCGTGTGTGTTTTTGTATGTTACTAAATAACCTAGTCACTTCAAGGGACGTAACTCGTAATGCGAGATTGATTACTAGACTGCACGTGTTTGAAAATGAGGTCAATGGCAGTGTTGTTCTTGATAGTAAAATCGTGTTTAACAATGACTAATTTCACCTTTTGCCAGTGAAAGTGTTAAATTTCTACTGCAATAAGCGACACGTTTTAACCAGTGTCGTAACATCGTATAAAGGTCAACTGTCAACAGCGTATCAAACTGTTTTGATTTTTGTGTTGAGACTTGCTAGTTTGTTATTGTGTTGCTCGCTGTTATATAAGCTCTCGTGTTTTGTATCACTGTATAAGAAACTATTGGAATAATCTACCTTAGAACATTTCATGATAAACAATGTGGGACAGAAAAAAAATTGGATTCAACATTGTATTGTGAACACAAGATATAGTTTATTGTGGTCTGCTACATCCGTGAGTTACATTTCCTTATACGTGTGGGCATGTATGTATGTTGTCTCGAGCGACCGTCTGTCCACAATTGATTGTGTTAGCAATTCAACTAGCTTACAGATCGAGTCAATTCGACTCTATATATTGTCGTCTGTCCGTCAACAATTATTTTGAACGGCCTGAACTTTGCATACACATTCAAACAGCATACAGCTAGTGGTCAAAACGCCCAGCATACATGTTCCAGTCAATTCGCCCTTTCATACGTATATATTGATCAGCAGGTCTTCAAATTTTCTTGTGAACTTTGCATACCTATTCACCACCAGCCAAACTGATTGAGGTCAAATCGTCCTAACGTACTGATTCTAGAAAAATCGTATAGTTTTGATCAGATTTACAGTGAACTTAATTTGGTTGAGGCCTTTCCCCGGGAAAATTTAGTTTGAACATAATATGCTTTCCTACATTTTGACGAAACGTGGTTTGATTATAATGATATTTATTGAATCAGTTCAAACTTCAAGAATTTTCACGCAACAGTTATTAAACATCCACATGCTTATGACTTTCTGTTTTTTCTGCATGGTGTGTGTATGTTAGTAATTAACTAAGTCATTTCAAGGGAAGCAACTCATAATGAAAAAATAGAAATATTTTGACTGCACGGACTTACTAATTAATGACAGGTTATTCTGGAAAGTACCATTATTTATCATTAACCTGTGCTTCTAATATGCATTTGAAAGATTATTGTGTGAAACGGTACCCGATTTCACCCTACGCGGTGAAAGTAATTTACATTCAGAATTTTGACGAAACTTGGTATGATTATGATGATATTTATTGAATCAGTTCGAAATTCAAGAATTTTCACTTAACAGTTATTAAACATCCACATGAAACATCCACATGAAACATCCACATGATTATGACTTGCACTCGATAAAGTCCACAGTTCGCTCCATATGTGCAATTTTTACAATTGATTGCTGGTTCGTCATCCGTGATATTCATGTATTTGACTTATTGTATAGTATAGTTAATATTGGTGGCGATCTCTGCAAAATTATTATACACAATAATGTGTGACTATTCTAAATATAGTAAAGAGATGCAACTCGTGTGCTCTCTGTATATTAGTCACTCCCAAGATCTCAGTAATGTTTTTGCGTTGTGTATGTTAGTAATTAACTGAGTCACTTCAAGGGAAGCAACTCATGATGAAAAAAATAAATATACTTTGACTCCACGGATTTAATTTCGGTCAGTGACAGATTATGATCATATTGATTGAATCTGTTCGAAAATGTTTTTTTTTTATTAAACATTCACATGAATATGACTTTTGAACATGATAAAGTCCACAATTCGCTGCATATGTACAATTTCAAAATAGATCGTTGTTACTCTCCAACATTGTGAACCTCTCGTCATCCGATCTCTATGAAAAATGATATTCATGCGTGTATTTGTATGATTGTAGAGGAATATAGTATAGTTATTATTTCTGGCCATCTCTGCATATTATTATGCACAATAAAGTGTGACGATGAAGTCCTCGACAATTCCTAATGTAGTCAAGGGATGCAACTTATGTGTTTTCTGTATGTTAGTAATTACCTAAGTCACTTCAAGGGAAGCAACTCATAATGAAAAAATAAATATATTTTGACTGCACGGACTAACTAATTTGGAATTTAAGGTTGTAATATTGCGGTTAAGCAATGTTACGAAAGCACAGGCATGTAGGCGTAACCTCTAGTGATAGAGCAATGTTGTGAAGTTAGTTTAAAAGAATGATATAGAATATTTGAAATGCAAATCCATTATCTTCCGAATCTGAAATATGTAAGAAGAATACTGGTTCCAACAGGAACATTAATAACCATGGAAATTATGATAAATATTTTTACTGGTGAAACTGAGGAATTGTCCTATATTAAATGAAAAGGAAAATGCGTATTTCATATAAAAAATATATATAATTTATTAAGTGAAAATAGTATACATGTATGATATTTTTGCGAGGAAACTCTTCAATTGTAAGTTATCATAAATAAGAAATATTAATTAAAGGAAATGTACTAAACCTATGGAAGAGGGATGGGGGGTAATCTACCACGGACTAAGATATCATTTAGATTTTTATTACGGGTATAGGCGATAACTAAATCATTTGTAAAGACTGTTGGAAATTTTTCCTGCAATTCTTTGTAAAGACGGATAATTATTCGGGGAACTTGGACAGCTGTGTTGTTGTATTGAAAAACAAAAGGTATAATTTGGAAATCAACTTGGATGTTCATTCCCAAAGGATGCATGGTTTGTAATTTGTTTATCCAATAATTTTCGCGAAAGAGTCGAATTTTCTTTGTATCAATGCCAGGTTGTTCGTATATCTGTTCAATGAGAATAATTTTCAGGTCTGTTAATTGGTGATCGGGTTGATTGAAGTGTTTTGAAACGGTTTTATTAATTTTTTTTAAGTTGATGTCAGACTTATGATGATTGAAACGGACCCTTAACGAATTTTTTGTCTCCCCAACGTATTGTTCGTCACATTTGTGCAAGAAATGAGATAAATAATATTTTTGCTGTTGCAGTTGAGTTTTTCATTTACTTGAAATATGGAATCTGTGCGTCTATTTCGGAAAGAATTCGTTGGTAAAATGAAGGGACAGGTTTGACAGCGAGGGTTGTTACAAGGATAAACTGAAGAATTTGGTATTGGCAAAAGAATCGAATTATTTTTAGCAGAGATTTTAGCAACAGTTGAGTTTTTAATACCTCTCAAGAACCTTCTAGAATATCAACGTTCGCGCAATTTTTGGAAAACAATTGAACAAGCCTCCTCGAAGTCCTTCTTGCGCGTACAAATTCGGTGAAATCTCAAGATCTGCGACTTTATAATGCCAGAAAAGGTATGTTTAGGATGAAAAGATGATTTGAATAAAAGTTGGTGAGTATCAGTGGGTTTGAAAAAAACTTTAATATCTAATTGATTGGTTTCATGAAAATTGGTATCTTTAAAAACTGTGGTGTCTAGAAAATCAATCTGTTTGTCGCTAATATTAGAAGTTAATTTTACAGAAGGGTGGTGGCTATTGAGAGTATCAAAATATTCCCAAAATTCATCTATTGTATGAGTCCAAATTAAGAAAATATCATCAAGAAATCTTACATAAAAAATTGGTAGTTTGGGACAGAGGAGTGAAACTTCTCTTTCCCATTCTGCCATGAAAATGTTTGCATAAGAGGGCGCAAAGCGTTTTCCCATGGCAGTTCCTGAAGCCTGAAGATAAATATTTTCATTGAAAGTAAAGTCATTACGTTTTAAACAAATTTCCAAAAGTTCAAGAATTTCTTTATCTGGTCTATCAGGATCGCGCTTTCGCTCGAATGCCTGCTTTACAGCGCGTAATCCAGAATCATTGTCAATCTTAGTATACATGCTTTGAACGTCTAAAGAGACTAAAAGGGCATTTTCTGGGATCACGAGTTTCTTTACCTTTTCCACAAAGTCGTTGGTGTCTTTGATATAGGCAGGATGTTTTGAGGCAAGAGGCAGTAAAAAGTGATCAATGTATTCTGATACCCTGTACGATTCGCTTCCACAATCGGAAATAATTGGGCGACCTTTTGGGATTTTATTTGGAGAGAACCACTCAGTTTCAGGATTTTTGTGTATTTTTGGGAGGGTATAAAGATGTCTCTGACGTGGTTCAGGTTAGTCTAGAAAGTACCATTGTGTGGGATAATACCCAATTTCACCCTTGCCAGTGAAAGTATTCAGTATAATATTAAATTTGCATTACAGCATTTTGACTAAAGGTGGTATGATTATGATGATGTTGATTGAATCAGTTCGAAGATTTTTCACTGAACAGTGATTAAACAACCACATGATTGTGACTTGAAGACATAAAGTCCACAGTTCAAGCTGCATATGTACAATTTCACAATAAATTGCTGGTCATCCGATCTCCATGAAAAATGATATTCATGTATTTGACTTATTGTATAGTATAGTTATTATTGGTAGTGATCTCTGCAAAATTATGCACAATAATGTATGACATTGGAGTCTTCGACCTTTGTAAATGTAGTCAAGGGATGCAACTCATGTGTTTTCTGTATGTTAGTAATTAACTAAGTCACTTCAAGGGAAGCAACTCATAATGAAAAAAATATATATACTTTCACCCTACGGAAAGTAGGTTATTGACAGGTTAATCTAGAAAGGACCTATGTGTGAAACGGTACTAAACTTCACCCTAGCCGGCGTATTGGATGCATATCCAAGTAATTCGCATTACAGCATATTATAATAGTATTGTTAAACTAATCCCATCCAACTACAGTCTCCATAAAGATGATTAGTAAAAGTTTGTAAGGAAAAAGAAAATGAATGCTATGAAGGTATATTTTAATTAAGTGATTTAATGATATTTAACAACACGTTATGGCATAAGACGTGTGCTCGATTTTTAATAAACAATGCTATACTGTATCATAGACATGAAAATGTACTACATATACAATTATATTGGGATTAAAATAAAATAGTTCTGCTAAACGACAATAATTTCGAAGCTTATTTTAATGAGAATTTTTAAAATAAAGAAATTGTCTCAAGTTAGTTTGATTTATTAACGATCGACTTTTATATTGGATAAAGATAAAAACTCAAAATCTCTCCTGATTGCACTTTTAATGTAATGAGGAACATTTTGGCTATACCATGTTTCTTCAGATCAAGAACAGAAGTGGATGTTCCCCCCTCCCCCCTCCAATGTGTAGAGAAATAATAATAGACTTTTATATTATAGAGAAATGAAACGAGGCCTTGCAAATGTGAACCGTAAAATAAGACTTATTATAGCAAACAAAATCAGTTTATGTAATGATACTCTTCGTTAGGAATACTGATCCGTTTTGGTTTTTTTTTGGCGTTATTGAATCGAACATCCCCAACAACACGTCTGGGGATAATCAGGAGCGTACACTTTCTTCTCAAATCCATAAACAAAATAATCAGCGGGCGAGTCTTTCCATTTGTAAAATGCCTGAGTTACTGGAATGATTCGAACTTGATGTCGCTGGAATAGAAAAAGTGTTTTTAATTATATTGGAAAATAAAAATACTTTCGTTTATGTAACACATTTCCGCAATAATTGAAATAAAATAATGCTTTACTTCCTACTTGTCTACGCCTGGATGGGTTAACAAGTATTATGACAAAATTGAACGTTGGTCTCTCTTGTAAGTGAGCAACCAACTCAACGATTCAAATAGAAAAATGTTTATCAATGCTTATGACAATTTTCAAGCCACACACATGCCTTTAACTTGAAGAGTAAACAGTTTTGAATGAAAAATTCTATAACATTAAACCTTGTATTTTTTTAACATAAGTTTAATATCTTATGTCCACAATACCTGCATTACTATTCTTTCTGTGGTATAAGCTGCGGCATGTTTTGATACTAAATTTTTTGATGCAATATTGACTTCATTATCAGGAAAATGGGTAATTGGCCAAACCTGAAATCATCAAATAATAATGCAAAGACACGTCTTGTCCATTTTCTATAAGTTTTTTTCACAGATCTTAATATTATGAGAATTTTCATCTGAATTATTAAGGTTTATCTCCAGTATTCACTTAATTTTAAGAGACAGTGTAAGCTACAGAAAATTTGGGAAAGACATAAGTTTTAAATAAAAAATTCGGGAAATACCCGGGGAACAGTTTCTTCAAATGAAATTTGTCCAGAAACTGCACGTATTAGTTCATCGGGTAAGGCAGTTCTCTCCACTATATGATCTTCTAGATGGTTTGTCCTGAAAAAAAAACAGTTGGTCATTAATTTTTTTTTATGCAAACCAAAAATGTTAGACCACATTGAGCTCAGAAATGATTTTTTTTTATCTCACAAATTTCGGTATACAATTCTCAAGTGCCTTCCAACCCAAACAGTTCCCTTGAAAATAACCCGACTGGAAATTCCCATTCTGTAAATTCATATTTGAAGTAATAATTTCGTCAGTGGCAATTTTCATTAACAATCCAAAACTCTCAGTAGTATTTTGAAATTGATATTTCAATTCATACAAACAAAATAGAAAGCTAATCTCCTCTGAAAGTAATAAGGTCGGACATAATGGAGGAATGCACGTGACTGAGCACTGTTTGAAAGCATGCTCCCAATCAGCGGAAATTATCCAATTTAAATCATCAGACAAAGCTAGGGCAAATTATAAAACGGCAAGAGGTTGAAAAAAATTTGAATTATACAGTCATACATGTAGAATCACAACCGCCATGAAGATAAAATGTTGTAAAATTTCTAATGTTCACTTACCAAATAATAGTCAATTGGATAAAGAATTTCAAACTACATCGTCCTTGACAGGTTGGACAGGTGATTGTTCCAAAACCATCACAAGTATAACACCTATCACAAAAAACATACCAAATTAATACAGAGCAATAGAATGGCATTTTAGTTGGAATCCTAGAAAGAAAACCCCTGTTTCAAAACTGATTATCTATGAAGGTGAGCAATCTCTGTATTGTGTAAATTGCGATAAGAACTATGTTAAAATATTGCTGACCGTTTTCTACCTGAACCATCGCAATGACAGCAACATCTATGTCTACGTTCACCATCTTCATAATACGTCTCACTTCCACTTCCATTACAATGATGACAAAATAACTAGAAACCGAGGAATAAATTTAAAACAACAAGAGAAAAATGGATAAATCAGAAAAGAGAAATGGGATAAGAAAACAGCAATAGCGGAATAGATAATAAAACAACAGAGGAATAGATAAGAAACAACAGAGGAATAGATAAGAAAACAACAGAGCAATAGATAAGAGGTATAGATGAGAAAACAACAGAAGAATAGTTTGAAAATAAAACCGCAGTAGGGGATTGAATTGAAAAATAACCCAGAAAAAAAGGAATAGATTAAAAGCAGCAATAGAGGAATAGATTATAAACGGCATCAGGGAAGTGCTTAAGAAAACAGCGATAGAGGAATAGATTATAAATGGCAAGAGGGAAGTAGTTAAGAAACAGCAATAGAAGAATATATTATAAACGGCAACAAAGTTTAGAAAACAGCAATAGGGAAGTGAATTAGAAACAACAACAGAGGAATAGATTATAAACAGCAACGGGGAATAAGTTAAGAAAACATTAACAGAGAAATAGATTAAAAACAGCAATATAATAAATGAAATTCGTACATTCTTGCATACCATGCTGAGTAATTCTATCTGTCCAGAGATCCATTTTGGCATACAATCGATTTGAACCAAATGATTTCATACTGAAATTCCTCAACTATCGTCCCTAAAGTACAAAACCTCCAATACTTACTCTCCCGCGACCATGGCATCTAAAACATCGTACTCTACCAGTTTGTTGGCATTCATGACAAGGCTAGAATAATATAAACAATATATATAACGCAATGGAAAATTAAATATATAAATTATAATTATTATCATAAGTGAAGCTTTATATCATCTTATTAAACAGGACCAATTATATTCTACGGCATATGTCATGAGACCCAAAAATCATATCCAACCATACCGTCAAACTGGTTTTTTACTTGAAAGTATTTGACAGAGCTGGTCCCATATCCAATTTTTGTTAATGTTTGAGGACTTCCCTTCTCGGGAACATCTGACTGAAATAATTACTCAGCAGTAAACTTACTTTGACTCCGGCAGTATGTGGTACTTCTATTTGAACCTTACCATTTTTAAACATTGCAGGAATTTGAACTTGTATATCCCATGGTCCCGGTGCTGGACCGTTTTGTGGAACGTCTAGATTTTGACCTAAAAACATAAAACGTAGAATTCTAGTAATGGCCATTCCAATCATTAACTTCGATAGATGTATTTGCTCATGAAAATAAATTAATACCAACCAGACCAGAAAATGATTGGTAAAGTTTGAATTGTTTTTCGCAGAGTATTCCATTTTACGACATTTATGATAAATGCAACACAATTGAAAATGAAGACCCATGCAGTAACTGGTTTTAATCATTTGGGCCAATGTACTTTGTAGACGTTTAGGCATTTACTACAGATGGTATGCTAAATTATCCATGAGGTTTTCGAAACAGATCCTTGTGATATAGCAACTTACCAACAAATGGCTCATAAGCCCACGCTGTAGACCGTGCTTCTCCAAACGTTTCTAGTGTGTACTGAATTAATGTAATTAAAGTTTACATTAAGGATAATATAAAAGACGCTTTGAACGAATTTAGTATCATATCAAAATGGAGGTATATTTTGATTTGCAAAAGAGAAAAAAACATATTGCCCGTTTGATATTTTATTTTTAGTTTTATAGACCATTTTAGAGAAATCATTTGCCAGAAATAATATCTAACAGTAACATTTAAGGCAAATAATTATGTCCCATCCCATTTAATAAATTGACCACTCTTGTAACAAACTATAATTAGAATTACATGGAAGGCGCTGGTAGATTGTAAATCTGTATACGTCATTTCCTGTGCTGCCTTTTTACCGTAACAACAATGTTCTGCTACATAACCCATCAATGCTTCTCTCGCTTCTTCTTCAGTGATAGATGGTACGCTGAAAGATTTTAATATTCAGAGAAGATGTGTCTAAAATTAGCATTGTGTATCCGAAAGCCGATACAGTTTTGGGCGAATCTTAAAGTGCTACAATTATCTGCATAGCTCAGTGGGTTCACTTCATATATGTGCATTAATTTAATCATTATTTCTTCAGTAAGCTAGAAAGAGCAAAGGGTATTCACTTACTTTTTAAATTCTCTGTGTTCTGGGGGACCACCCTGACTATCATCATACGATGGTGGCGGAAGACAGGCTGAAAATTTGCAACAGGAATGATTGAGATTTAAATAATGCTATTCAGCAACCCATCTAAACCAGCAGTCCACTGACATGGCATGACAAGAAATACCTTCACTGCCAAATTTGATACATAGCGATGTGTTACTTATTTGTTTAAACGCACGACTGTCATCGGCTGTAGGGACGTATGAAATTGGCATAACCATAGCTGTATAGTCACAAAAGAAATTGTATGGAGGCTTACCTTACGCCCTACATTTCTGCAATAGATTAATATAATGAAGACACCAATGTAGTGCAGCAGGGTAGCATCCCGAACCTCCCTTTTTCGTTTTCATACTGTAAACGAGTCACCAATGTACTACGCGGCCTCTGCTTATTATTATTTTCATGTACTTCCCTAAAATTCTCACTTTAAAATATTATGTCTACTTACATGCATCAAACCCAATATTTTCATATCCACTGACTTTTTCCAAATTACTAGTTGATGGTGCTGAAGGTATTGGTGCTTTCATATTTGGGTCATCTTTAACGTCAGCTGCAGGCATATCACCTTGGTAAGCTTGTGGTGGTGCTGCTCCGGCTGGTGGTGCTGCCCCGGCGGGTGGTGCTGCTCCTCCATATCCTTGACTGTAATGAAATGCGAATATATCAAAGAGGACCAAGAAGTAACAAAGGTGTGCCTACCATTCCCATTGCTTCGTCATCTTCATGGACTATACCTTAGGGTAGGAACGAGCAGGACATTATAGTTGTATATTGTCGATAGTCATATCTTCATAAGGTCATTTTTATCAACATGAAATTCATGGTTCAATGTTACTATTAATCAGTAGTTATATCTTTTGTACTCTTTTCAGACATACTGAATATATGTCGTATTTGTAATTTGTATGTGTGCATTCAAAGAAGACATCTTTAAAAAAAATCTAGGCTGCTGATGTGTTTATATCAATTTTAGTATAGTTTCATGTTAGTATTCTACCCTGAAGTACAACATATTTGTAGTACATGCAGGAGGTTTCTCTCGGTACAAATTACACGTAACTTTTGTGTTTTGTAATCTTTAATACATTTTAAGTTTAATTTAATGGCGAACAAATATTAGCAAAGTATCATGACATACAGGAATTTTCATTGCCAAGCCAAACAGAATAATATTGTCAAGAGCTCAACTTACGCTGTTGATACACACTTTGAATGAAAATCACAAGAAGAAAATCGACTTGAAGGCCCTATCCTAATCACAATACAAAAGTCAAAGCCCAAAATGGGAGTTGGCTTGAAACTGATCTCTGATCTTCAAACACAAACTGAGTTGAAAAATTCGACGGATACGGCACAAATATCAGGATAGATTCTAGGTTTCATAGGTCTGTAAGCAAGCTTCTAACGCACATGGCAACTCATTGGACAGGGACCAGAAATCCACCTTTGGCTACTCGCGGATATTATTTCAAAATTAGCGCGACCACTATGTCACAGTAACCCTGAATAAGTGGGCGGTACTTGTCGAGTTATAGCTTACTATTCATTGTACTATAAAAACAATTCCGTAAAAGTATATTTGATTAATTCTGTCAATCAAAAATCTCCAGATCGTCCAAAGAATGGAGAAATCGGGAGTAAAAGTAGTATAGTAGTGGATACCTCCACAGAGAAGTACCATGAGGTGTTTCGAAAAGAGTAAGCATGAATTGCTTGTGTATTGCGTATCAAACAATGAATGTCCCTTTTTTTACTTACCCGGCAGCAGGTCCACTGCCTAATAAAGGCTGTTTTTCGGCCATGGCGAATTTGATAAAATAGCAGTTATATTTCCTTGTGTCGTTTACAATTCTCACTCACTTACTGCATTGAATACCTCGATCAGTCACATGACTACCTAATCATTTACTATAAATAGCTCTCACATGATCAAAGTGGGCGTCAAATGAACCAATTTCTAACCTTGAAACAGTAGTATAAGAAATATTTCCTTTTTCGTCTGATTTTCTTACTTTATGAAGTAAAGTATGCCGGAATGTTTTTAAATAAGCTCTATTCATTTGTCACATCGCTTGATGAATCCTTGTTCTTTTAAAATCACGCGCTTTTGACAGCCGCAGAAATCTACCAAATTTGTATACGTTCGCAACGACAATTCTGCAATAGTAATTCCGGTAATTACCATGAATATGTCTACAATATTTATAAGCATTCATTATTAAAATCCATGAGAAAATATGCAAGAACATCCTTATATATATACTTACGTAGCCATAATTTGTCGACGTATTTAAGCTAAACTGTCGTCTTCTTCATATATAGGTGTAAAAGTTGAGAAATAGAACGATAAGATACTATAATTGAAACATCTATATTTCAGATCAACATGTCCTTACAAGATAAACCATGGACTCTGATAACGTTTTACATCACTAGAAAATTTCATCTCAATCAGCAAGTTTCTAGATATTGTGAAATCTCATTTTGATCTACATTCTTAATTTGCGAATAAAGCAAAGATAAATACATGTATCAGGTTTACAGATGCGGGTATAATATATCCCAATTATGTGTTATAGGTCAGTTTAAAGGGGGACATTTATTATTACATGTACCAAGTGAACAGTCTATATATTTTGCGCCACGTTAGTCGATCAAACCTACATCAAAATCTCGGAGCTACGACTAAAATGGAAATGTTACGTGAGAAAAGTAGTGGATCAAGGGACATAATTCGTGAGTCACTATCGTACAATTTACCCTTGAGCTCTTGCTATCTCAATTGAATATGCGAGTAACGACATAGGTATATGAATCAATGTAAAGCTAAAAGGAATTAACATTTTAGTGCAAGTCTATTTTCCATTAGTTTTTTTCGTTTGTGCACGACAATAAAGATTGTAAAAGCTGTAAAGGCTACATAATTTGATGAGTGATACTTTTTTCCGATTTCTCTGTACGGAACTTTGTATTATTTTACTACGGGATAATAATAAGCTTTTCATTATTTATGGATCCGAATCAGGTCCAATAATTTAATCATAGGGTCCGCATGGGAAGCTCAAGCCGACTTGAGTCGACAGCAACTGCATTTTGTAAGCACCAGGACATATTAATAGATTAAGTTCTGCCATGCACCGACGACTAAAAATGCTCAAGATTTACCTTATAGCACAAATAGGATCTTGTTGTCGACCTGGCCTAAGCTGAGCACAGTTGCTGGCATTTGGTCACTTTCCGATATGAGTTTTATTCGCACATTGGGATCCTTGAATATGCGAGTAACGACATAGGTCAACAAAAGAAACAAAAGTAAGATCTTGCATCCATTGATCTCACTAATATTGAAGATGCTGGAATCCAAAGCCAGGATGACATGACGTAATGTGACTTTGCCAATCTTGTCTTTTTTTTTTAAATTGTATTCTTAATGAGTGTAAATATTGCTGGTATTTATTCACTTTGGTCTTCATGACGAACAAAAGCTCATAATAAACTTGCTTGAGATAGTTGACGCCTTGGGTTCCGATTTGGCCGAATTTCTTCTGCAAATATTCAAAATGGCTTGCCAAATTTTTGTGATTGGGAACTATAACCAAATGCCTATATGTTCTCCATTATCTAAAATACTTGTAATACAAAATATTGTAGTCGACAATTGCCACTATTTCCGAATGACGTCCGCTACGTTTGTTCATAGGTCATGATTGGTCACAGATTTATATTGGATAAATGTGTTCGTCTGAATAACTCGAGAAGTAGTTTCATTGGCCATGGGACTCTACTTCTATCGGCAAAGTTGGCGGCACAAAATTCTGTGAGACCGTATTCTTCCGTCTGTTTGCATTGAAAACCGAGTACAAAAAAAAACTCCAAAATAGTAGAATAAAGCCTTTGTTTTGACGAAATTCCATTTTTCAACCCGGTTTCCCCCTTTCAGTGTTGCAGATAAGAGGGGTTGACATCGAAGAAGCGTATAGTCGTTTGGATATGAAAATATACCGATGCTCCGTGTGCTACAGGCTGTGCACGTTAAAGATCCCTCGACAGTTGGAAATCGAAAAAGAGCAGGCTTATGCCACTGTCCTGGCAAAATTTCCCTCATTGCACAATGCATGGCGTTGCCCGCCTTTATTGGTGCAGAAAAGTTGGACGTAAAACTCCATTCATTTCATTTGACAAAATTTCCCTCATTCAAAGTTGTAGGAACTGAAGGCAAGAACGAAAAACTACATTTTATTTACTATCAATTGTCAATACTTAAATCTAAAAACATTACAAAACACGATCGTGATAATGTTTATCCACATTGAATTATTGATACAATTAATGTATTATAGAATAGTTTGTAAATACGTTTAGTGTACATTAAATATTGCTAATTATTAATACCGTTAAATAAATACAAGCCCATTAAGTCATGGTTTTTATTCTTTGCTACCAGCTTTTCCTGAACCTCAGAATTGTGAGGTTTTTATAGATTTATAAAAGTCATAAAACCGTGTTCACGTCTGAAAAGCACTTTTAAAATAGATTTTTATGATTTCGAATTGTCGGAGTGACCACGGACGAAATGTTCGATGGTTATATGAAAATACAATATAAATACTCAATAAAAACGTCTGTACATTTAATCTTGATAGTACAATAAAAAAAACTAATTATATATTATATAGAAACCGGGTTATATAATAACTTAAGTAGAAACCGGGTATTAATGTTACTTTTTGTAGAATACGGGTAATATGATTACTAATTATAGAAACCGGGTTATATAATAACTTGAGTAGAACCGGGTAATATGATTACTAATTATTGAAATCGAATCTGTTTACTTATTGTAAAATCCGGATAATATGATTACTTATTGTTGTAATCGGTTAATTAACATGATTACTAATTGTAGAAACCGGGTAATATGATAACTAATTATAGAAAACGAATACTATGATTACTAACTTCAAAATAGTAAGTTGCATATTGAAAGACAAGCACGGAAACATGAAATAGTACAAGTTGTCCACTTGATATTGATTTGTACAAAATGTCAAAATCCAACTTCGAAAGCAATTATTCCAAAATATATAGCATGAATCAAACAGGTACCCAGCATACAAATTACGAAAGATGCCATGTTCATATGCTTGGCTCGTTTTTTAAACTCCGAAGCCTTCACCACAGCTGTTGAACCAGAATCTTTGGCTTGTTCGCCTTGTTGATGAAAATATACCACTAGAACTGTGGCCAAAGTGGACAAAGCACTGAGGAACACCAAACTTATGATGTAAACAGCAAGGAGACATACATTATCCGAGTTACTAGGTAATACGCTTACCACAAGCGTGATCAAAACTGTATACGACAAAAGAATTGAGATGCTTAAAGATACCTTTTCCCCGGATTCCACGGGTAACAGAAACACCAAATTAGTAAGCAATGATAGGATTACGATTGGTAGTATTATATTCAAAATTTGAAACATGTATCGCCTCTTTAAAAGTATCGTATATTGCAGAAGGTAATCACTAACGACCTTTGAATATTTAAAATAAACGATTTCCCATTCCGAATTCTCTTCGAACGAGGAGAAAATAATTGGTTGATGGCCTTCAAGAGTAACTCCATCCAACATAGAAGACCACAGGCCAGCATTAATGTTACACATCTGAGAATCAAATGGAAAGTGTCTAATGTTAATTTTGCAGTACGTGCTGAACTTGGATCCTGGATACCAACCGACACTTCCATTCCAATAGATCAAACTTCTGGAAGGTGCTACTTCGATGGGTCCAAAGTTAATGTCAGAATTAAATATTTGAATATCGGGCGTCCAAATTTTATCAGCAGAAATCGTTAAAATGTCTACTCCATATTCAGTTCGATTCCAAACTAGAAATTCATCCTTCCATTTGAAAGAGCACCATCCCGTGAACGTCAGCCTCTGTTGTTTCTCATCGATACCGCTCAGAGAGTACAGATTAAATGATACGACCACATTGATTATATGGCTGACATTGTATCTCGGTTTTACTAATGTGTTGTAATCGTCAAATAAAGTTTCAAATAGAGGAGTTGTGCCCTTAACCAAACCTCTACACACGTAAAGTTGCCCTAACAACGTGATGATCAACAGAGCCCTCATCATCCTTTGACAGAATCGTGTTTATAATCCGAAATATATCAGTAATCTTTTAGAATTATCAACAACAAAATATATCTTGGCTTTCGTCGGTTGTATGGTTTTTGTCATTGAATCGGGTTTACTGCTGTGATTAGTGTGAATTCTAGAAAATCACTTGGTTAATCAGAACTTGTCTAGTTAGTCTGTTAACTGTCCTTCAACGTATTAATCATTTTATTCCAACTGATGATGCACGGTTTATCGGAAACACATAATGATCACCATGGAATTGCATGCAATTAACAACTCGCTTTCATACAGACTGTTCTGATGCTGCACGGTTAATCGGAAACACATAATGATCACCATGGAATTGCATGCAATTAACAACTTGCTTTCATACAGACTGTTCTGATGCTGTACGGTTTATCGGAAACACTTATCAGAGCTCCGATTTCCATATTTAAGTCCATAAAATACATTTATCAGGTAGAGACTACAGCCTATTGCTTCGCAGACAATGACTAGATAACAAACTACTCAATTCAATTGAATGACAATAGTTCTGTTAACAAAATAAATATAACAATAAATAACATTATTCCGTTTATAGAATTCCTCAAGGACAAAATATAATTCATTATTAACGTGTTAGAATTTGTTGCGAAAATCACATGCAATGTAATGTTTTGTGTCCCATTTGTATGTCTTATATCGTACCCATTATCGATTCTTCTAATACGAAATTCGTCCCTCATCACTATTGAAAATGGCCAACGCCATGTTGTGTGCAACTAGGGAAAATTACATTAGCAATAGCCTACCCTTTTCGATTTTTAATTATTGAATGATATTAATGATGCAAACTATACCTCGGGCTAATGCATTTTCAGCCATGGAATTAGTGTGTTGCTTCCTCAAAATTATACATTTTACGTGGAACAAAGCCATCCAGGCATGAAATAAATCCCGCTTCCAATTTTGGGGGCAGCGTAACCTCCACTCATGACCTCGAAACTATTCACAGTGTAGTTAGTTTCATTTGTTTGTATGCAATGAACTTATGTAATCTCTGTACTCTATCAAATAAGATTATTCAGCCTTTCATCTCTTCTAAATTTAATGAAGGTTTTAAACGTTGAAAGATAAGTTTTTATTTTCTATAAAGTGAAACATCTGTGAAAATTCAACAATTTGAATCAGATGTAGTTCATGTTTTTTTACCGGAACTTAACACAGTTTAAAGGGAACTGGTTGAAATGCAAATGAACGTAATTTCTGTGCTTGGTGTATTCGAAAAATTCATTTTTAAGCAAAGCAGAGAAATACGATTGTGTCGGACTGGGCAATGTGCAATATTATTTCAATTCGAGACTTCGGTGAAGAAGCATTACGAACACAATATTGTCACAATATGTTGTCCGTGGTCCATCGATCTGTTCACATAATGTCCCGTACTCTCACTCCAAAGGCTACAATTTTGATTCTTTTAATGTTTGGTTGGATTTTCACCTATACAATGGCGTGGTGCCAGACAGGGTAAACTTACTCTTCTAGACATATGATTGCCCTTTTCACTATTAAATACTTACTCATCATTGATATACTTCCTCGCGTGAAAAGTTCATTAGCTGCTACCAATGTTTCGTCAATTAGTTGCTTGGATTTCGGGTTTTTTTTGCGGTTCGGATCGTTAGTATTTGGTTGATTTATGATACCTATCGATTTTCGTAATAATCGAATGATTTTTCCCCGACTTTCAGCATTTAAATAAAAAAAATAGTGTATAGGACATGTACCATCTGGTGCTCGGTCACCAGACAATAATTATAAGACTGTTGACATTCACTGTTGGATTTTATGTTTGTAATAAGACGGGAATGATGCCTTTCATGTTACTGGATGAACAGACCACTCTTCACCGATTTTCAGTTTTTGGACCACCTTCAGGGTACCATGAAATGATTTCAAGGTTCTCATAGACAAGTAACGAAAAGAGGGACCAGCGTTTTGCCTACTACATGATGCTGACGTCTTCTCATGAGCTGTAAGTAGGATTTTCATAGACAAAAATAGCTCAGTTGAATACACATGAACACCACCTGGTTATGTGGCTCACAACAGCGACATATCAATTCCTTGATCATGAATTTAGTGTTACTTCCGGTTTCTTTAAAGACAAGAATTTGTTTAGTAAATACTGGTGAACACGAAAACTTTCTTGGAATTTCTCTTTGAGATTTATCATTTGTCTACCAATTGTTAAAACACGCATTTGATTCTTCGTTGCGTTTAACATAAATTCCCACATCTTACATGGAAATTATTAAGCCTGGTTACATGCAAATTGTAGAATCGTCATGTTGATGGAATTCGAAACATCTTTGGCTATTAATTACATCTGTTTTTCAAGAATAGTCAACATTTCTAAGACACCTTTTTATTTTGATATGAAATAGATTCTTATTTAATGCTAATTCTGGTGTATGTAATGATTACTGTGCCAGTTGGGTTCGCATATTTCATAATTATGTCGTATAGCAAAATCTTGATTGTGCAAGGTTCTTTGTAACAAGAATCCACCCACGCACAGTTCTCCATCGTTTTCTCTAGCAAATTAATGATACACGCCAATTCTAAAGATTGTCAATTGCAATAGCAACATCAAAAGGGAGACAACTGCAAAAAAATATGCGAGACACAATTTGAGCTGCATTCCTTTACCATACGACCCTGGATTCAAACCAAATCATCTCTTCGTAACCGTTTCACTCCCAAGAAGACTGCCACTTATTGTTTCAACTGACTGTCAAGTTAGACTAGCATGTACAGACGAAGACGTACAAGTTCATTGAGACCCTCTTACTCTATAATTCGAGAGAGCTTCATAATAATAATAAATCAGACACACATTTGACTTTTGCAAACTGGCCAAAAAATGCTTTTGTAAGAAAATAAGAGGACAAGGGTATATCTCAACAGCAATGTCTGGTAGATGGTGCTTTCATTCTTATGTTTCTGCACTAAAAAAAGAACAAAAATTTGCATATAGCAATAGAAAAATATGTCTTATAATATAAAATCTCTCTTTACAATAACATTTATAAAGCAACATCTTGGTTACCTATTGGATAATAGGTCATATACAGATTTTATGATATATTTATATTTGATGATCAAATCAAAGCATTTTGGATAACAATTACTCTCTACAGTTGGTCTAGACCCAGTACAATCAAAATAGTATTTCTCTAAACAGCTATCTGAAAATTGTGTTATATTATTACCATACCAAGTAAACAATGCCACATTACTAGTTTCATAGAGGTTCTTACAAATACAGTTGACCAAAAATTGATTAGTAATGTTAACATCTAAATGCCATATTTTATTTTAGTAATTTTCGTGTAATGGATAGGTCTCAATGTGATCTTTGAAAACTGCTTATCTAATTCCAACAAAATATTGGTTTCCATACAGGTGTTATGCTCTAGTAATACAAACATCTAAATGTCAATTAAACAATGCCATATTTCATTTTAGTAATTGTATTGTCAAGAACTATTACTCAATGTGATCTTGAAAAGTGCTTAATCAATTTTCAAACAAAATATTGCTTCCCATAAAGGTGTTATCTCTAGTAATGCAATTATCTAAAGGCCAATGCCATATTTCATTTTAGTAATTGTATTGTCAAGAAGTATTACTCCATGTGATCTTGAAAAAAATGCTTAATTAACTTCACTGAAATTGATATTGCTTGATGAAAGAATGATGTGATGGCCAGCACATAATATGATACTCAATAAGACACTATGTTACACAGCAGTTATCACAAAAAAACCACAATTAGGATCAACTACACTCAACTAAAAAAAACCATAAAATGACTTTGGATGGCTTAAAAAGTGGCATTTTAGTCAACAAGCTAAATTAATTTTTTTAAAAGTTTAAATTGATCTGAATGCCAAAAACACACTAAAGTATCCTGTAGAGACCTAAGTTTAGTGAAATGGTCTTGGTGCAGATCCACAATATAGGTAAATCTTAAGAACCAACAGTTCATCTTAAAACAATACAAAATTTAAATACAAAATGCAAGTGAATTATTCTTGATTGAGAAATAGAGCTTAAATTTAGCAGACTGATTTTCCATAACAAATATGAACACATAATTTTGAAATGCAAAAGAGACTGTTTTGGTCAATCCAGTCCAATGCCCAAATAGTAATTGATGTGAACACTTGAGCAGAGAATTCTTGTTCTGAGGTTATTCTTGATGGACGTTCTCATCCATGTGATAAAGAAAGCAACTTTGTGTATCAACTTGCATTCCCTTTCATTTTAAGTCAAAATAGCAAACCAAACAATGATCATTTATATTGTTATACAAGATGCCAAATTTAAATGCCTAAGCTATGAGATAGCCACAGAAATGCACCATGTAATATCAGCTGGTAATCCAAATTTGCTAAAAATAGCTCAAAGTCTTCATCTTTTATGCCAGAGACCTAAATTTAAAGTAGTTAAGCCTGGAAGCTTCATGATTTTTTCTAAACCAACAGTAGTTATTCGTGTACACCCATACAAGTCAATAGATTTCAACTGCTTCAGTTTTTCACCAATTGCACTTAAGCTCACGTCTGTTATTCGACCACATTGTCCAATGTTGAGAGTTGTCAACTCGTGTAAACTGTTGGCAAGTTTTTGTATACCATCGTCACTTATATTACATGCACTTAAACTCAGTCTTCGTAAGCTGTACATTCCTTGAGAGAGAAATGCAAGACCTTGGTCACCCACTTTATCACAAAAACTCACATCCAGAGCTTCAATGGTTGACCCACCCCCTTCAGCTAAAAATCCTAAACCAGTGTCACTAATATTATCACAACTTCTTAAGTTTAATTCTCGTAAGTTTGTCATTTTGGAGAGGAATTTGATACCACTATCTGTCACACTACCACAAAAACTGAGATTAATAGTTTTAAGATGACACAAACCCACACTGACATGTCTTAAAGCATGATCTGTCAATTTTTGACAGTCTTGAAGACCAAGATATTCAAGTCTAGCATTACCAGTCTCTTCTTTACCATCATCAGTTTTAGTATTCACAAATGCAGACTGAGACATACTAGAGAAATGTCCCGTCCCTTGATCCAAATTTCTGAATTTTAAACTTTCAGTTCTGGAAGATGCTGAAGCAGGGGGAGATAACCCAGCTAAATGTCCAATACCTTGATCAGAAACATGTCGACAACTTCGTAGATTTAATTGCTTTAGGTTTCTTAAGCTGCAGGCTATTAACGATAAGCCTACATTTGTGATGTGGCAGCACCCTCCTAATTCTAGCACCTCCAAATTCTTTAAATACTGAGCTATTCGGACCAAACTGTTATCGGTTACTTGTTTACACAAGCTTAAATTCAACACGGTCATGGAGGATATATCTTGTGAAAATGCATGTCCTAAGCTAGCATCCGTAACATTGAAACATCCACTTAAATTAAGGCTTTCCAAATTAGGGATCCCAAACACAACATCCCTTAAACTTCTTCTTAAACTTAATATTTGAACTCTTTTTATCCCACGCCTACATAAACTTGGAAACAAAGAAGGATTGGCACGTCTTAGGTGGAGTTTGGCTTCAACATTTCTCCAAACCATACGGTTATAACACGCATCTCTCCAGCTTAAACATACCTGGGATACTCGGCCTTTGTCCTTTATATCCAAATACTGGAAAATCATAGCCAGAATCTCCGGAAAAAGGGTGGATATATGAGTCCCGTTCTTCGACTTCAATAAAATGTCCTCCATGTTTGGTCGAGCGCGAGCACACATCACGTGATACATGTACCACGGCGGGTAATGAAGAGAATTCTGATTGGTTTAAAATAAAGAAGTTAAAGGATGCTCTCAGTCGGGATTGTCATGACGGTATATTGATATGGGCAAAGAACTATGCTAGTAGACTTGTTTTTCTAGTCACAATGAGAAACGCGCGTAACGTCAGAAAAATCGTCTGCAAATTTTACCACACGATATGACGAATGGAATGAGATGAATTGGGTGACTACATGCTTTAACTCAATATAACTGGATCGGGTTACTATTTTTGTTGAATTCATTTACGTTTGTAAAGTCTCGAATTTACTGGTGTCAATTAACTGCCATATTACTTCCAATGACGAGTCTGTAATGTATTCTATTATATTTGGCTCCAAATGTACTCCGTAATTACCCAAATTCGAATGGGTTACATATGATGTGAATAGACACCAGACGGAAATGAAACTTTTTGAGTAAGTTACTTGTAATGTGAACGTAGATTATATTTATTATAATAAATAATGAAATAGAATCATTCGGTATGATTGCAAAAATGCTTCAATTAATTTAAAGTCTAGTATATATGTCAACGTAAGGGAGATAGAAGATCAATAAGTATTAGTGTCTACAGTCGTCTCCCTTAGATTAGTAAAATTTCATAATAACAATGCATTAATAGTAAGTCATACATATTACAAGACGACGCTATATATCATACACTTCGAAATTCGAACTTTGCCAGTAAATGATGCAAGCTTGTAGTGTCATGAAAATAACATCCAATCGTTTAGACAGATGGGACTTTGTGCCGACATCTTCCACAGACTATGCACATTGAAGACCTCTGAACAGTTGGAAAGATAAGATCTAATGTAATAGAACATTGCTTTATATTGAACACTGCTTAACGTTTTCTGTTTCATTTATCATTTATCAGAAACAGTAGTGGTACAGGTGGAGGGCGTTTGAAATGTGATTTGTATCGCCAATTGAACCCCCATCACATTTCTAACAAACTTTAAAAATATGATTTTTACACTATTTGTCCACAAAATAAGCGCCGGAATGCACCACATCGTGTAATATCCATATTTTCTGGGAGGAGAATCCTCACAGACGCTGCAAGGAAGGCATGTACCAACCTGTCGCATTTTGAAACCCATCATTGTCCGTTGTTAAGTGTCAAGAAGCTGGCGCTGTCACTGACTAGAAACATAATAATGGGGCGTAAAACTCCATTTCAACATTTTTGTCATCAATACTATTGAATATGTACCGTACATAATTGTAATCGTCAGGTTTGCTGCTGTACATAGACCATACATTGTCCTCTGTAGGAGGTCTTGACTAATTGTGACAATACTGTTCTTACACAATACAACTTACCTCCCTTGATAATTTAATGAGCAGTGTTTTCAGTCTGTTCAAAAATGTGGAATAATTATAGCTGTGAAATAACACTGTGCGAATGTTGCTAAGGACGTATTCGTGTTTCATTACACCCCTTGTCTCTTCAGTAATAAGCATGGCCTGTATCTTTCTTTCTATATTTAAAATTGATACAATCCATTCTGTTCAATGATCAAGCCAGTTGATGCCTGAGAAAATGACTGACTTTGTCACTAGGCGACCCTTTGCTAATCTAACCATTTGTCTTGGTAGCAGACAATCTTGTGAACTTACCTTGACGTTACAAGAAGTGGACAAAATTGACCGTTAGCAGTTTTTGCAACTGAAAGAGTCAACTTCCAATAGAATCTGAAAGATGACCTGCGTCCAGGAAGACCTTCGGGGTGCATAACACGACTTCGTGGATTGACAACACAACATACTGTCCGTGTTGTGAGCATTTCTCATGAGATGAATAAGGGACATGATCATCAATGTGTTTTCAATGGCAAACGTTTCTGCAAGATTGTATCAAAAGTCAGACCGTGGTTTAGAATCTTGTTGGGATCCCGTCTTATTTTAACTATTTATGCAATGTGTGCCATATATTGACCCTTTCAGAGTTCCACGTACTTCCCAAAATGAAAAAGGCACGAGTCGGTCGCCATTTACCTTGTAATAGTGACGCTCATTCCGCTGTGAATGACTTTTTAAGAGTGTCTACAGACAATTTCGAAGGCCTTGCAGTACCGCCTGTACAAGTGTTTTAATCTGTACGGAAGCGAAAACCAATAGACTTTCATAGTAAGGTTTAGAACCATTCAGCCAGTCACCGTATGCGGTCAAACACTAAAGTGAGTCTATGTACCTGATAAATACTTTCACATGAATTCATTTACCCCGAATTGTGTTCAATCAGACATTAAAATATATATTTTTTATGTCATATCCCTAAGGCGAATATTTTTTAATAGGAAAACAATATGATTAAATCAGGATATGAATTTCGGGGTCAGACTTGTACCAAGATCATTCTGGTACCAGCTATTTGACCAATTTACAATATTCAGAGTCAGCAAGTGCACAGCATCGATATGCATAGATACAGTTTTAATATACATATTTTGTCCCCAGAAAATTAAAATTCAGATTGCCGCCTTGGTGCATATTTAATAGCATTATTTGCATATTGTGAACATTTTTATTTTATGATTGCATCTTTGACAATGGAAGCCCGAACTCGCATAGCCCTTCCCATCTTCTGCAAAAAAGATGTTATTCTGTCTATGTCGTATTGGAAGAGCTATCTTTAATGTTCCCATCCGTCTTCCATTATAATTGATGATAGCATATTTCACATTAAATACTCTGAGTCGGATGAAATGATTTTTTGGTCCTACCATGCCATACGTGGTTTAGCTACTGCTATGCAATGATTGGACATATTTTTTAAGACAGTGACTTAGGTCTTCGCCTGTTTTAGTTTTAGTTGACATCCACAGCCTGTAACGCAGTACCGTGTTGTATTGTTCCAACCGATACCACTGACAGAGAGAACGGGACTGACAAGTTATCATCGCGACCTCAGGATAGAATCCCCATCAGAATCAACTGAGCTAAGCCACCACGGCCCTCTCTGAGCCACCACGGATCCCAAAAGTAATTAAACTGCATTGTACTTCATTGACATGTGAGAAAAATTGAAATTGAAATAGTTAAAAGTGCGTTTAACGGTAATTAATTGAACTGTGAAAGATTGAATACGATACCGTCGGAATAAAATGTAACCTTCGGCAACGTTAGGAAATCAAATTATGATGAACCACTGACAGCAGTCAGACATGCTAAAGGCTAAAAATTTTATATGGTATATAATTCATATTCGATTTGATTTAATATTATCAGAAGGTATAACGAGTATTTTAATGATACTTTTACGTCATTTAAACTATGCGTGTATCTTAAATAAGACGTAAAAATGGGTCTCTTGAGACGTGTTTAAATTCTAACTAAGCCAATTAAAGTCATATTAAGTGATAATTAATGAATATAAACCGATTTCAGTCACAATTGTTACCCAGGGCCTTTTTCAGCCCTAGGTGGTCATCTAGTAAGGACATCGTGAACTTACAATCAATATTTCTAAATCAGTGAAAAGGTTCCTTCTTTATTCGATCACTAGTCAGGCAATATAGTGAAGGAACTGACTTATAGCAGAAGCAATTAAATGCAAAATAAGTATTGTGCAGTTGGAATGGTGTTCTATAATACCCCTCTACAATACATTGAATTTTGAAACAAAGAAACCTAATGAAAATTATTGGCACAATGTCGAGAAGCATAAAATCGTTTCTGAGACACTTCAAAAAAATATTGTGCGATTGGAATGGTGTAAAGAAGCATTATAAATGGGTTTATACACATTAATGCGCAAAAAAGTCGTCGCACCAATACGTTGAATTTAAGTGTTACATAGAACCTAAGTACATATATTAGCATTACATAAAATGAAAATATTGTGCAATTGGAATGGCGCACAAACAAGCCTATTACAGTCCTCTTGAGACTCTTCAAAAGTCCCGAAAATTTCTCTAAAATCCATTTAATCCTTTGGCAATTCTCAGGGTTACCTAGACCACACAACATCATCCCCACTTAATTTCATCGTTCAATAAATACAAAGACGAAGCACTGACGCTAAAGTTTGATAGATCTCCACCTGGACTACCAGATTAAATTGGATTAGCACCAAATTAATTTCTCCATTGTACATCAAGTCCAAATCAGTTATTGACTTCATCAAAACACTATAAAACTTCTAATGGGCCATATACTACAATAATACAATATATTGTAAGCTTTCATATTGAATTATTTATTACCATGCCTTGATTGAACGTCTTTCCCATGCTACCATAGCGAATTGACCCTCGCCATTATATGAGAACGAACATTTGATCAATTTGTTATGATATGGGGAATTATATTTGGGAAGGGGCGTTGTATTAAGAGATATCTATATGATCTTGCTAAAATGGTCACTTTTTCATATACGTTTTAATCATAAAAAGAAAATGTAATAAACAAATTTATACTTGTAACACAAGCGTTACAGATCCTCATCACCACTATCTGAAGATGGAATCCGTTTCATAAAAATCAAATCTTATTGATCAAAATGTATCAAAATAGGACGCGATATTTTTTTTTATTTTTCCTCAGTTAAGTAACTAAACCTACAAAGGAATGACTTGCATCGAAATGATTTAAAATCAGAATTTGTACAGACAATATTTTGTAGCCTACATTCTGCTTCTCTGTTTTATAATTTTTGAAATGCAACTTGAATGTTAGTCTAAACTTTTTAAACAATGATCCTATTGATAGCAAACAAAGACAAAATCAAACCCCACCATGATAAAACAAACATCTGATCATGACCAAATAAGCAACAGCGGGAACATGATGACTACCCGCGTCTCCCCTTTCTCCCCCACTGACCCTTGGGATCTATTGTCTCATTTTATCCTCTAAATTCTTTGATGACCATTGACTTGTGTTGGCTTTTATCATTTAATGGTCAAACCAAATTCACAGACATCCACAAA